TAGTTGCAGATCAGACGTGCACAAAGGTCAGGAGTAATTCTTGACCATTCCTCTTTACAGAACTACTTCAGTTCAGCAATATTCATGGGATGTCTGGTGTGAATCGCTTTCTTAAGGTCATGCCACAGCATCTCAATCGGGTTGAGGTCAGGACTCTGACTGGGCCACTTCAGAAGGCGTATTTTCTTCTGTTTAAGCCATTCTGTTGTTGATTTACATCTATCCTATCGGTCATTGTCCTATTGCAACACCCATCTTCGGTGGAGCTTCAGCTCGTAGACAGATGGCCTTAAGTTCTCCTGCAAAATGTCTTGATAAACTTGGGAATTCATGTGTGTACTGTGCCTTTTTTTCGCCACACATAATGTTGTGTGTTTCTTCCAAACAACTCAACTTTGGTTTCATCTGTCCACAGAATATTTTGCCAGTACTGCTGTGGAACATCCAGGTGCTCTTGTGCAAACTGTAAACGTGCAGCAATGTTTTGTTTGGACAGCAGTGGCTTCCTCTGTGGTATCTTCCCATGAAATCCATTCTTGTTTAGCATTTGCCAGTGACTTGTAAGTCTTTAGCTGACACTCTAGGATTCTTCTAAACCTCATTGAGCAGTCTGCGCTGTGCTCTTGCAGTCATCTTTACAGGATGGCAACTCCTAGGAAGAGTAGCAGCAGTGCTGAACTTTCTCCATTTATAGACAATTTGTCTTACTGTGGACTGATGAACAGCAAGGCTTTTGGAGATACTTTTATAACCCTTTCCAGCTTAATGCAAGTCAACAATTCTTACTCATAGGTCTTCTGAGAGCTCTTTTGTGCGAGGCATCATTCACATCAGGCAATGCTTCTTGTGAAAAGCAAACCCAGAACTGGTGTGTGTTTTTTATAGGGCAGGGCAGCTGTAACCAACACCTCCAATCTCATCTCATTGATTGGACTCCAGTTGGCTGACATCTCACTCCAATTAGCGCTTGGAGATATCATTAGTCTAGGGGTTCACATACTTTTTCCACCTGCACTGTGAATGTTTACATGATGATGATGATGATCAGATCATATTTTATGACCAATTTGTGCAGAAATCCATATCATTCCAAAGGGTTCACATACTTTTTCTTGCAACTGTACACTGATCAGCCTCAACATTAAAACACCCTGCCTAATATGGTGTAGGTCCCCCTCGTGCTGTAAAAACAGCTCTGATGTGTCAAAGCAGGGACTCCACAAGACCTCTAAACATGTCCTGTGTTATCTGGTGCCAAGACACTAGCAAGTCTTTGTGCCAGATACCACAGATCCTTTAACTCCACCAGATCTAAATGAAAATGTGATTCATGACACAAGGCAACCTTCTTCCATTGCTCCATGGTCTAGTTCCGATGCTCATGTCCTCATTGAAGGCGCTTTCAGCCGTGGACAGGGGTCACCATGGGCACTCTGACCAGTCTGATAAGCAGCCTGATAAGCAGCACACGGTGTTGCACTATGTAAAATGTAAACAACAAAGGTGTAGTGTGCAAAAAAGAGCTTAAATCATGGCTTAAATCAGGGCCAGAAAAAGGCATGTCATGTCATCATCACTGACAAGCACGCTCCCCCCCATCAAATAAGTATGATAATGTGATGCTCCTCCAGAGCATCCAGTGCTCTTGGATGATGTAAATGCCATTTTTTTATTGGGGGGTTGGGGGGGATTGGGCAACATAAACATGTGCTGCGTTTGCTGGCGACTTTTCTCTGTATCCTCAAAAGTGGGATACCAGAGAAAAAAAGAGGAACAGGTCTGTTAAAGTGTGTTGTGCACATGTGTAGATTCTCCCTGTGGTGTTGTATGTGTTTGGAGCTTGCTTGTGAGATTGCATGTGTGTAAAGCAGACTATTTGTGTTGTATTGTGTGGGTAAATGGGTCTGTTTGTGGCGTATTATGGGTGGCTAGGGGCTGTAGTGTGTGTGTCCCTAGGGGATGTTGTATGTGCATGTAAGGGCTGTACTGTGTGTGTGTGTATCTAGGGGCTTTAGTGGGTGTATGCATATAGGGGTTGTTGTGCACATGTGTAGATGTGCGTAAATGTGTGCATAGGGGGTGTAGAATGTGTATTTATAGGGGTATAGAGTGTATGTAGTGTGTGTGAGTGCAAGGGGTGTAATATGTGTGCTTATAGGGGTATAAAGTGTGTGAGTGCAGGGAGTGTAGTGTATGCTTAGGGGGTATAGAGTGTGTTTAGAGTGTGTGTGAGTGCAGGAGATGAAGTGTGCATATAGGGATATAGAGTGTGTGTAGTGTGTTTCTGGGTTAGTGCAGGGGGTGCAGTATGTATATAGAGTTATAGAGTGTGTCTAGTGTGTTTGTGTGTGTGTAAGTGCAGGGGGTGCAGTGCGAATATATAGGGGTATAGAGTGTGTGTGTTAGTGCAGGGATGCAGTGTGTATATAGGAGTATAGAGTGTGTGTAGAGTGTTTGCAGGACCGGTGCAAGGATTTCTGCCACCCCAGGCTAAGCAAATACAAACTAAAAGAGGTTTATTCACTAAACTATGAATTGCAGTGAGTTGAAAACCAAATTGCAAAATTTAACCCCTTAAAGACACGACATGTGTGACATGTCATGATTCTCTTTTATTCCAGAAGTTTGGTCCTTAAGGGGTTAAAACAGAAAAGGAAGGAACCCCTAGGGGAACCAGCCAAGTGTGTGTCTGGGGCAACCAGAATATGGGGTAACCCTCACATATACTTGTGTAAAGAAAGAAAGAATGGAGACCCACAGGGTCAGAGTAGGAAGCCCCTCAACTAAGCTCTATGTACATAAAACGTAACTTTTAATGGTAATACTAAAATGCTCATCAAACCAAACATTAACAAACAAATAACAGATAAATAAAAGGGAGACTAGAAAGATAGAAAAAGGAAGTAATTCCTAAACAGGATACACTCTAAATTTAAGGTCACCAAAGTGAATCTAATCTATGAGAAAAAGAGGAAAAAATCCTGGAGGAAAAAATCCTGGAGGAAAAAATCCCAGTTTAGTACTCTTCTCTTAGTTTTCTAACATGGCATTAATGGAGGCAAACATATGTGTATTGGCCCCCACAGTTTAGACCCACTAATAATAGCTCAGAAGGAAACTAGAAGGCTAACCAAGCCAAACTAATGCTATGCATAAAAAGGGAAAGTAGAGAATGAGCTCAAAACACTGCTACTTCTATACATACATTGTGCTGATAAGGTAATATATAGTTACTAAAAAACTATACATTGTACCAATGTATCAAAAAAGAGGGAATGTAAACACACAGGGTGAAAAAAGAATACACAGTATCCCCTGGTGTTGATTCAGAGATAGTGTTGCAGCAACCGAAGAATAACGAGCAGAGAGTCACCCCCAACCCCCTTATCCTAACGGTGGGAGAACAAGGTGAAAATTACATAAGTAAAGAAATCCATTCTATGGCTAGAATAACTATGTAATCAGAGTAGCGAAAGTCTAACTAGTCTCCCTGCCTGCCTGACACGTGTTTCGGCGCTAAAAACGTGCCTTCTTCCGAGGCTTAACAGGGGTTAAACAAAAACAGCTGAACTGTGACTGTTGCTGAATTGAAGAATTCTTCTGTCTATTAATTCACACCCCTTGACAGTTGCCATTGTAATGATACCTGTAAGTGATTTTAATGTTGTAGATGATCATTGTATATGTTGCTCAAGAACCTACTTGACTAGATATAACATTGTGTCAAATAGTATACAGTCTAGTGATAATGTTTACAGATACATATTTTCAAATGCCAATATATACTTATATGCAAGAACTATGTACAGCACTTAAAGGCACATACTAACAAAATTGTAATGTACTCTTATTATATATAAGATTATAAAAAGCTCTTGCCTGGTAAGCTGTTTCTTAAATAAGTATACACCCCCTTTCACTTTTTTTAATGACATATAATTACAATCTAGAATTAAAATAATTTTAAATGTGATTTGTATTGTTTGATATACATAACATACTAAACCATTTAAAAAGTGCCTTACCCCCCTCTCTTTTTATCCATCCCTTATGTAACATTATACCCCTGTTTTTATGCAAGACCCACACATAAACAAAAACTCAAAAGAGTAAATTTAACCCCTTAAGGGCTGAGCCAAATGTACACGTTGTGATCAAAACAAAACTTTTATTTGCGCCATATGTCTGTTCAGGCGTAATTCACCTCTTTCATATTATGTGCACCCACACTTATTATATATCATTTTATTCAGGGGAAACAGGGCTTTCATTTAACATCAAATATTTAGGTATAGAACATAATTTAATATGAATAAAATTATAAAAAAATGAGAGAAAATAATTTTTTAAAAATGTTTAGCTCTACGTGACATTTTAACTGTGAATGTCATTATACTGTTTGATTTTACTGCAATAAAATACACATATTTGGGGGGACGGGGCCTGACCAGCATGGCGGAGGGTCGCAACTTGCAGGAGCTCTCTACCAAACAACTGTCCCGAGCGTCTTTCCGAGACTCCTGCCACTCACAACCTGCACCAAAGAGGGACTTACCTGTCGTGGACAACGGCTGGAGTGTTCCGGGCCAGAAAACCAGGAATGCCGCCCGTCAAAAACCTGAATGAGTGGCTGCGGCCTAGTGGCGGCAGAAACGGCAGATCTCCCGTCCCCTGTCTGTCCCCCCCAGCAGGGCTTCAAAGAGTCCCATTCCGGGCCAGGGGGGATATCCCGGTCCACACCCCACTGACTCCAGAGCTGATGGCTCCTGGCAGCCCACGCATCGAAATAGCAGAGAGTAACCCCACATACAAGATGGCGGACACACTCCCCTGCAACAGCCGAGTACAGCGAACAAGCACAAACTGCGGACCGGCACCACAGGAGAGCCTAGAGTCGAAACTTGATTCCATCCTGGAGGCTTTCTGGGCAAAGTTGGCGGCAAGAGAGGCAAGTCCCAAATGGGACCTTGAGGCGAAAACCCAGAGGTGGGAAGCACGAAATGGCCGTGGATTACATGGCGGCATACAACACTATACAGCACCCGCCACAAGAAACATCCGCCTACCTGGACCTGGGGTCACCAAAAGACCAGCTCTCCAGCACCAACCATGCAAGCAGAGCATCCTACCCACACAACAACACAAGACCCAGCTCCATTCTCCCCACACAAGGAGATACTTGGACTATGCAAGGCCCCCGGACAGTGGCTCGGAGAGGAGGACCTCAGCACGGACCTGGGGCCAGAGAGCTCCATCACCACGCCTCCAGCCAAAAATGGGAGTCGGAAACCCACAGCGCTTATCCCATCACCGCAGCACTACGCACTCCCGCGGCCCCCATGATTTCCCGGCTGAGAATGGGTATTGGCTGAAGGCTGGTATACAGAACCCCCTATCTCTAAACGAGCAAGGTACCAATGACTCTGTCACTGTTAACCCCAAAGGCCACCGCAACAGAGACACTCAGTGTATACACCAGCTTGGAAGATGTGCTCGTGATGGGGGGCGGCATGCCACGCTCCAGTAATATTCTTAAGGCACGGACTACCGAAAAGCCTGTAAGGACTGCCATATACCGGAGCTGGCTGATGGCCAGTCTTCCTCTACAGGTCATGAGAGCGAGTGGATGAAGCTGAGTGACATCGCTAAGCATCACCCGATAACTAAGTTTTATGTTTATTTCGGCCTGTTGCCCACTTAGTTTATTTTGGTTACAGCAATGATATCACACTGCCGGTACTGGCTGATTGTTGATTCTCTGCCCCACAGCTCAGCTAGACAACGCTACTGGCTGAGAACCTCTTGGGACATAATCTGATCAGTCCAAGCTACGCAACCCCCTGCAGCTGCCATAATCATATGACTACAAACACAGAACCGAATCCAGTAATGTTGTAACCAATCCCAGCATAACTGTTTTGTTCCTAGATGTGTTATTCAGTTAGTCATGTAGACTATTTAACGAGGATGGCAGGCTACATATGCTCGCACATTTCAAATATGTTATAACCTGTTCATAGCTTAACCTACCTAACCAGCTCTACCGACGCTGAACTAGTCAGACCTGCTTGAATGTTAAATTTAGAATCATGTACCTTAATCGCTGACCTATACATTATGGCACACAGGTAACACGATGAGTAGCAGTGAGCTGGTAGACTAGCCCACTTAGTATAAACCATACCTTTTCGCTGTCGGACTCACATGTCATAGGCATAGCGTACTCTGTAGTACCTTAATCGAGTTTAATGTAACTTAACATGACAGTAAAACACTAGTACTACTGCAAATGTTCCATAAGTTGCACTGAATATTATCTAAGCTTGCCTGTAAAATGACATTGTTAATTGACATAAAACAAAAAATGAGGCATCAATATCACGGAAATGTAGGCCAACAATGTTAGCGCTGTATTAGTCTTATATCGTATATATTGCTCACACGTTTCCCTTTCTTCATTCTGTACCCCATCGCAAATGCCTTAATAAAAGAAAGATTGACAAAAAAAATACACATATTTGTATTTAGCGATGTCTCATGTGTAAAACAGTACCCCCTATATACAGGTTTTATGGTGTTTTGTGAAGTTACAGGTTCAAATATAGCATGTTACATTTTTCAGTTTTTTCACATTGAAATTCGCCAGATTGGTTACATTGCCTTTGAGACCGTATGGTAGCCCAGGAATGAGAATTACCCCCATGATGGCATCCCATTTGCAAACGTAGACAACACAAGGTATTGCAAATGGGGTATGCCCAGTCTTTTTTAGTACCCACTTAGTCACAAACACTGGCCAAAATTGACGTTCAAATTAGTTTTTTGCATTTTCAAATATTAACACTAACTTTGGCCAGTGTTTGTGACCAAGTGGCTACTAAAAAATACTGGACATACCCCATTTGCAATACCTTGGGTTGTCTACTTATGCAAATGGTATGCCATTATGGGGGTTTCAAAACCGTAAAACGTATCACAACAATTATATTGTCTGTGTAAGTGCCATGTGGGTGTGAAAAATGCAAAAAATGTCACTTTCACTGACAATATCGTTGTTGTAATACATGTTACTGTTTTGAAACACTAATATTTGTGTTCAGCGAAGTCTTCCGAGAAAAACAGCACCCCCCCATGTACAGGTTTTATGGTGTCTTGGAAAGTTACAGGGTGCTAGCAAATTAAATTCCCTGGACTTTTTGCCTGGGTTGTCAGACTGGTCCTGCTAATTGTAATTAATAAAATTACCTAATTATGTAAAATTATTACATAAATATATACGTAGAATTATTATATATGTGTGTATATAAATATATGTATATATAAATTTTATATATATAATTTTTTTAAATTATTTTTATTTAAATATATATATATATATATAGTGATATATACGTATATACTTATGTATATAGATATATATATATTATTTCGTTCTACAAGTATTTTGATATCAATATATATATAAAATTTTAAAATACAGTTAGAATGAATTTACACATATATATTTTTTTAATTTGTTATTTTTTTAATTAAATTTTTTAACGTATTTACAGATTTATTTTATATTATAAATATATATATATAATGAAAATTATATATATATTTAATCAATATCATTGTACGTCTATTTTGATATTAATATATATTTATAATTATATATATATTAATATTAAAATGCACGTAGACAGTGTATGTGTATATATGTGTATATATATATGCTTAGATCATATATATATAATAAATATATATATATATATGATCTAAGTATATATAATGTCATTTTAAACTGTGTTAAACTTTAATTATTATTTTTTTCATACAGCAGGGGGCATACCTGTCATTACAAGCACTCCCCCTGCTGGCAATGCCTTGGACGGCTATGCTGTCCATATGATTGTGAGGTCCTCGCAAGGACCTCGTGATCACATGGCCCAGGGGAGCCGAAGAGGACGGAGGGGGACTCCCTGGGCTCCCAGGTGAGTCCCCGTACCGCGATCACCGGAGTGGGATCGCCAGCAACCGGGTAAGTAGTTAGGACGGTTTGGGCGTTCTATGCCGCCGTCGGGCGTTTAGAGCCGGTTCCTTAAGGACCGCATAGAACGCCCCAGCCGTCCTTAAGAGGTTAATGTTCAACAAATAAATTGTCAACACATATTCTGAACTGTGTATTCTATGTACAATTGCATTGAACATAAATAAAAAAAACTTCAAGTTTTTATTTTGACAGAAGCATTAGAACAAAAAAACAAACACACTTATAGTTATAGGTTGTCTGGTGCAATTAGTCACCTTTGGAAGTCACATAATTAGCTAAATTAATACACCTGTGTGCCGTTAAAACATCTCATTATCTTAGAATAAATATACACTCTTGTGCAAGGCACCACATTTTGTTAGAGAGCATTTCTAAACAAATAGCATGATGAAGATCAAGGAGCTGTCAAAACAAGTTCTGAATCAAATTCTGAAGAAGCAATGAATTAGCAAACGGTTATAGAAAAGAAAATAAATCTGCAAATAAACTGAGGAACCAATAAAAGGAAACTCTAAGCAACAAACACTGCAGCTTATTCTAACTGTTCTGCTGTCTAGAGTGTCCTGAGCCATTACCCAGTTTAATTGATAATAAGGAATTAACAATTGGTATATATATTACAAATTCTCCAAGGGTATGCACACTTTTGAGCAAAACTGTACCTTGAATTTAAAATTCACTTTTTATTCACCTTGAATTTTCACTTTAGTGAATAACCCTGTATATGTGGTGGAACTCGACATTGATCAACACCATGATAAAGCAAAGTAATGAACATGTTTTGATGATGCATTTCATTGGTAGAAATCTAGAAACTGAGAAGGATTGAGGTAGAAGGATGGAGCCAAATACAGGAACATTCTAAAGGAAAGTTGTTTTTAGTCTGCAAGACTCCCAAGACTAGAATAAAGGTTCACTGTGTTTACAGGGGTATAGTCTAGTGCACCTTACTGATGAGGCTCAATTATGGCTGAAACTATCATCTCTTGTTTACGTAATCTTATTACTTAATGAGATTAGACTGGTGTGCACCAACTCTCTCTGGACAAGTTAATGTAAAACTAGTTTGAGAACTGAGCAAAGACACACTTAACAGCACGTTAAAGGACCACTATAGGCACCCAGACCACTTCAGCTTAATGAAGTGGTCTGGGTACCTGGTCCAGCTAGGGTTAACCCTTTTTTTTTTTTTTTATAAACATAGCAGTTTCAGAGAAACTGCTATGTTTATAAATAGGTTAATCCAGCCTCTAAAGCCTCTAGTGGCTGTCTCATTGACAGCCGCTAGAGGCGTTTGCGTGCTTCTCACTGTGATTTGCATTATGAATGCTTTCCTATGAGACTGGCTGAATGCGCGCGCAGCTCCTGCCGCGCATGCGCATTCAGCCGAAGTGGAGGAGAGGAGACGGAGAGGAGGAGGAAAGCTCCCCGCCCGGTGCTGGAGAAAGAGGTAAGTTTAACCCCTTCCTCTCCCCAGAGCCCGGCGGGGTGGGGGGGTCCCTGAGGGTGGGGGCACCCTCAGGGCACTATAGTGCCAGGAAAATGAGTATGTTTTCCTGGCACTATAGTGGTCCTTTAAGTTTTTCTTTCCTATTATCCTATTGCTGGTCTCTTTTTTGTTACATTTGAGACTTGTTAAAGGACCACTATAGTGCTAGGAAAACATACTCGTTTTCCTAGCACTATAGTGCCCTAAGGGTGCCCCCACCCTCAGGGTCCCACTCCCATGGCGCTGAAGGGGGAGGGGGTGTCCCCACCCTCAGGGTCCCACTCCCTCAGCGCTGGGACTCTCCTCCCTCTTCTGATGTCCCTGACTGAATGCGCATGATGAAAGTTCAGTGTCTGCATGCAGAGGGTGGAGATACTGAATGTTGTGATGCACGCTAGGCAAGACTGAGATAGGAAGCAACTCTAGCAGCCATCTAAGGAGTGGCCAGTGGAGTTATCACTAGGCTGTAATGTAAACACTGCATTTTCTCTGAAAAGACAGTTACATAGTTACATAGCTGAAAAGAGACTTGTGTCCATCAAGTTCAGCCTTCCTCACATATGTTTTTTGCTGTTGATCCAAAAGAAGGCAAAAAAAACCCCAGTTTGAAGCACTTCCAATTTTGCAACAAGCTAGGAAAAAAATTCATTCTTGACCCCAGAATGGCAGTCAGATTTATCCTTGGATCAAGCAGTTATTACCCTGCATTGAAAGATTATATCCTTGAAAGTGTTTACAGCAAAAAGCCTGAAGGGAGTGATTCTACTCACCAGAACAAATACAAGAAGCTGTAGTTGTTCTGGTGACTAAAATGTCCCTTTAATAAAAAAAAAAAGTTCTGCTTGGGCACCTAACCATTCGTAGTTTCTGAACTTGGAACGAACACAGAAAACCAGATCTCCCTGTAGACAATTTATTAGTCCACCAGTACACATGGTTTATATAAACAGAAAAGTAATATCACCGATATAATAATAAAATGATAAAGTGCATCAGAGGGGATACAGCACAAATAGAGTTAGTCTGGAAATATTTGGACACAGACACAAATTTCATAATTTTGGCTCTATACACCATCACAATGGATTTGAAATGAAACAACCGTGATGTAATTGAAGGGCAGACTTTCAGCTTGAATTCAAGTGGTTTAACAAAATTATTGCATGAAATGTTTAGGAATTGCAACCATTTCCATACACAGTCCCCTTATTTCAGAGACTCACATGTAATTGATCAAATAAACACAATCCTAAATAAAATATTAAGTTTTAATACTTTGTTGAGGATCTTTTGCAGGCAATGACTGCTTAAAGTTTGGTACGCATGGACAACACCAAACATTGTTGATACTTTGTGGTGCTCAGCCAATGCAGAATTTGCCACTTCTTTGCCTTAAAAACTCCTGGGTTGCTTTTGCAGTATGTTTTGGGTCATTGTCCATCTGTAAAGGGAAGTGCCAGCGAATCAGCTTCACTAAATTTGCTGAGCAAACAATATATCCCCACAAACTTCAGAATTCATCCGGCTGCTTCTTTTTGTCACATCATCAATAAACACTAATGACCCAGTGCAATTGGAAGCCATGCATGCTCATTCCATCACACTGCCTTTAACGTGTTTTATTGATGATGTCGTATGCATAGGATCATGAGTTGTTCCAAGCCTTCTCCGTACTTTTTTCTTCCCATCATTCTGGTACAGGTTGATCTTAGTTTCATCTGTCCAAAGAATGCTTTTCCAGAACTGGGCTGGCTTTTTAAGATGTTTTTTGATAAAGTCTAATCTAATGGTGGACTTGGATAATTATATGCCCAACTCCTGGAGAGTGTTGTTGTGAAGGTTTTTTTGTTTTTTTTACCATGGAAAGGTTCCTATGATCATCCACCACTGCTTTCCATGGACGGTACACCTGTTTGTGTTGCAAAGCTCACCATTCACTAGAATGTACTGAACTGTTGATTGAACAACTCCTGGTGTTCTTGCAAACTCTCTGATGTTTTTTTTTTTTTTTGCAGCCTAAGGATAGCCTGTTTCACTTGCATTGAGAGTTCTGTTGTGGGTTCACAGCAACAGCTTCCAAATATGAATGCTACACCTGGAATTAACCCGAGAACTTTTTACCTGCTTAATTGATGGAGAAATAAGCAAGGAATAACCCACATCTGTCCATGAAACAGCTTTTGAATGACTTGTCTAATTACTTTAGGTCCCTTGAAAAAGAGGGAGCAACATATTAAAGAGCTGTAATTCCTAAACCCCTCCTCCAATTTGGTGTGAATACACTTAAATTAATGCTGTGAGACTGCACGTTAAGCCAATATTGATTATTTAACTGTAACCTGAATTTATTTTGGTTAACAGCCAAAATAACAAAACATGTCAGTGTCCAAATATGTTCGGGCCTAACTGTATACCTAGTGCATTTTGTGTCCAGTGGTACTTAATCAACAGTCTGATTAAGTGTCATCAGGCATTAAATGTGTCAAGTATTGTGCTTTATCCTCCTACGCATGTTCACCTTTCATTTTGTCACAATTACTTCTTTTTTTGCATTTTACTAACCATATTATAGGTATCAATGGATCCTGGTACTGGGGTCCATTTTAGTTGACAGTACTAATCTTCTACCTCAGTTGCCTTCATCGTGTCCCACACTTTTGTTCTTGCATTCCGTTCAGCTCTGTCAATGGGGAAACGATCCCACAAAATGCAGCCTGCATTTGGGCTTCAGCAGACAGCATGATCACTTACTTAGCATGACAATAGTATTAATCACCATCAGCAGCATTGGCCACATCACCCTTAAGCTCTGGTGCAGGAAGCCTGGACACTTTGTATGATATCCCACTGGATGGGGGACTGTACATGGAGACCCCAACAGAATATCTAGCCACCCCTTCAACAATGAAAATAGAAATGAACTATTGAGAGTAAAATCTGAAGTTTATTTGCTGCACATCTTGCCCTCACCTGGGAGGACCTTGGGATGTTTACAAGAGAGAATAAAGGCAACAGAGGGACATATAATTGATCACTGTCAAAGAAATGCCAGAGATAGTTCCCAAAACACAATAATTACCTCACTCCACAAGGATTTGCCCTCTTTATTGGACTTTCTAGATGATATAACAAGACACCGCAATATAATGGTCAGAAGTATAGCTGAGGTTGTGGAGTTTGGTTAATCTTTGCATATTTTAGGCCGCTCTTTGTCACTGTTCTGCAATCAAAGTAAGCAAAGGACATACAACTGGATAGTGTATAGATCTGCCGACATTCCCCAGAGCCCCGATGTCAGCGCCACAAGACGTAGTCATTTCTTTCTAAACTCACTGATAAAATGAGAATTATGGCAGCTGGATGGGGATCAACTCCTTTCATTTTTGAAACATCAGTTAGCCCTTTTTCAAGATGTATGTAGATCTACTCTGCCGTGGTGAAAATCCCGGACAAAAGTTGCCATAACTCTGCAATGCTGTCCTGGCAATGTGTCACTGAAAAACAGTATAACCAGCAGTATAAGTTAACCTCCAACACAGATTCTCCCTGCGGGCTTTAAATCTAGTATCTTTCATCTGGGCCACCCTCGACCATTACCTCTTCTCATATGTGGGATGTAACTAATATCACCCCATGTTTTCCCAGACAATTTGGTTCTTGACTGGATGATGGAGAGTTTGGCATTTTTTTTTTTTGCGAATATGATTTCTGCTGCTAAAACTACTCTCGGTCTTTTTAATTCTTTATTTTTGCAGTGCAAAGAAAAAACATAACAGCAGGCGTGTGGTGCCCCAATAGCATTTCTCACGCTGATTATCAACATTTGAAACAATGGAGTTCTCATAAATCCGTGCACATTTTTCAGTTATTTAAGTCTAGATTGTCCACGTTTATACTTTACGCTGGGTGTACAATTAAAATTTGGTCCTAGTGTAGCTGAGCAGGTCTAACGAAACCTTGGCGGCACAACGCGTTATATACCTTGTAAAGCATCCATCTAGTTGCTGGCTTATCTAGCTGAACTAGGACACATGAAAAAAGTAATATCGCTAGCTATAGTATGAAACATTTAAAGATCCCGCTACCCTGACTAGGCCCAGGAAAAACATTGAAAAGTATTCAAGAACTGACCAAGTACAGCATGTTTTAGCTAATATATATGTGATAAACATGTTGTAACATTTAGTTGTTTGAGTAATACAACATAAGTGTTAATAATGCCAGCGAGAAATTAAAATAACACAATGTAGCCTTGAGTTTCAGTTGAGCTAGGGGTAGTCTCAGAGTCTATGGTCAAAATGTCAGCCAATTCCACAGTCGCGACTCTGCAAGACATCAGCACTGCTGCTAGGTAAGGGGGATTGTCAACACACCCATAACTGTAAGGTACATTTCTCAAGGTGGTACTTGAGTTGCTCTAGTAACAGTATAGGTAGTATGGGTATATTATACTAGTTAATTAAACAGGCCAGTGTGGATAGATTAGTTAGCATAAGGTACATAGACTGCTATCCAAGACATGCTACACTCTTATGTCCGAATCGTTGACTGCAATCCCACGATCTCTCGTGCAACTATACAGGCCAGTGACTTCAGACCAAAAATTGCTAGGCAGATGTGTCTGTGAGTAAACAGGCTAGTTAAACATTGAGTCTTGCATTCATTGAGACCGTTATACCACTGGGTTATGGGCCTAGACATAAATACCACTGGGTTATGGGCCTAGACATAGGAAGCTGCGCGTCTGATTAAGTCAAAATTATGAGCAACTAAATAGACAAAGCTTAGCTACTACTTCCTCATGGAGTAACATGTTAATTAGCATAGGCTATACTTATGTGAGTAACTAAGGAAACACACAATTATTAAAGCTATGCTAAGTTTTATGCGATGAGGTTTAGGACTGACGTGACATTTGCACATCTAACACTAGTTTTGGTAGAGATTATAGTAGGGGTCCAGGGTGATGGGCACCGCAGTCGTCTGCTTGAGCCATCAGCCCACGCCACAGGGTGGGATGGCTGCGCAAGACACGAGAGCAACATCCACACATGAGAAAACATGAACTTGAGAACATGGCATGCTCATTTGTGTTCAGAATAGATAATTTCCCTGGAGTTAGCTAAAAATTGTATAACATATAAAATAACAGGCTAGGTATCTACTGGCAAATGGGTATATTAAATGCTTGAGCCTGCCTGTCGTTGGGAAAAACTCAGCGATAGCATCAAATTCTCATATAGTAGATGCTGTCAGCAGGATACCATTACAAGAGTATAGGGGACCTCAGTAACAAGCTCCCTAGCACTGCATCACACTTCTTATTCTAAATTATAACTTTAAACATTAAACATTCCGCAGCTGTGTGGGTGATGTGGCCTGCGGTGGCATCGACCTGGTTTGAGAGGGGCTGTTAAGTAGAGTTAGTCCTCGTGGGAAGTGGGCTACAGGCCCCTAGTATATGTAGAGTCAGCCATTGCCCTAGTTCGGAGGTGGCAGGGAATTTAGAAGTGTTACAAAGTCAGAGTAAAGAATTGAGTGGTAGTGTCACTTGGGATGGGTCTCTTGTAAGTTGCAAGAGACGTACCATGCTCTCGAGAGGCCAGGGATAGGTGAGGGTGCTAGTAATGATTTTAATATGAATGTTCTGCATATTTGTTTTTACTATCCAACTGACTTTGCTCATGGATGTTGTTACCTCCTCCCCCAAAATGGGTGTACATGGGTGATTTCGTGTTGAGTTACTCTATGTTCTTCAGCCACATTAGTTGTAAATCATAGGTCCTCATAGTAGGCACTCTATGAACAGTAGGTTTATCTATAAGGCCATCATTGGAATAACTATACTTGTTTTCCTGTATCTATGGCTTGTTTTAGCGTCTTATATCAGGAGATGTTTTCTTAGGTTTAATTACATTATAACTTAATTGTATAAAATGTGCAAAATACAGTAAATACAATGGCATGTTTATTCTTGATATGTTGTGGTATGTACTAAGTGTATTTCTTTGCAAGCATTTTTGTCATATGTTCGCACTGCCCAATAAAATAAAAATGTACAAAAACATTAAAAAAAAAAAAACTAAAAACTGAAAACAGACCTAATGTTTAGGTAAAGATGTGAAACAGCCCAATTTTGAAAGTAAAGGCTTATGTTTTATGTTCAAATGCAAAAAAGAGTTTCAGCAATCAAGACAACCTCCATATGTATTGTTATTCTCTTTAAATACTGAAACGAAGTTAATCTTATCTCAGCAATGCAGTTTATTGCAATATGACCTGTGGAATAGTGTTGCAGAAATGAATATACAGTGGATGAAGCAGATTTTCTCATGACAAGTGCATGGAGTTATAGGGTGGATTCAGTGTGATGACATAAACAGAAAAATAACTGTACCCTTGCCAGAAATATTTCAGCTGCATTAGTTTCTGCAAGATATAAGGTAGGATATCGGTTACCATTAACCTGCAATAAAAATGAATTATGTACTTAATTGCTTTATGACACGTGAATAAAATACATACCTCTTTTCATGAGCAGTCAGTGCTGTCATCTTTCAGGGCCCATGGATATTACACCTATGTCTTACCCAACTCCTACATGTTTGTCACTGTTTGGGAACTCCTAAGCAGTTTAAATCTCCCCTATGACATCCATTTAATGGTTACATGACCAGCATACTGGCATTGGAACAGAGTGAAACCTGTCACTCCATTCATTTTGTCCTGTATACTTCTCAAGTGGAAGACATTGCTAGAGAGAAGCACAGCAGCTATTGTGTGTTACATGCAGTTGCTGAAATGAAGAACAGTAGAGCCACTTGAAGAGTTCTCCAGCTTGCCCTGCCACTCATTTCTCTGCATACAGAGTATAAGTAAATGATCACTCCACACTCATAAGGCACTTCAGTCTGCTGACATGCTTTGGGTGTTTGGAGTCTAATTTTCATGACAATTTATAAAAGTGCCAGTTTCGATAGAAATCTGCACGTTTATAATTGGTGGCAGGAACACCTTCTAAACTGTCAGACAGAGGAAGGTTCTCACCCGATTCCATTAACTCCTCAGAGCTAGCACAGTGCTCCTACCTTTTCCTCTTCCCAAAGAGCTGTACTACAGCTGAGAAACACAGGAAAACTGCAATCACATGCGTGCAGTGCTCATGGCACCAGCATAGATATTTTTCAATAAAAAGCCTTTGACTAGAGTATTCGCCAGCAGAGACTGATGTCAAAATTGTAACTGACATAACTTTAATATGTAATTATTTGAATAATAGTTGTAATATAACAAACTATGGTCTCGGTTTAATATTATTGGATAAACTTTCAAAATTATTATTTATTTATTTTATGTCCTTCATTAAAGTTTCAGCACTGAGGTGCATTAAATATTGTTGTTTGTGTCTGTTCTGTTCTATTCTTATTTGTTCGTTACTGCTATGTCATTATTGGTCTTAGAACCACCTGCACAGAAATGATTTTTTTTTTCAACTTTGTTTTAATTTTGATAATTTTCATCATAGTTTTGTCACTTGTATTCCTAGAATCCATGGCATACACACACACACACACACACACCTGTACATATACCTCAATTATGCTAATCTACGGTAACCAGGAGAAGATTTGAACTCCTTATAGTATATTACTATACTGTAGTGCTTGAGAACCTGGTAAACTTTAAAATCATAACTTTAAAAGTCAAGTTATAAATGTCACTATAAAATGTACCGACTTTCTAACGATGAAGGTTGATAGGACACAGTGCTGTTAAACCCCCACACAAAGGACAACTAATAAAAAATATGTCACTAAATGACATTGCTGCATCCAATGTTGTCATGATGCTAGGGGGGGGGGGGAGTAGAAGTTACAGAAGCTTAGAGGGAGGGAGTAGAAAAAGTTAGGAGGCACTTGTAGCCCAAACAAAACCTTGTTCTACAAAGTTTATGCATGAGGTGTTGCACACAGCTCGTTTTGACTGCTGATAAGAAACTCAGTATCAGTTTCATGCTTGAAGAGCAGGCATTACAATAATACAGGTGTAATTATCGTCTTCACAATAAGAAGAAGATATATGTGTTTGAGAAAGGAGGTATAATTAATGTATTTGACAAACAGACCAGGTTTATTCTTTGTACTTTTACTACATAAATGAGCACTTCCTTTATTATTTGCTGCATGGAAACATATAAGTTCAAAATAAGTGTACAATTAAAAATTTGAAGGAAACATGCAGGAATTTCACATTTTGCAAATGGAATGCGTATGGAATGCAAATGACTGATTTCAGAATTCTAATTATTTATAGCGGGTCAACAAAATCTCTCTCAGATCAATAAATTCCACTCCTAGAGTCACTTGGTTTCTATTTTAACTGCTATAAAAAAGTAACATAGAAACAAGACATCTTGTCACAACGACACTACATAGGTACCAAAGCATGAATTTGAATCCATGTGAATGGCATTCTCAGAGTTACAGAGACATTGTATAACAAAAGAATCCACCCATTCACACTGTGATCTACTAGGTGGAAGTAAAACACATTGTGGCAGTAATTTTACAACACTTTTTACATTTTAGTATATTAAGAGTGACAGAAGCTCTTGAAATATGATGCTTGCAAAGAGGTGACTCACATAGGGATAAGGACGTGGAGAGAAAAAAAAAATATAGCTTATTGCATTTGTTCTGGTGAGTAGAATCATTCCTATCAGGCTTTTTGCTGTAAACACTGTCTTTTCAGAAGAAATGCAGTGCTTACATTCAGGGCTGGGCATTTTGCCGCCCCAGTCTCTAATTAGTTGAGTTAGGCACCCGCCCAAGGTCTTGCAGCCGAATTCTGTGTCAGGTCTTCGGTCCCTCACCGAGGACCACACACCAGGAGGGGGCCTGGCAGCTTGCCCAGTATGCCACCGGGTGCGAGACCCTGAGAGGCAGAGAGCCAGCACAGTCTGCAGCTCCGCTGGTTGTGAGCTGCAAACTGTGCAGTGTCTCGCGATCTCAGGGCAGATTGGAGAGACAGCCAACCGGACCACCAGGGATCAAAGACACTGGACTACCAGGGAAAAAAATAAAAGGTATTTTTTGAAATCCCATCCCTCAATATCACCCCACCCCACTGTGTCACCCCCTCCCTCCCTTAGTCACTCTACCACCTGACACACACTCTGTCACTGTGTCACCCTGTCCCTCCCTCAGTCACTCTGCCACTTGCCACTCACTGTCACCCTCTGAGTCACTATGCCACCTGTCACCCCCTCCCTTACTGTGTCACCCCCTCCCTCAGTCACTCTGCCACCTGTCACCTCCTCCCTTACTTTGTCGCCGCCTACCTCCTGCATTCAGTGGATTGCATGCACACACTGCATGCAATCCACTGCACACACTGCATCCACTACACATACACTGCATAACATAATAGATGTGGGTGTTTTTTGCTCGATGTGGTTTTGTTGGGGATGGGGTAAATAATTTACTAGAATAGTTGCGCTATAAAGTTACACAATTAACATTGTTTTAACTTGAGCTACTCCTTGAAATTAATTTTGGCAACATGCATCACAAAAGTTTGTAACTTTATTAACACGTCATACAAGAGAGTGAATTGCTAGCTGTTGCAGAAGAGACAGGATAACTACAAGTAGTCTTTGCTTCGCAACTTACCTGCACAACGACTGCTCAGACGTACAACCAGCATTTTAGCGCAGGATTCAAGTGTTTTTGGGAATTTCCCTCGAATGTAAATTAAAGGGATTCCCTGCTCTTGTGAGCTGGTCTATATTGGGGGGTATTCACCAAACATAGACCTGCACTGGTGCGCATGCTCTCTAGCGCATCCTCACTTACCAACCAATTTGTTTTATGACCAAGTCGTATAAACAGAACGCGGTTGTTAGGTGAGGATCATCTGTACTCTGTTTGAAGCTCCGGTGCCAAGGACTGTTGAGGAGGAGTGAAGGCCAGCCTGCTGCCCAAAAACTTTGGGCCTGGACCTTGAAGGGGCTCTTATCACACTGGGGAAGAGTATGGAGGCCACCACAACTACCATAAAGAGTAAAATTACCTAAACTTTCTTAAATTGAGGGACTTTTTAAAAGGACTAAACACTAAGTAAGAATATAATAGGACAAAGTAGGGCATTTCATAAGACCTGTGCAGCCCTTACAACGGAATGTAGGTGAGAATAAGCAATGCCAGTACAAACAGGACAAGAGAAGATTATTATTAGCGTGGAGAGACTACTAACAGACACACCAAAATAATAATAATAATAATATAGCTTAGGAACAAAGAGCCACTTAATTCTGCACATATGAGGGACATGACCATATAGGAGAGGATGACAGGGAATCAAAAAGTACCAAATTGGGACTGTCAAAGCTCTAAACATGTAGCAACCAGCAGGAACAAACCACTGGTTTCCAAGGTGAAAGCTCCACTTTTGGCAGACTTGAGAATAATTCCCTTCGGTTGCCTGTACTTTTCCCAAAGTTACCGAACTGTTTCGTATACACCGTTTGCATACCGAACAGAACATGTGTGGTCCCCCTTTTATTAGCCTTCAGAACACCGACCACGCATGGCTGTTAACCGCGATTAACTCAAGTAATATTTTGTATTATTTCCTGTAACGGAGAGATAATGGAGTTATTCTACTTTGGACTCAATTTTATAACATGACAGGAGGTTTCATATTTGCTTAAGTCTCTCTTTACTAGAACTCCACAGAAGCAAAACACAAAGAGAGTAAACAACCAATCAGAAAACAGTACGGAGACCATATAACTCCCTTCCCAACATTCCATTTCCTCTTTCTTTGCTGCTCCGCATCAGTACAGATCAGAGTACCACTGCCTCCTGCTATTATTAGTTGGTGGCTTTGGGATTTTAAGATTTCTCTGTATAATTATTTATATTGTTATATTTTCTTTAATGTCACATTTGGGTACTATTTAGTTCCTTATAGGGTAAACTATCTGCCCTTTTACTCTCCCCTCTGGGTTAGTGAGTGTAGCGGAGATCCAGTAGTCCACAGGTTATCTCCGCTTAAGATCCCAGTAAGGCTCAGGAACAAGTAGTTATAAATCCATAAAGCAAGGTTTCCAGCAGGTAAAATAATCCAGCAGTATCCCAACAGCAATCCCAATAACTGGACGACACACAGTATCAGGAGCAGAACTAAAAACCTTTATTTCACAGTGGCCTTATAAAGCATGCTCACATGCAAGGGAGGGATTTCCATCAATTACTACAGTATCTAATCCTGTTCCGGTAACCTCCCACACATCCCCTCCCCTCAGCCTGCATCATAATCCCCTTATCCAGGACACCAATTCCCCCCGTTTCTGGATGCACCCCTAAACCTAGGGGTACCACTTTAAATATACATCCCCTGGTAGCCCTGATCTGGGTGAACAACATATCCAAAAATCACCCAGATCAGACCAGGGGTTCGGGAAATTCATGGAGGGAATAAAATGACCGACTGCGCTGGAAGGAATAGCCGAATTGGGCTCCATGCGATGGGGCCCTGCGGTCGGTCCTGGAACAAGGGAATAAATCATACGAAAGCCTCTAGTTACAGACACAGGGGAGGTCTGACTGTTCGGTAGATTCATTCGAACAAACTAAGGGAATGAAACTACCTAACATTCAGACGAATACAATACAGTTAACACATATAACTTTGCTGTTTTACACGAATGCATTCAAACACATGTAATTCTCAGGACAGCCCAGTGCGATCCGCTACAGTCATGACACCCCTCTGTTGAGTAGGGTTAATCAAGTATTCCTGTGGGCTCAAACCACATGTGTTTCTGAAACTTAGCAACATCCCTCACGTACAGTATTAGCCGAAATACAGGCCCTCTTCGACAAAGGGGCAGATCAGTGGGCGCTCGATTTTCCTAGTCAGGAAAAAGTCGGGAGATTTCCGTCCGGTCAGAAATCTAGGGAACCTGAACGCCTTCATTTCCTATCTGCACTTCAAGATGGAGGGCATCCATCTTCTAAGAGACTTACTGCGCCCAGGAGATTAGTTCACTCGTCTAGACCTGAAGGACGCATATCTATCCATGCGGGTGGAATCCGGATGCCGACCGTTTCATTTGGAAAGGGAGGCCATGCCAATTCACCTGCTTACCGTTCGGCCTCAGCTCAGCAACTTGGTGTTTCACCAAACTGTTGAAACCAATAACAGCATGCCTGCGCTCCAGGGGCATTCGGTGCCTGATATACCTGGAGAATTTGCTTCTCTTCTGCGAGGACGCCTCCAGGCTGAAATCTCAGACGCTCTACACGGTCTCCTTGTTCGAATTCCTGGGGTTTGTAGTCAACCGAGAGAAGTCAGCCCTCACACCGACGCAGGTAGTTAAATTTTTGGGGTTCGAAATAGATGCGACTCAGTGCATCCTGAGCCTCACTCAGGCCAAAATCTCGGCCATTCGAAAAGAGATCAGACGGATCCTGCGTCAAGAGATGATCCCACTCAGGATTCTGGCACGAGTGGTAGGCCTCTTGTCCGCATCGATCCAAGCCATCTACCCAGGCCCCCTTCACTACAGGGCCATGCAATGCCTGAAAGCACGCTTCCTGCGCAGGAAGCCCTCATACGACCAGCTGATTCCCATCACGCAGAAAGTCAAGACCGAACTTCGTTGGTGGCTGTTACATATGTCAGCCTGGAACGGAAAGGCGATTTTCGGTCCGACCCTGGACTTCGTTCTGGAATCGGATGCGAGCCTATGGGGCTGGAGAGCGACCTGCGCGACCGCCTCCACGGGAGGCCCCTGGTCGAGCACGGAAACAGGGTATCACATTAACTGCCTGGAAATGATTGCGGGCTCATTCGCTATACGGAGCCTTGCGGGTCATCTGTCGGATTGCTGCATCCTGCTGAGAATGGACAACATATCAGCGGTGCAGTATATCAACCGCCTGGGAGGAGCACGCTCACGGGCCCTGACGGAGGTGACGAAGGAGATTTACAACTTCTGCCTTCAGCGCAATATCACTCTCCAGGCAGAATATCTTCCAGGTGTGTCGAACCTGACGGCAGACTGGTTTTCCAGACACTGGAGGGATGCCAGCGATTGGTGTCTACATCAACCATTCTTCCTCGAAGTGGCGCGACGGAGGGGCCAATTCACGGTGGATCTGTTCGATTCCAGGACGAACTTCCAGATCTCAAACTACTTCAGCTAGTTCCCGGATCCGATGTGCGCAGCAGTGGATGCTTTCCTTCAGGACTGGCCAGCGCAGGGAGCCTATGCATTTCCACCATTCACTATGATCTCCAGGATCCTTCTCCAAGTACGACGTCAACAGATATTGCTGGTATTACTGACACCTCTTTGCCAAGGCCAGGCTTGGTTCCCAGAATTGCTAGAGCTGTCATATCGGGACCCGCTCCTTCACCCATCTCCGCATCTTCTCCTGTCGGATTCTCGAGGCAATCATCACCCCCTTGTACTGGAAGGCCATCCTCACTTGGTGGCTTGGACTCTTTCCGGGGTACCTGGAATGTCGATGAGCTATCGGGATCGGCTAAAAGCCTCCTCTGGGACTCATGGGCCCCGGGAACGAGGAGATGTTATCTGTCCGCCTGGAACATATGGTGTCGTTGGTGCATGGAACGGAGTATCAATCCCTTTACAGCACCTGTATCCAGCGTACTGAATTTCCTTTCTCACCTCTTCAACCAATGGAGGTCATATCGCTCCGTTAACGTTGGCAGATAAGCCATTTCAGCGGCTCATGTTCCCCTTCAAGGGACGCCCATTGGACAAGACCCATTGGTTTGTAGACTATTGAGAGGAATCAGACTACCACGTCCACCGGCTCCTAAGTATACATCACTCTGGGATGTGCACCGGGTTTTGGATTTCATTCATGCGTGGCCGGAGAATCAGGAACTTTCTCTACGGCAATTATCGGCCAAGTTCACACTTCTCTTATGCCTGGTATCGTTTCGTCGGGTCTCCGACGTCCGGGCTTTTGATATTAACCTTTTCCCCAGATGGGGTGACTTTTTCAGTGTCGAGACATACCAAGTCCGACTCCACTGCCATTTTCTACCCTTTTTTGTCGAGAAGCTCCTAAGCTCTGTGTGGTTTCTGCTCTGTCTCGCTATGTGGCAGTTACTACCCCGCTTCGAAGTTCCCAATCGAGACAGCTGTTGATATCTTATGTACGGCCACATAAACACCATTACTACCATTACTTTGGCTCGTTGGATCAGATGGCTTTTGTCGTTGGTCGGCGTGGACTCCTCTTTTGGTGCTCATTCAGTAAGGGGCGCGGCGGCATCGGGAGCCCTGTTAGCAGGTGCTTCCCTGGCCGATATTCTACGTTCAGCAGACTGGTCTCGAGAAGACACATTTCGACAGTTTTATTTCAGACCAACAGAACATGCAGCTTTTGCCTTACTGGCTGATCGTTGAAACAGCAAATATGAAGCCTCCATGTTATAAAATTGTAGATTATGCTAGCTTTAGTGTACTTATAATCTTAATTGTATTACTGACAGGACGCGAATATTTCCCACCCTTTGTTCCCGACCCTTGTGTGTTTTTATTATCTGGTAGGTTGAATATTAATAAAGAAATATGTCTCTGGTCAGTGTTCGTTGTGGTTGTTTCCTACGATATGTTTTTCATTTCTGCCTGGGCCGAGATCTGTACACTTGGTGGTGTTCACTATGAATTTTGCACTGGGTGGCTGCATGCTTTTATGTGTACTTTTCATTGGCTAATCACAATTTTCGATTCTGTTTATCTCGTTTCAGTGTAAAGGTCCCAGGATGAGATCACGACCAAGTTTTCGATTCGGTTGAAGATTCCTATGAGAGTCGTTGTTTCCGTCAGAGATGGGCTGTTATTGTTATGCTATGATTTTTTTTTGTTATGACTGTGTTTTGTTATCGCAGCTTGAAAGAGGAAATGGAATGTTGGGAAGGGAGTTATATGGTCTCCTTACTGTTTTCTGATTGGTTGTTTACTCTCTGTGTGTTTTGCTGCTGTGGAGTTCTAGTAAAGAGAGACTTAAGCAAATATTCGCCTCCTGTCATTAATAAAATTAAGATTATAGGTACACTAAAGCTAGCATAATCTACAATTATCTCTCAGACACAAAGACTCCGGGAGGGACTTGTACTTTTTCCTACGGAGACCCCATGCTGGGGGTCTGTGCATAAAAAGTGTGGCATAGAAAACCTCAGTTAACTCCCAGAACTGTGTGTCGTCCAGTTACCGGTGGAATGGGCTAGAAACTGAACAGCGTTTTCTTCCAGCTCCAGAGGATTCCAAGGTCTCAGGATTGCAGCTCCCCTACACCACTTTAAAAAAAAGTTTGTTCACAATTGTTCTTTTTATATAACCCCAATAGGCACAAAATGATACACTAAAGAAAGAGTGAACTAAGACAAAGAACGTTTAATTTGTTCTGCAAGTGAATATTCAGATTGCGTGATTGCGAGTTCAAGGACCCCTATTACACAATATAAAGGGTAACTGCCAGTCAATACAAAATTGGTCCAAGTAACATGCAAAAAAAATAAACAAAATCATGGCTATATCAATATAGTATACATTATACAGTTCACTCTATATTCTGTACATTCATGCAATCCTGAGCAATAAAAAAAAAAAAAAAAAACAGAACAAAATAATTTATTGTATAATGTTAAGCATGCCTTTGAAATTGTCAAATCAAGGTCACTTTATAGTAAACTAGAAAATAGCTTTCCTATAAGATGAATTGTTATATAAGGGCCACTTTATATCTCCATGGTTACTGTATGTGTAAATCAAAGAGCAAATGACATAGCACTACTTCTAGCCTTTAACTGGAGAATGTAGAAGAATGATGGAAAGCAGAATCTATTGATGGCATTTACCACTAAACAAAGTGCAAACAACTTTTTTATTTTATTCAAAAGCATTTGGCTGCAAAGGTAAGGGAAAACACAAAAATGTAGCAACCAAAACACTTCTTTCATGTCCTGGAAATACATTATTAAGCATGGAAAGTTTTGAGAAAAAAAAAAAAAAGGTTTAGGACAGAGTTCAGAGTTATATCTTTCTAGATAGATGATCAGCAATTCCTACATAAGTGACTGGAAAATTTTACCATAAAATTCCTATTTAATTTTTTCACTAACACAGAAGCAGCAGAAATTAATGCAAGCATTCTATTGATAGATTAATGCAAGCTTTCTATTGATAGATTAATGCAAGCTTTCTATTGATAGATTAATGCAAGCATTCTATTGATAGATTAATGCAAGCATTCTATTGATAGATTAATGCAAGCATTCTATTGATAGATTAATGCAAGCTTTCTATTGATAGATTAATGCAAGCTTTCTATTGATAGATTAATGCAAGCATTCTATTGATAGATTAATGCAAGCTTTCTATTGATAGATTAATGCAAGCATTCTATTGATAGATTAATGCAAGCTTTCTATTGATAGACCACTAGGTACACAATGTACAAAGTACAGTGCTTAAAGGCCCAGCTGCACAACATGCTTGATATTTATTTGTTTTTTTCACCCTTAGTCACAGATATGTCTGCACAAATGTACTGGTGTGTATCTTTGTGTAAATACACAGTATTTTTATAAGAAATTCAATAATATTTAAACATCAACAAGATGAACTATTTGTTATCGTAATGCCATGGATGCTGCGAGCAGGATGCTGTGAGTCTCTGAGACATGTGCCTGGTGGAGAGCTTTGGGGATTATTCACTGAACTGAAAATGTGTTGAATTTAAATGAAAATTGCAAATTTTAGGCCAAAAACCTATTTAGGTGCTAGCGATAGGATCCTATCAGCGTCACAAAACAGCAGAACACATCCATGCAGGGTGTTAAATAATAGCCTAACAAGGCCTAGACAAAGAAGATTTTCCAAAGATATTATTACATTTCCTAAATTATGTGAAGTACCAAAAATACAATACATGACACTGTGCCACACTTACCGGGTATAACCCAAATTGAATGAATATATCTCTTTAATAACTTATTTTATCAGTATACTTGTCAAATAATCACAAATCAATTATACAAGGCTCTTAATTTGCAGACGGGTAAGAGATATACTGCATGACTGGCCACCTGCCAATCAAAGAGTTAATTTTCTGTGTACACCTTTTTAATACTAAGCTGCAAGATGCTGAGTTTCCAAAATGTACACTCTGAAAACCTTGCATGAAATCATTCTACTGGTTTAAACATAACACAGATAGACTGCAAGCTCTTCGATGCAATGAGAACATTTTCAGTATTCTTGCTACCATGCAATTTTTTTTATTCTTGGGCTCTTTAGGGTTTATCCTGTTAGAGTGACACAAACTGCAGAACAGTGCTTTAATGCAGCTTTCCCTTGCCCTGAATTCTATGGTATGCTGTACATTAATCTAATAAAAGTACTGCAGTGTGTGTTAGCAGTTAATATTATTTATAGATGTATTCTTCTTACACTGGGCATGCTATAATGCAGATTCATTACGATTATGAAAGTTTAGAAGACATACCTGAATGTCCTCCAAATTCTGCATGGAATTAAGTCTTGTGCTGATAATTATCTAAGTCACACTTGCAGCTCCCCAGACTCATAGATCTGCTGAGCACCTGCACTCAGAAATCAACTTGCCACCTGAAAGGCATCACTGCCAACCAATAGCAGGTAATGTGTGGAATAGGAAGGAGGAGCTAGTCAAGCACTGTTTCCCTTGATTGGCAGTTACCAAGGATCAGGTTCCTGTGACGTTCAGATGATACCATTGCCATGGTGATGTGTAGACGCTGTGGGAAGGGATGTTCTTGAAGTGTAGCCACTCGTCTGGCTGTGTGAAGGAAACTGAAAAAAAAAAATAGTCAATTACATATTTGCTGTTGCTTTACATGGTGCAAGGAATATGATGTTAGCTTTGCAAATGGAAAATTATATGCAATACAAATTTATATACTAAAAAAAATATTAGAACATAATACTTTCATGTACTGACTTTAGAAATGTAATCAATACTATATTATGCGAGCTGAGTGTGTTCTGGCAACTCTCTGGCAACTTGGGAATATCACGAAGGAACTGCTACAACAATAGAATAATGCTTTCTGTTTTCAGTTCATGTTTATAAATTTAAATTTTTTTTAAAAAAGTGTGTTTTATAAAAAAAGGAAAATTAAAATGTTAAAAATTAATTTTTTTGTTAATTACTGCCCATTCAGCATGGACTATATTTAAGGGACCATTATTTTTATTAATGTAGTGGTTTGGTGCATAGATGCTGCCCCTTTTGCCTGACAATGTCAAACATTGCCGTTTCTGAGAAATAGCAAGAATTACATTTTGATGAAAACACAACTCTAGTGGTGTCAAGTTGATATTCAAGTTGATATTCAGTGTGACCAAAATACCACCATTACAAATATCAGTTTTTGTTCTACTTTATTGTTACACTACTGCTTGTAGATGCCCAAGGGAGCCAATCAATTATCATATCATGATTATATGATTTGACTTCTTACGGTGAGATAGTGCTTTGGAATCCTGGCACCATAACCACTACAACACTATATACCTAAAGTGCCCCTTCAACATTAATAGGGCACTGGAATGACATTGCTTAGTAGCCACCAGACTCTCACTAGACATTACCCATGACCAATCTTTTAGCCATCTCTAATCCCCATCAGTTACAAGGCACCCACCATTACCACTACTTATCCTCCTCCAACAGAATTTGTTATACATAATACAACTATTTGGTCTCTGCACACACACAAATAATATTTCAAAATATTTAAAAGACATGGTCATAATGTGTTTAAGCCTGGCACTTTCTAGTTCTACAGAGCGCCCCAATATTGATGGATCCTAATCTACGTTTTTAGGTTTTAACTTGGGAGAAACATATACTGCAAACTGCTTCACTAACTTGTATCACTGCATATCTGCTACAAGCAACTCTCCTACAATGTAACACCACTTTCCATAACAATTACCTACTTATGGAGCAACTGTGTGAAAAGGGATGGGATGCTACCCGAAGCCTGGTCAGGGCTAGTATACATATAATAAACATTTTGGGGGGAATCATCCAAATCATGCATTATTTAGCGGTGGCGCTACTTGAGCCTTAAATTATGAGCCTTATGCAGGTGTATACATAATACAGCAATATAGCATACACACAAATAATAGTTCAAGGCTACTTAAAAACATCTATGTCATATTTAAAATATGGAAATTTATTCACAATTTATGCACTTCTTTACCCAGATTCTTTCCCTCTCTGTCCACTGATTATCTAACATCCAGGGCCATGTGGATGCATATAGATGGGCTGTGATTTGTAATACTTGCAGCAACTCTGTAAAGATGTCACCTGCAATTTGGTGAAGCCTTCCGCATTATTCTGGTCCTGCAATAGACATAGAATATTAAAAAAGAAAAATTCACACCGGGACCCATTGATTTCTAGCTACGCCTCTGTCTCTGCCTCAGGCTCCCTTGCTTCTCCTCTGCCCCAGTGCATATATTCACAGATCCCATTGCAGATATACACACTGACATACACAGAAACACACAGTGACAAAACATAAAGATGTACAGACACAGAGATACAAAGACTGCCACACATGCAGATACACAGACACAAACTGACACACATGCAGTTGCACGGACACACTGATGCACACACTGACACATGCAGATACAAACACTGACAAACACTGAGATACATATTGATACAGACACATGCAGATACTTAAATACACAAATACAATCACTGACACACATACAAATACATAAACACAGATTCAGACATTGACACACACACACACCGACCGACATATACAGATAGACACACAAACACACACAGATAAATAGACATACAGATACACACCCAGACACACACAGATACACATACATACATACAGATACAAACAATGACACAGATACAGACATACAGATACACACACTGACACACACAAAGATACAGACACACACACATATACACAGACACAAACAATAACACATATGCAGATGCATGGACACACTGATAAACACACTGACACATGAAGATACACAGATTTAAACACTGACATACATATTGATACAGACACATGCAGATACATAAGCACACAGATTCAAATCACTGACACACATACAAATACATAAACAGATTCAGACACTAACACACAAAGATCCAGTTACCTTGCTCACTGGTTATGGGGTTTATTCACTAAACTCTGGAGGAAAAAAAATCAGAGATGGGAGAGAGGGAGGGATATGTCAGAAATGATAGGAGTATGGGAGCAATGAAGAGATTGCTGGGAGTGATAGGAAAAGGGAGTAGGAAATGGTTGGGTGTTATAGGATTAAAAGAAAAAAGGAGTAGGTTTGGAGTGGTAGGAGGATGTGGTGAGAAGAATAGAGGAGGATTGGGTGAGAGGAAGGCATTGGTGGGAGTAATAGAAGGATGGGATAGAGAGGAAGGGATGAGTGGGGGTGATAGGAAAGGTGATATAAGTATTTAAGTATGGGGTGAGAGGAAGGGATGGGCGGGGGTGATGAAAAGAAGGAAAGAGAGGTCGGGAATGGGTGGGTTGCAGTGATTTGAAGAGAGAGTGGGGATGGCTGAGAGTGGAAGGCATGAGTGGGAATGATAGGGGAAGAGGAAGAGCAGAGAAATTAGTGGCCAGATGGGTGTAAAAGGAGGAGAGAAAGAGATTAGGTGGCAAAAATAAAACACTGAGGTCCACATTATAAATTAAAATATTTAGTGACGTGAAGCTCTATGCAGTGTGCTAGGAGCGCCCTGGCACCATTCAGCTCCCCTACACGCCTTAACCCCACACTTCAGCTCCTAGCCCCTAGTGGTGGATAGGGGCTGTAGTTGGGGGTTAGAAGTTACTCCTATGCCCACACATCAGTGAAAACTGTGGAGAGCTATAGTGGGGGGTTAGGGGCTGCTCCTATCCCCACACATCAGTGAAAACTGTGGAGAGCTATAGTGGGGGGGTTAGGGGCTGCTCCTATCCCCACACATCAGTGAAGACTGTGGAGAGCTATAGTTGAGGGTTAGGGGTTGCTCCTTTACCCACACATCAAAGACGAAAGCAGAGAGTAGGCAGACACAGAACATGCCAATAATACTGCACTATACCACCAACAGTAAGCAACAGCAATATGTTGTTGTATCGCTTTGGGTGACTTGCAATATTTAAAAGGGATACTATAGGCACTCAGACCACTTCATCTCCTTAAAGTGGCCTGGGTACAGTATCCCTGTACCACTTAGTCCTGCAATGTAAAACATTGTAGTTTTAGCAAAACTACAATGTTTACATTTCAGTACTAAGACTGCCTCTAGTGACATTGGAGGTGCTTCCTGGAGTTTCACAGAACTTTTGTACTTTTGCATGAGGCCATCCAGCGTCATGGAGGCAATGCTTTCCTATGGGGAATGCTTAACCCCGTAAAGGGACACTCCGGGCACCCAGACCACTTCTGCCCTGGGTGCCAACTCCCACTACTCTTAACCCTGCAAGTGTAATTATTGCAGTTTTTTATAAACTGCAATAATTACATTGCAGGGTTAACTCCACCTCTACTAGACAGCCACTAGGAGCACTTCCTGGTTTCTAGCACAGGAAACCTGTGCTAGAACGTCGCTGGACGTCCTCACGCTATATGATGACTTCCAGCGTCGCTCATTTCCCCATAGGAAAGCATTGAAATGCATTTTCAATGCTTTCCTATGGGGAGCGCTATGGCCGACGCAATGCAGAGGAGGAGAGGCGGCGGAGGAGGAAGCAGCGACAAGGGACATCGTCGCTGCCTCAGGTAAGTTACTGAAGGGGTTTTCACCCCTTCAGCAACCGGGGATTGGGGGGTGGGAGGGAGAGGGAACCTGCAGTGCCAGGAAAACGGATTGTTTTCCTGGCACTGGAGTTTCCTTTTAAGGACCAAACTTCTAGAATAAAAGGGAATCATGACATGTCACATATGTCATGTATCCTCAAGGGGTTAATGTGCATGTTAGTGTTAGAAATACATCTTTGTAAATAATACACATTTATATATCAGCACCATGTTAAAATAAATAACTAAAAATGGGAAGCAGAGCTGGTCTGCTTGGGACACACCCCATATACATGTTTCTGTTGATTCTACACACACTCTATTGAAGGTCACTTTACCCCCACTTGTCCCTGTGTGCACTTTTATTTGAATTTGGGCTAGTTTTTATGTTTTTGAATAAAAAGTAATGGCTATCTTTGTATACAACTGGTTCTAATTTTCAGAGTATTCTTTTTTTAGAGTAAAGTTTAGATGAAAGTGCAAAGCACGCCTGTATAATGGTTACTACTGAGGACCTTAGTTGCCATTTGTTCTGAGGGATAACATACATTTTAGGTGGTATAATTCGAGTGAAATAATGTATTTCATGCTCACATAGCAGGTTAATGGTGTATATTAAAAGCTTTTTGGATAACACAAGTTAAACTGTCATAACCTGCTAATATGGAATATATAGGGCTCTGTGATGTACATGGGTTACACAAGCATTACGAACTTACTGAACGTTCTATTCAAAGAACGCAGCGCTCTCGCGATAGGAAGGAAGTTTGGCCGTCCGTGCTCTCCGTACTGCTGTCGGTCTCCCGCCATATTGACGTAAATTCGGATCGGGAAGCCAGAGTCGGACCCTTGCTCTGCACAGGATAGCAGCCATCATGGCGGCGGATCCTGGGCTAGAAATGACTTCTATGATCCCGGCCCTGAGAGAGCTAGCCAGGTAAATGGCCTCCATGCCTGGGGGTATAGACAGAGGACTAATACAGGGCTGGATAAACCATAGGCACTGTGAGTTGCTGTGAAGTATAGGTGCATCACGCTCAGCCAGCCAAGAGCATTTCTGAGCATGATGGTAATGTTAGTCCATGGAAAACACAGTGCAAACTTTTATTTGTGACTGCAAAATTATCAGTACCTCTCAATAAAACTATAGCTGCCAAAGTGGTCTGTGCAGAAGCAACCCATCCTTCCCATATAGAAAAAGCTTTTATAAAAAATAAAAATGTAAAAATGAAAATTGCTCACCTATATGATAAGAGGAGCTGCTCTGCAAATTTTTAGCAGTTATCAACCAAATAAACAGCCTTAAAGGGACACTATAGTCACCAAAATTACTTTAGCTAAATAAAGCAGTTTTAGTGTATAGATCTTTCCCCTGTAATTTCACTGCTCAATTCCCTGTCATTTAGGAGTTAAATCACTTTGTTTCTGTTTTTCCAGCCCTAGCCACACCTCCCCTGGCTATGATTGACAGATCCTGCATTAAAAAAAAAAAAAAAAATGGTTTCACTTTCAAACAGATGTAATTTACCTTAAATAATTGTATCTCAATCTCTAAATTGAACTTTAATCACATCCAGGAGGCTTTTGCAGGGTCTAGCAAGCTATTAACATAGCAGGGGATAAGAAAATCTTAATTAAACAGAACTTGCAATAAGGAAAGCCTTAATAGGGCTCTCTTTACAGGAAGTGTTTATGGCAGGCTGTGCAAGTCACATGCAGGGAGGTGTGACTAGGGTTCATAAACAAAGGGATTTAACGCCTAAATGGCAGAGAATTGAGCAGTGAGGCTGCAGGGGCATGTTCTATATACCAAAACTGCTTCATTAAGCTAAAGTTGTTCAGGTGACTATAGTGTCCCTTTAATGTGTTGCGTTATTTCCCAAGCTGCTGACTGGTTATGGGGGTTTATTCGCTAAATTCTGCGGGGGAAAAAATGCTCATTTAAAAAAAAATGAGGATCAAATAGCGAAGCAGTCGCTATAGCGGAGTTGGAGAATTTCTCCAGATGAGCAATTTTAATCTAAGCATTGCAATGCAGATTTTTGTGTGATATACAGTGGAGTTTAGAGCATAAATCTTTATGAGTGTAGTTGGGGTTCTCTCCAGTGCAGAGAAAGGAGAGATTTACATCTAAGTTGTTTGTATAATGCACCCATGCTTCTGTGGACAAATCTTAGACAGCAAAGATTAAAATTATTCCTTTTAACACAAGTATTGCTCCACACCTTAGGAGTGCACCGCCAATAGAGTCACCACTCTAACCCCAAGTGCACATAGAATCAGGAGGTTATGTTGAAGAATTGCACATTTACAGGGTTATTTACTAATGTAAGAATTCAAAGTTGATTTAAATTTTAAGGTCCAATAGCTGAACGTGAAAAAATGTCTACTATAGAAATAAAGTGAAACTGTCACCATCCCCCATTCCTGAAAAATACCAAGTTCATAAAGATAGACTCTTTATGAAATACTTGTTTTGACTGTTGGAATTTCATTGAAATACCAACCCAGTCAACAGATATACTGAGACAAAGTAGAGAGTATATCTGTATATTTCCTCTGCTTGACTTTGTTAGATTCTGGGGGGGAGCTACAGTGTCAATCCTGACAGCCATCATTAGTCATGGCTGCAGGGAATTGCCATTAGGAATTCTCATGGGATCCTCCATTGACCTCAATGCTGTTCTCTTGTGCATGTGCGAGAGTCCAGCAGTGTTGTTGGCTCCTGGTGCTGAAGTGTACCTGCCAAAGAAAGATGGCAGCGCCTGCGAGGGACAGGTTAGAAGAACTCCACTTTACCTGCCCCTTCACCCCACCGGACAACCAGCGCGATGTTACCGTCGGGAGTCTTTGGGAATTTAGCAGAGTCTCCAAACGGTGACAGTGGCGCTTTAAATGTGAAATTTACCTTGAATATTCACTTTCATAAATAACACTGTTAATGTTGGAGGTATTGCACATTGTGCATCTAAGCTGTGCACCTTGCAATAAATGTGCATTTTTTAGTAAATGTGCATTACTACTTTGACATCACTGATCAGAGGACTTAGTCTTACACCTTTATTTTGGTGGGGGGAGTTGTTGCAACTGTAAGCCAGGAGATTTTATTAAAGACACGGAGGCTCATATTATGCATAACTCTTTCTTTATTTCCTCAGCAGCAAAGATAGAGGAATATAAATATTATCAAATTGAAAGCAAAAAACTGTATAAGTACACAGGCAACCAATAGCATAACATAGGAAGTGGCTATATAAGGCCTGTGTCTCCCACAATCCCCCTCTTTCTTTGCTGCTTCCTCAGACAGCTAAGTACCATTATTGAGCTCTCTACTCATTGCTTTTTATTAGTATTATTTGTTGTGTTTTTCTGGTTTTGCTTCATGCTCATTATTATTTATTGTTTTATTGCTTGTCTCTTACTCTTGTTGCCTGGATCGTTGGTGTATTTGGGGACCCCCCTGGGGCGTTTTGCCCGCGGCCGCGGGCTCTCTCTCTTCCCCTCCCTCCCGCCCCTATCCCTCACCGAGCGCTTCCCAGCGCTGCCCTCTGCCGCGGCGGTTTTCTCTCGGCACCGCGGCTGAGTGTGCTCGTTTTTTTCCCTTTCACAGACTACCCGCGCGGGTAGGTGCGCGCGCGCCCCTTCCCCCGCCGGGGGCCTGTACACGTGTGCAGTTTGTTATTAGACGGCGGCCATTTTGGGTGATCGCTACGCATCGCTCAGTGTCCTGCCGTGCGGTCTGTTCTCTCTGGGTCTCCCTGCTACACCAGCGATCAGGTCCTTTGTGTTGTTGCTGGGTTAATCAACCCACTTATTTAGTTTTCACCTTTATTGTTCAGTGCCGTTTTTCTAGTGTCTCTGCCATTATGCAGGATAGGGAGGATGGGCCTACTGATCCCTCTGAGGATTTTCCTAATGTTAACCCTGAGGGTGCTATGGCATCTCAGGAGTTTCAAGCCTTATTAGAGGCCACTATGGCTTCCTCCCTTCAGAAGGCTATTGCCTCAGCTATGGGGGCTGTCTCCTCCTCCTTTACCCAGTCTCTGCAATCTGGGTTTTTGCCTTCCACGGCTACCCCTGCCCCCCTGGGTGTGGGGTCCCCTTCTCCTGCCCATACTGTGCCGGGTGCCCGTAAGGCGAAGGATAAATCTCGTCATATCGGTTCCCACTCCTCGATGCAGGTTTTGCCTGCCATGACTGACTCGCCTCTGGCGATCACAGCGCGCATCCCACGCGCACAAGAGCCCCTGGCCGGGCTAAAAAGGCTAGATTGTGGAAACGGGCTAGAGACTGGATGATGAGTCGGATTCCGACCGGAGTGTGGAAAATGAATCCGATTTTATGGAGTACGACTCCTTTGTTAATGACGAGTCGGGAGAGGACATACCCCCTACGGGGGCTCCCCCTTCTAGGTCCTCTGCCAACCCCCGAGGTAAGGTCACTGGCCCCGCTGGGGACAATAAAGCCCTGCTAGACCCACAGGGTAACCCCATGTTTGACCCGGACGACCTCCGTCACCCGCGGTCTGCCGAATGGGTCCCTCCGGACCACATCGCCCAATATGTGGCTAAGCGAATTCGCACGCCCCTATCCAAAGAAGGCCGCAATAAGCTGCGCGCCGAGTGCCCACGGCCTTCTCTCCCTGGCGCTGCCTGCAAAACCCCAGAAATCGACCCACAAATCGCCCAATTTTTAAATAAATCTGGCTGGAAACCTAAGAAGGGTCTTGATCATTCCCTGAAGGGATGCCAGGATAGGATCCTGGATACGCTGGGCCCCCTGTCGAAGCTGTACGAGCTTCTTGATGCCGCTAGATCAGGGGAATCTGTTTTGGATGTGGATGTGGCCATCGGGTGGGTCCAACGGGCTATATGCCTTCTGGGTAACGCCAACACGGCGGTGTCCTCCGAGAGGCGCAAGGCCATTCTACTAAAGATTGACCCTAAATTGGCCGCTATGTCTGTGGCGGAGCCTGATTCGGCTGATGAAGGTCTGTTGTTTGGCACATCCTTCGTGAAGGACATGGGGTCATATGTCAAGACCTTTACGGCTATTGACAAGGCGCAGGCAAATATGAAGCGCGTCTTCGCGCCCAAGGTTTTCGGAGGGGCCGGGCGTAGCAGGAACCGTCCTCCCGGCCGTGGTTTCCGAGGCTCGTTCCGTGCCACCAGAGGTTCCTTTTTTCCCTCCAGAGGGTTCCAGGACCCGAAAACTCCTTCCTTCTTCCCGGCAAGGGGGAGATCGTGGGGCTCCAGATACCCCCGTGGTGGAACTTCGGGCAGACGCCCTTATGGTGAGTACCCTTTCTTCCCCTCTCGATCAGGTTCGGGTGGCGGGGAGGCTGGCCTTTTTCTACCTAAGGTGGGCAGATATAACTGCGGATGCTTGGGTTCTGCAATGCGTAAAGGGTTATCGCCTAGAGTTTGTTTCCCTGCCTGTTCAAATTTCTGTTCCCAGGGAGTTGTCTCTCCCACCGGAACAGGACGCGATGATCTCCGCGGAGGTCGAGGAGATGTTTTCAAAGGGTGCCATAGAAGAATTGCCGTTCGCCGCCCCAGGCTTTACGAGCAATCTCTTCTTAGTACCCAAGAAAGGGGGCGGGGTCCGCCCGGTTATAAATCTTCGCCCTCTCAACGCGTTTCTGCGCTACCAACACTTTCAGATGGAGGGCATCCATTGTCTCAGGGATCTGCTGCGGCAGTCGGATTGGATGGCCAAATTGGACCTGAAGGACGCGTACTTCACGGTCCCAATAGCGGTGGAATACAGGGACTACTTGCATTTCACCTGGCACGGACGGCGTTGGCGTTTTACATGCCTGCCATTCGGTCTCTCCTCGGCCCCTTGGTGTTTCACCAAGGTGATGAAGCCGGTGGTGGCGTACCTCCGTACCAGAGGTTTCGCCTCATTATTTACCTGGACGACATTTTAATTATGTCCCAATCGAAAGAATGCCTGGAGTTGCATCTGAGCTGGACTATCAACCTTTTGCAGAATCTAGGTTTTCTAATCAACTGGGACAAGTCGGTCATGACCCCCGCCCAGTCGATGGAGTTTTTGGGGTTTCAGGTGGATTCCATACGGCAATTCCTCTACTTGCCGGAATCAAAGATGAAGGCCATTCAGAAAGAGCTCCGGCGAGCTCTCCGGGCCTCAGATCTCTCGTTACGTCAGTTGGCGAGGATCATCGGCCTACTGGCATCCTCCATTCAGGCGATATTCCCTGGCCCGTTGCATTATCGAGCCCTGCAGCGGCTCAAGGGGTCACACCTTCGTTCAGGCCACTCTTACGAATCACGGATTCGTTTGGACGAGGAATCCAGGGAAGAGATAGCCTGGTGGCTAGCCCACATGGAGGCCTGGAACGGAAGGGCAATTTTCGGTTCCCTTCCGGACGTAGTCATAGAATCGGACGCCAGCTTATACGGCTGGGGCGCTCGTTGTGGCAACGCCTCCACGGGAGGCAGATGGTCCGACGCAGAGAAGTCGTTACACATCAATTGCCTGGAGCTCCTGGCAGGAGCCTTTGCAATCCGCAGCCTTACCCCGGGACGGGCAAACTGTTGCGTTCTCCTCAAGCTGGACAACGTATCAGCGGTCCGATACATCAATCACCTGGGTGGCACCAAATCCAAGATGTTGGCTCTTCTGGCGAAAGAGTTTTGGCAATTCTGCCTTTACAACAACGTCTCTGTGACGGCGGAGCATATTCCGGGTCTGGACAATTCGACTGCGGATTGGAATTCCAGACATTTAAGAGACTCGGGAGACTGGCGCTTGCACGGCTCGGTCTTCCGAGGCCTAGAAGGTCTATGGGGTCGTTTCGAGATGGACCTGTTCGCCTCTCGGCTGAACGCTCAGGTACCGAAATTCTACAGTTGGAGGCCAGATCCGGCGGCAGTGGCGACGGATGCCTTTCTTCAAGAATGGCCCCCGGGTCGCCTCTATGCCTTTCCTCCGTTCAACATGATTGCTCGCACACTCTCCAAAATGGTTCGCCACGACTGTTGTCTGGTTCTGATCACTCCCCTGTGGAGATCCCGTCCGTGGTTCCCTCGACTGATGGAGTTGTCGATAGACTTCCCACGGTTGTTGCCGAACTTCCCGGATCTCCTCCTGGATCCGGATGGGAACTCGCACGAACTGGTGATGCGGCACCAGTTGCCCCTGGTGGCTTGGTTCCTTTCAGGGGACGTTGGATTGTCCCTAACGTTCCACAGACAACTCTCTTGCTCCTCGATAACGCGTGGGCCCCGGGCACACGATCAGCTTATCGAGCAGCATGGAAGTCTTGGTCGGGTTGGTGCATGGAACGGGCAATGGATCCCGTATCTGCCCCTCTCCATCTGATCATGGAATTTCTCACGTTCCTGTTCGATTCGGGCAAGGCGTACAGGACTATCAATCTTTTTCGCTCGGCCATTTCTGCCGGACACGATGGTTTAGAAGGCACACCCGTCGGTAGGCATCCTTTTATATGTCGCCTTCTTAGAGGTATTCGCCTCGCCCGTCCACCCCGGTCGCGTTTTTCGGCCTTTTGGGACGTCAACATAATGTTGCAGTTCCTATCGGCTTGGTACCCTAACCAAGCATTGACTCTCAAACAGCTGTCATCCAAACTGGTTATGCTGCTTTGTCTTATCTCTTGTAAGAGAGTCTCCGATGTCAGGGCCCTGGATTGGGGTGCCATCGTGTTTACTCCTGAGGGTGTTACTTTCAACATCTCCAGGAGGACTAAGTCGGCATCCAAATCCTTCGTGTACCCTAGGTTCTCAGGGTGCCCGGCACTCTGTCCGGTGGATTGTCTTAAGGCTTATATGGATGCTACAAGAACGTTTCGTTCTTCTGATCGTCATCCCCTATTCATTTCCTTTAAGGCACCTCATCAACCGGTGTCGACTCCGACGCTAGCGCGTTGGATTCGTTGGCTTTTATCCCTAGCGGGTATAGACACTTCTACCTTTACGCCTCACTCCGTGAGGGGTGCCATGGCCTCGAAGGCATCTTTAGTGGGTTGCCGTCTGGAGGACATCATGCGAGCTGCAGACTGGTCTCGTGAGTCCACCTTCCGAGACTTCTATTTCAAACCAATTGAACACATCGCATCTCAGATAGTAGCACAGCTTTGAACTTGCATAATATGAGCCTCCGTGTCTTTAATAAAATTCCTAGATTTTACTAGTATCATGACGTAAAGTCATGATTTTATTAAAGACACGGAGGCGAGTATTATTCCCTCCCACCCTCCCGGTGTGGGGGTTTGCGAGGGAGATGCGCTTTTTTGGATTTTCCAGGTATGTTACATTTTGGTCCTCTTTTTTGTCTTGACTTTCGTTTGAAGCATATAACTGCTTGATGTCAATCATATGTTGTAATTTCAGATTTCGTTTCAGTTTCATGAATGACCAACAGTTCTGACTGGTAAGCAAACAGTTTGGGTTTAGTTATTACCATATTTCTCTCTCTCTTTTAGCTTGAAGTTGTTGAAGCGCTTCCGTTCCTGTTTCTGACCATGTGGGATATCGTTTCGTCTTAGCTGGTCCTCGGTTTTCGCAAGAAAGAGGGGGATTGTGGGAGACACAGGCCTTATATAGCCACTTCCTATGTTATGCTATTGGTTGCCTGTGTACTTATACAGTTTTTTTTTTGCTTTCAATTTGATAATATTTATATTCCTCTATCTTTGCTGCTGAGGAAATAAAGAAAGAGTTATGCATAATACTCGCCTCCGTGTCTTTAATAAAATCATGACTTTACGTCATGATACTAGTAAAATCTAGGAATTATGCAACACTGTTCTGGAGCTTAGAGAGACCTATTAATGACAAAAATCATATTTAAAGTGACCCCGTACACCACACATAATATTCATGAATAAGTTATTACATAAGTGGAGAGGGGGATTACTCATAGAAATAATATCAGATAGTGTACTAAGGGGGGGGGGTGCTAAAGTGCTTTATGTAGCTGGAGTTTCTCATTTTGTGACAGTTTACGTATGTGCCAATTTCAATAGAGATCAACACTTTCATAACTGGGGATACAAACACCTCTCTGGCTGCCAATCAGAAAGCAGAGAATGGTTTCTTCCTCTTCCGTTAGCTCTGCAGAACTAACAGAAGGGGCACATTCTCATTGAGCCTTATTATAGATTATTGAGAAGAATTGGAAAGCTGCAATCACATGTTTGCTCGAGCTCCAACATAGACGCTTCGCAATGAGAAGCCTCTGATTGGTGTATTACGTAGCACAGAATGAAAGTATGTGTTTAGGAGAGAGGGGAGGGCTTGCAAAGGCTGCAGACAGCAGCAAAATAACATGCAGAAAATATAAATGCATGTTTTCATTGTGGGTATAGCTACTAAATAGTTAAAGGGACACTATAGTCACCCAGACCACTTCAGCTCAATGAAGTGGTCTGGGTGCCAAGTCTCTCAGGTTTTAACCCTGCAGATGCAAACATAGCAGTTTCAGAGAAACTGCTATGTTTTCATTTGGGGTTAATCCAGCCTCTAGTGGCTGTCTTCCAGACAGCCACTAGAGGCGCATCTGCGATGCTGGAGGCATGTTATGCCCCATCGCGCAGAGCGTCCATAGGAAAGCATTGAGAAATGCTTTCCTATTGACAGCTTGAATACGCACGTGGCACTTGCCGCGCATGCGCATTCGGCTCCGCTGACGTCGGAGGAGAGGTTACCGGTGCTGGAATAAGGTAAGTGGCTAAGGGATTTTAAACCCTTCAGCGCCACGGGAGGGGGACCCTGAGGGTGGGGGCACCCGCAGGGCACTATAGTGTCAGGAAAACCACTTTGTTTTCCTGACACTATAGTAGTGATCCTTTAAAATGAAATTGAGTGTTTCTTTAACTGACCAACAGTAAATTTGCAGAAGGTTGGCAACTTTGCTGTTTTGTTTCTGTAAGTATATAAATTTTGCCCGATTCTTGCTTTTTACTTAAATGACTATCATACATTCACTTCATGTTTTTGGTGGCAATCTATAAGTCACCAGTTTTTCTGGTCAATAATGTGTTTGTGTTTTCATCATGAAAATGCGTTTAAAACATTTTCTCACTAATCTGCACAATCAATTAATTTACTATTACTTATTTTTAAATTCCATTCTAGTGCCGGTTCAGAAGATTATGATACTATTGTTCAGAAACCAAGACAAATTCTCTGCCAGTTTATAGACCGAATTCTTACAGATGTAGATGTTGGTAAGATTCTCTCTGTTGCAATAATTAGTTGTATTTGCTTTTGCTGTAATTGTTTAGGAGGTAGTGTGCAGTAGACATGTGCACAAATCCTTTACCACTAAGATGAAAAAATCAAATTCCTTTTATTCTTTTCCCTAACAAAATGACCCATCTGGGGTTTACATGACAGATCGATTCATTTGGGAGTAGAGTAACTGGCTTTTGATTTGTTCATCGTATGTAAAGAGGATTTGTGCACGACTAGTATGGAGTGCCATTTACCTATTTTTGTACCACAATGATCCAAGACCATTGTTTATCCACTAGATATGGCTATCGTTGTTGGTGCTTTTGCAGCAGATCGTAGTGAGTTCATAGGTAACTTGACAATAATTCGATCTAAAAAGCAGACTGAAAAAATCTCAAACAAATCTAATTTAGACTTAATTTTAGCCTAAATGTTGACAACGCTGGTTGGAATTGCCCCACAACTCGCTGTTTGTTTAATAGATTCTAGTAACTAAGTGTAAACTCTACCCAAGCACCAAGGCATGTCGGTGAAACCTGCATAACTTGTTAATACTTAATATTTAATCCATATAAGGCATTCAGACTCAATGAACCCCCTTAAAATTTAGGGGTAATTTATACACTTTAAAGACCATATTCAGTAGCATGCAAATTATAGAAAATAGAAAGAGATTGTGATACCACTGTAGTTTTATCTGGTCTCCAAGATACTATTAATTGAATGAAAATGTGTGTGCGCATGCACTACGCTGGCCTTATTTGTCCCTTTTACAACTATGCAGGTGACATAGAGAGAGTTAGTAAATATATTTGCTTCTTGTAAGCTATACGTTTACCTGAATTTTGTGTAGTATGATATCACACCACTCAAAACAATGGATTTGGGAAAGTGAAAGTTCTGCATCTAACATATATTTGTTATGATTAAAACAACGTATAACGAAAGTTACTTTCCAATGTTGTGTCTGTAGTTTTAGCGATCAAATTCAGTTATTTGTTAGAGAACTTGTTACAAATTGATCTATTCCTCCACAATTAACTCACCTGTTCTGATGTCACCTTTTAAATTCTGCTTGCAGTTGCTGTGGAACTTTCAAAAAATACCGAATCTCTGCCAAGTTCTGTCATGTTACTGGATTTTATTAAGCACATCATGAAATCTTCTCCACTCATGTTTGTTAGTGCCACTGACACTGATCAAAGAAATCAAACAGATAAGAATTGTATTGGTGAGTTTTTTTTTTCTTCTTTTTTTCTTCTATTGTAAGATTGTAATAGGGTTTATATATATATATATATATATATATATATATATATATATATATATATATATATATATATATATATATATATATATATATATATATATATACATATATAATTATTTGGTATAAACTTATGACTTTTTACAAGATATAAAATCATCCAAATAGGATGAAACTCTGCTGCCCCAGAAAATAGAAAGATAAAGTCCCAACAAAAGCAGAGCTTACTCTAGCTCACCATTTGAGCTAATCTGAATGCTTGAGCACTCAGATGTCCTTTTCAAGTAAAATACTCATTGGCGACATGATTATACAGGACCCCTCTCTATGCCGTGTCAGGGTGCCCTTGCGACAGTACTCTCGCCATCTGCATCAATTTATCCTTGTTCTGTAGCGCTGATTACTGTGGCATTTTCCTCAGCCACTTCAAGCATCAAATTCACTGATGTCAGACTGTCTAACCCTGTTCTGTCAAATCTAGTGTATTTTATTTGTGTCATTTCATTTATTCTTGTCTTATCTAAGTGCATAAAATTCACTGTACCTTGTACTGTCAAGTCTATTCTTAGTCTATATCCTTAATATCACGTTGCTGTTGTCTGGCCCTTTTCTCTCAAGTTAAAGTATTCAGAGGTAGGGCCTTGGCAATGTTAACCCCTGCCCTTCTGTCTAGTACTGTACTGACATATTCAAATGTATGGCCTCGGTGTGCTTAACCTACCAACTTATCTAAGTGTATTCCTTTGGCATGTTAAAGAGTGTGTGCTTCCTTTTCCCATTGTCCAATGAAGATCATTACTCCTATGCCAGAATGTTTTATTTCATGTTTTAGTCCTGATATTTGTATTTGACTCCTGTGTCCAGTACATCTTGTTTTTTTATAGTTGTTACTATGTTTGGTAAAATTGCCTTCCAAACATAAAACTTCAAAATGTATGTAAATGAATTGCATTCTTAAGCCTAATCGTATTTAATATGTTCTTTTTTTTTTTTTTAAAACAGAGTTTAGCAACTGGATCATTACAAGGCTCCTACGCATTGCCGCTACACCAAGCTGTAAAGATTTACATAAAAAAATTGCTGAAGTCTTTCGGTCCTTGCTCTTTCTTTTCAAGATGAAGAAGACACACCTTTTTGGAATTCTTACTAAAGATTTATTAAATCTCTTGGAAGATCTTGTTTGTTTACATGAACAGGACATGGTGCAGTCCATAAAATGGCCAGTGACTGTATGCAGGTTTTTAAGTGAATCAAGAGAAAATCTAGCCTACTTGCGTTCTGCTCCATTTGAGCTCATGAACATGGAGCAGGTTGAAACTCTAGAAATCACTTCATTAATGGTCTTGACTGATAATCATGGTGATATTTCTGCTTTTTATTTCCAAAGGCAGAATCTTTTTCTGTGGGGTATAGGGTGCAATTTATTGGACTATGGAAGTCCACCTCTTAAGAGTATAGCTTTACATTTTATTAAGGAACTGATCAAACTAGGTGGGGCACCAGAACAGTCTGCAAATCTTTTCTTCACTGTGTTTTTTGGAATGCTAATAAATATCAAAGACATTGATCTAGAAGAAATGTCTCTTTATGAAATTCCATTGTTGGAAGTAGTGATGGTTTTATTCCCCTTTGAGTCAGAGTCCTATCTAAATATTGAACCTGTGTACCTTAACATGTTACTGGAGAATCTTTCAGCTGTATTTGATGGGGGCATATTGAAGACCATTTGTTCTGACCCATTAAGAAGAGCACTTTGCCATATGTTTCAGTATTTTTTAAGTTTTGTCCCACCTGGCTATGAATCTGCACTGGAGGTTCGACAGAACCATCTAAACCGCATTTCAAAAGCCTTTGTGGATGTCCTTGGAGTTCAGAACCAACAACTGGTGAGATATTTAGACACTTTGTCCCAGATCTAATTTAGTTTATTTAGAATTGTAATAGTTTATTGTTAAGTTATAAACTAAATATAGCAAAGAGCTATGTTATAATTTCAGTAATGTGTAAAGGCAAATTATGGTACTGTCAACATAAAGTATTAGAGAAAAATTGCCTCTAATTTTGCTCATCCTAGTAAATGCTATTGAAGTGATAGTAGAGCGAAATATTAAACACTTCCCTCCGCAAACGTTTTGGGGAATCAATTACTACATGTGCTTGTACATGCTTTTGCATTGCTTCCAAAAATACAGTGGGTGTGTGCACACCGTTTCCTGTTATGTTATGCATCTTAATGGCATCAACAGTGATTTCAATTGTGTGGCAATTTCATATGACGTTAATAATAATAATAATACAAAAATAAATAAAAGTTAAAAAGAAATCCACCCCACACATTAGAATGTACATAGATCTGCTCATCATTAGAGGAACTCTAAAGACACCCAAACCGCTTAATTTCAATTAAGTGGTTTGGGTTCAATGCTGTTTAGTAGATATGGCAGTGTTATGATTGCAGGATTAACACACCTCTGTTGACAGTCTGACAGCCACTAGAGGCCCTTCCCCTGTGAGAACCAACTTGGACTCTGTTCCCAATCAACTGTTTCTTATACAGAGCATTTGGTTGGCGCAACAGAGTATTTTGTGGCACATGACCTTTAGCCTCTCAATACTTTCATATGGAGGAAGCATTGGTTTGGCTGACTTATCAAGATTGATCAGCCAAGGAGACGGTTCTGCATAATGGAGACCGGCAGGGCGATGGTGTTAAGTAAATCTTATTTAATTCAATTGGGGAAGGGGGTAGCAATAATCCAACTAGGCACTAGGACAATATAGTATGTGTTTGTGACATTATACTGTTCTATTAAGTAACTATTTTTCCTCCTTGTTCCTTTTAAATTTAGGACACTGATCAAACGGCTGTCTTTCTCTAACTGTTCCTTCAGGCAAAACTGTTTGACTTCTTTTAGGGAAGAAGATCACTCACCACAAGAGTATGAGAGACTATGACAGGCCTTTGCTTTTCATTCTTCAGCAGACCTGGTTAATTTTTGCAAAATAAGAGCCCTTCTCATGACCTCACATGCTAAATGAAGACATTAGGATCATAGTCAGAGGACATTTTAAAGAGGAATTGTTATAAATAGGATTTGTTTTTACTAATAACCCCTGTTATTTAACAAATGTTTTTACAGGCTTAAACATACAGCTGTGCATACCTATATGATAGCTCTGAGAGTCTCCATATTGGCTTCCTGTCGGAAGCTCTACCCTATTCTGTCTTGACATACTATTTGAAGTTGAAAAATTATAAGCAATGTTTCTATTTTTCCTCCAATACAGGCTCTGTCTGGACAGAACTGGACTGTGATGCCAGTTAATGCAACATTCCAAGCACTGTATCACTAACTGTAGTGGTTATGGTGCCTGGAGTGCCCTGGCACTATCCCAGTGAATTTGTTAAATTAAGTTAGAATACATTGACTACAATGTCCCGCCAGGCACATGCAGTTTCAGCACCTACTTCAGGATTTTCCTTGCAGGAGAATCTTGTTAGACGTTCAATTGCTGAAAGTCTAAACTGAAGGCGCTGGTCACCTTCTCTATCTTGAGCTAAGCTTTGCTCTGTAGGTCTAGCTCATTGGCTGAAAGTGAACATTAGTAATCGATTTGACTACTTCTTAGGGGGGGGGGGTGTTGTAATGTTCCTTGAAATAAAGATATTAATAAACTTACTTGTAGCTTTAAAGGGACAGTCCACTGCCCAAATGCAATATAAATAAAAATCACTGTTTAGTATATGTATCCCAAATAAAAACGTATATGCATATAATTATACATTTTCAATTGGGAATACATCTAAAAGCTGCAGAATTCTTGTATGCTGCCTTTGCAATCTCTCGTCTTATAACCCTGCCCACTCTTTGTTAGATTGACCAATCACAGACTTTCCAATGCAGCTCAATGAGAAGTCTTTACAAGGTAGGTGTTCTGGCCAATTGCTGCCTCCTGAGTTCAGCGCCACTGAGGTAACCAGAGCAGAAAGTAACAGGACCTTTTGCCTGCTTGAAAATCCAAGGGGTTGTAACCAGGTTAATTTATAAAAGTGTAAATTTCTATTGAAATCTTCACTTTTTGCAAAAGGAAAACAAAGAGGACACACTCTTCCCACATAAAGCTTTTTAATTAGCTAATGTGCTTTAGTGGTCTGTAATTTCCCTTTTAAACACTTCCAATGTATACAACACTTCCAATGTATGTAAATATGCTTATTCAGTTTGCAAGGTTATTGCTTGGGTAGAGAGCTCAACTGTAAAGTCATAACTCAAAGCTGCCTTTGTCTTTCCCAGTAGAATCTACTCTGCCTAAAATGACTAACATTATGACAAGGAAAATAAATCTGTATGAATGAAATGTTCACTTAACAAAAATCTATACATAGAAAATAAATATATATAGGTTTTCTTTTGTAAGTAAAAGGGGAAAGACTATGTGCCATTTCAATGGTATTTGGAAAAGAAATATATGGTAGTTGGTGGTGACATAATCTTAGAACATCCGTACTGCTGCTTATTTAACAAACATACATCTAATTAACCATTGATTTTTTTCACAGTATGTGGTACACCCACTTTATGCAGCTTTGAGAAACGATGGCCTGGAATGTATTCATCACCATCAACGCATACAGCCTGTAAGCACAGACTCTGAATCCGGTGGGAGCAGCAGCGATGAGGTTTTGGAGAAACGACCTCGTTTGAGTCTAACAGCAAAACCAACAAGAAGACACTCTCCATTAGCAGTGTAATTATTTTACTGATTATGTTTTCAACTGTTAATTGTATTTTTCAATTGCTTTTTTATTTGTAAGTGTATTAAGTATATTGTAAAAAAAACAACAACCATTGTTAACCCCTAAAAGACGGAGGCAATTGTACATCTGAGCTATAGGTCTGTTCTGTTGTAATTTAAGTGTTTCTGTTCAAGTGCCCCATACATATAATATATATTTTTCTAAAGGACAATAGGGCTTTCATTTAATATCTTATACGTAAAACATTCCGTATGAATAGCATTTTAAAAATGGGAATTTGCAAATACTAATACTTATAAATGCAGTGCAACTGATTAAAAAGAATGCAAAATAGATTCACATATCAGCTCTGCTTGTTAAATACCTAATATTTTAGGATCTTTTAACTAATATATTAACTTTTGATCACACTTGCCCAATGCTTACACTAATTCTAACTATATACCTACCCTAATATTACTCTTATCCTCCACCCCTCACTATCTTTAACCCTAAATCAGCATTACCCATACCCAGCATCACACTTACCTAACCTTATCCCAATACTAAGTGTAACCCTACCCTACTTTTATCCCTAAATGTACCCTAAGTCTAACCCCACCACTTACTCCAACCTTGTTGCATATTATAAATGGGATTTACTGTTTAACACAGTAGATGGTGGTGTGCTGCCACTATCTACTAGCCGTTTTCAGAATTACACTTGGTGTGTAACTTTGAATTTTCCAGTCGATAACATTGTGATCAAAGTCCAGCACTGGTCGAAATCAATCAGAGACAGGGTGGGAGATCCTGCCAGGGTCTATTCACACCCTGGAGGGTCTCCCCAAAGCTGCTTGCACTCAAGAAAAAAACGTGGTTTTATGAATGAGTTAAAGTGTTCTAGTAGACAGCCACTAGAGGTGGACTTAACCCTGCAATGTAAATATTGCAATTTATGAAAACTGCAATAATTACACTAGCAGGGTTAAGAGTAGTGGGAGTTGGCACCCAGACCACTCCAATGGGCAGAAGTGGTCTGGGTGCCTGGAGTATCCCTTTAAGGTTTATTTTTTTACTGAATAGTTCACATAAAGTGAATACAACAGAATTGTAATGCTAACCTACAGTTTCACATAAACTGCAGAGCAAAGAAACTTACTCAAATGAGCCTGAGTGGCCCATTCTATTTTTCTCTCTTCCTTATTTGGTAAAAAAAAAAAAGCCCATGCCCACATGTGCTAGTGTGATATTCTTATGTTCTCCATAATTTTAAAAGGTAGTCCAAAGGTTGAACCCCTTGTCACTGTACCTAGAAAGTTATCAGCTACACTTGCCCTCCAATACCCTAAGAATGCTAGAACAATATTCTGGGGTTGTTGTATCTCCAGTGTAGAGGGATTAACATGTGTTTTTGTTGTAGGCCGTTGATTGGGATCAGTCTCATAAACCATTCGTCTAAATTCCCCTTGAGATGGCACAACTCTTTTAAAGGGACACTCCAGGCACCCAGACCACTTCTGCCCATTGGAGTGGTCTGGGTGCAAACTCCCACTACCCTTTTTTATAAACTGCAATAATTACCTTGCAGGGTTAACTCCACCTCTAGTGGCTGTATACTAGACAGCCACTAGAGGGCACTTCCTGGTTTCTAGCACAGGAAACATGTCCAGAGCGTCTCTGGACATCCTCACGCTGTGTGAGGACCTCCAGCGTCACTCATTTCCCCATAGGAAAGCATTGAAATGCCTTTGCAATGCTTTCCTATGAGGAGCGCTAATGCGCTCCCCGGATCAGGTCTCCCCCGATCAGTCTCGCCCACCGGCCGACGCAATGCAGAGGAGGAGCGGCGGCGGAGGAGGAAGCAGTGACGTGGGACATTGTCGCTGTCTCTGGTAAGTTACTGAAGGGATTTTCACCCCTTCAGCAACCGGGGGGTGGGGGGTGGGAGGGAGAGGGGACCTGCAGTGCCAGTAAAACGGATTGTTTTCCTGGCACTGGAGTTTCCCTTTAACACTTGTTTGAGAAATGAACTGGGACTAACCATAGTTATCTATTGTTATTGTTCTCATAAATTGATTCAGTCCAGCTTTTTTTGCAATTAATATCATTAACTTGAGAATGTGCAACATGTGGATACCTGCAGTTGAGGATAGGATTAGCAAGCAAAAGCTCATTTAAATAAAAACTATTTACTCTAACTGATATTATTTATCATCGATTCCAGGACTGTCCCAGTGGATATGAAATCCAAGAGTTCATTGTGGAGAGATGTCTCTAGAAAGTTTTCCTCTTTTCTTCACTCTCTTGAAAGTGGCAGCCTGACTGAAGAGGAAGTATTGTCTTCTCTGGAGGGTGTTACAGTAACGTTACATGTTGCTGCTCTTTGCTCAGTTCATATATCAAGTAATGAACATACAATGTACGTATATATGCTTATACAGTTCAAACAAAGCCCAACAGACTAATATTTTGTGCTTCCTTACTGCTGCACAAACCGTTTTGAGGAAACAAGGGAATTAGCTGAGGCTATTTGGAGCAGTTGTGACCAAATATATTTATGAAAGTTGGACCTTGCTACTACATATGTTTACTATTTCTATTCGTAAAACAATGCTTTTTATATTCACAGAACAAACCAAAAAGCTTCAGGCATTAGTGACAGCAGTTGTGCTAAGCTTTTAGATACAAGACCACAACTTTTCTGGGTTAGTCATGATGACATTATGGAAACTGTTAAGATTTGCAGGAAACTACTTGAATTGGGACACCAGATAACCAACTTGAAATCTGTATGGATCAAGATTGTGAAAATATTTGATGCCTTACTTTACTTACATGGTAAGACATGAGGCACAAGTATGTTTTATTTTTTTAGGTATTGGGGATTTAAAGCAAATAGCTAATTAAATTGCCTGTCGGTAGGTAACTGTGTAGTGCAGAGTAAGCCGTACAAGTGAATGCAAATGCCCACCCTTCCAGATTTACCTTGCACTAGGTTATGTGTCTAGTTTGTATATTGCATATTTCACTGTCCACAAGTACACCACTTTTACATTTCAAATTCTTCCAAATTTCTTTAGTACAGTTATCATAGGGCTTGTATCAAATTAACCATATTAAAGGGATTCTCCAGTGCCAGGAAAACATATTCATGCCCCCGGCGGGGGAGACAGAATGCACATGCGCAGCAATGGCTGCGCACGCGCATTAGACCTCCCCATAGGAAAGCATTATACAATGCTTGGCTGTGGGGATTTCGGCGACGCTGGAAGTCCTCACATAGCGTGAGGACGTCAAGCGTCGTTTTAAAACACTTTTCGTGTTCTATGAACACGGAAGTCCCTCTAGTGGCTGTCTAGTAGACAGCCACTAGAGGTGGAGTTAACCCTGCAATGTAAATATTGCAATTTATGAAAACTGCAATAATTACACTAGCAGGGATAAGAGTAGTGGGAGTTGGCACCCAGACCACTCCAATGGGCAGAAGTGATCTGGGTACCTGGAGTATCCCTTTTAAGGTTTATTTTTTTTTTACTGAATAGTTCACATAAAGTGAATACAACAGAATTGTAATGCTAACCTACAGTTTCACATAATAATAATAAAAATAAATAAATTGGAAGCTAGAAACACATCTCAGTCATCTAACTAATCTGTTAAAGCAGAAAGGTGAACTATAAGTTTAATTGGTAAGAAAACACTTAATGTTACTGTCTTTCCTTTGGAAATCCTGAATTTGAGAGATTTATATGTAAAAGGGTTTATTAATTATATAATTATTACTTAAGCTATGACATATTTACGTGCATATATGGATATAATTGTCAGAGTTAATGTTACTCACCTGCGCTCTCTATACATACTGCAATAAGGTTTTGATCTACCTCCTCTGTGTTTAATATAAAAACCGATGATGGGCATAGTATTTTATTTATTTATTTTAACGTTCCTGTTTTTTTTCATTCCAGTTAAGAGCCAAATAAGTGACAAAATCCTCAGGGATGTTTGCAACTTGATTTCTTTGCCTTGGCTTCATATTCTTTCGAACCATCCCTCCTTTACAATGTCAGCGTTTGATCCTGCATTTGTAAACTTAAGTCACCCGATCTGTGAGAATTTATGTAAGTGGTTACCAAATGCATAAATTTATGACAACTATTATTGTGATATATGTTAATAATTTCACAGAAATATCAAAAGTCTTAGTATAAGTCAAAATAAAGTGCAAGTTTTTTCCCGTTATCTATGATAAAGCTCTTTACATTGGTTTACTAGAGAGCAATTATGCAATTTGTTTTTTTTTTATTAAGATGCATTAAAAAAAATTATGCTTAAAAAAAAATGTTAAAATCCTGTTCATCTCTACTTACTATTTATGCTGCTTCTGCTGTAGCATCTACCGAAACAGCAAATGGCTGACGCCTGTTCTTGTGTTTCCTGTTCTTGAACCTCTTAAGGACACATGACTTGTGTGACACGTCATGATTCGCTTTTATTTCAGAAGTTTGGTCCTTAAGGGATTAAAGAATGATTCACCTATTTTTTAAAACAAGGATATATCCTTTAGACCTGTTAAAAGCTTCCATTTGCTTGTGTGAGCACCTTGCTTTCCCAAGAATGAGAAGTGTTTCAGTGTGTCTGAACAGAATTCAGTGAATTCTGAAGTTCGATTCCATAACATGCTAAACTTAATTATGAGCCTGGCACTGTTGTAATCTGTAATGGTCAAACCCTTAGTTCGATTGTTTATAAGGTGTACATGGAATGTTTAAACAAATAACAGGTGTAATATGTGTCTGTATGTACAAACCAGCAACAGATATGTATACATAAAAACTTAAAGGAATACTATAGTGTTAGGAATACAAAGCGTATTTTGTAAGGCTAACATTGTTATTTTCTTATCTTCAGTGCATCTCCTGACTTTGAACCTTTGTAATGTCGGGGTGGCCACCTTTATTCTACTTTGGTCAGAAGCACCATTTATCATTATACACGAATAACAAGAACTGAGCATATAAAAAATGTACTCTGGAAAGATTTGCATAGTATTAGCAGAAGAAAAGTGCATTTGACCAAAGTGGGCTTGAAAGGAACTCCCCTTGGATTAAAAATATGCCAGGATATAATTTTATATTTATATATATTAAGGGAGATTTGGAAATGCCCTATAGGAGGTTTACTGAAAAGAGATATCAACTTATATGTGTTCATTACAAAGTAATGCACAACCAGGCTATGTTACATGTCATATTTTTCTTTTCAGTAATAATACAAAATTACACTTTTCATGTAAATTGATCTGCCATATCTCTTTTTTAAGAATGCATGTGTAATACAATTCCATTTGGAAGGGGCCGACAAAGGGCTGGAAATAGTGTTGTGTTTTTTTTTTCACTTTTAGTAAAAAACAAGAAGTGCTTTGGATAGGACAAAATAAGGATGATTTTTTTTTTGCACACTTGCCCGTTGGATGTATATATTCTCCATTGTGGAAATTGTTTTGCGTTGTACAGGTTTTTAGAACGAAATAAAAACTGAACAGTGTTGATAGTTTTATAACCCTATGCTGTTAGCTGATTTTGAAATATTTAGCAAATGGTTGAAAAGATACCACAAATATTTTACTGTTCCATTTTATTCCAGGGGTGCTCAAAAGGTAGATTCCTGGATGTTGTAGAACTACAGCTTCTATGATGTTTTGTCATTCTAAAGCATTCTAAACGCATACAAAGCATCATGGGAATTGTAGTTTTACAACATCTGGAGATCTACCTTTTTGGCACCCCTGCTTTAATCAAATTATCTGTTGTAGATTAACTATGAATCCTAAACTCAACTGATAAACTTGTGTACTTGTAAGTTGGCCAGCTCTTCATTTTCAGGAGGGTAATTTCAAGTTCACTAAATAATTAAGTTTGTGTATAATATATATATATATATATTTTTTTTTTGCATATAGTATTCTTACAAGGTATATATTTCTAACATCAGCTCCTGTGACAGAGTCCCAACTCGTGTATCTGCTTTCATTGTTTCCCAATACCATAATCACTGACTGGAGATTAGCAGTTTATCTTCGGGCACTCGAGAGTCCTCATGAGATTGTTCGTGCCCACTGCATCAAAGGATTTCCTGTCCTTTTACGCAATATAAGCCAACAAACGTATGGTCCCATCCCTCAGATTTTCATGTAAGTATTAAAAACTGTGCAACAAAGTGCCTGTAAATTAGTTCTATGTATATTTCCTTTATAGCAAACTACTTACTATCTCTGCAGGCTTTTTAATGTAAACACTGCCTTTTCATAGAAAAAGCAGTGTTTACGTTACTGTCTAGCAACACCACGAGTGGCCATTCGGCATCTCCACTCTTTGAATAGAGACGCTGAATGCTTCTCATAGAGATACATTGATTCAATGCATCTCTATGAGGAGATGCTGATTAGCGCAGCGTTTTACTGCATATGTGCAATAGCCTCCCAATTCTTTCCTATGAGAAATTAGATCATTTCAGCCAAGGAGACCTGGAACAAAGTTGAGTAAATCACCTTTTTAGCGGCGATAAGGAGGGCCATAGCAGAGCAGTGACTTCTGTTTACTGAAAGTTGCCATTGTGAATAATTATTTTTCAATTATCCTTAGACCTCCTCGAAGAGAAGCATTGGAGACCTACATTGCATGCTTGTCAATCATATTATACGATTTCTACGCTGTGCTTAATGACATTGAACATGAAGAGCATCAGACATTTAAGGTCTTAAGGAGGAAGTGCCTCTGACTACCGCTAGACCAGGGATTGGCAACCTTCGGCACTCCAGATGTTGTGGACTACATCCCCCTTAATGCTCTCACACCCGTAATGCTGGCAAAGCATCATGGAAGTTGTAGTCCAAAATATCTGGAGTTCAAAAGGTTGCCTATGCCTGTACTAAAGACATGGTCTTGGAGTAATGTCAACGTTGCCTTTTCTCAAGAAAGGCAGTATATTATATCGTCTCAGTAAAGGGACAGCATCTGTGCATCAAAACATCTTAATTAAGATGTTAAATACACATGGGGATTTTTTTAAAAAATTGTATTGTTACTAATTGGCGTATGACATGATTTTGTAATTTTTAAAAAAAAAAATTTTTTTTTAAAAGAGATAAATTAACCCGGGTTTTATTTCACCATTTCTTTTGCCGTGTTCTGAAATGTGTATTTGTGTTTTTGGGTAGTGATAACTTAAACGATGACTCAGAGATGGTGAAAAGGGAGTTTGCCAGTGCCATGGGCAAGTTGGCATGTGGTCTTGCTGGTGGTTTTGAAATCCACAATTTACCTGTGGAGCCCCCAGCAGATTGTGATCTCCTCTGCACAAGCTTAAAAATGATCTCCGTCACACCTCCTGAATCTTCTCATGCAAGTGCCTCCATTTTTAAGCCTTTCTTAGCACTTCTGGAAAGAAATGTCCCAAGCTCTGTCAAAATAGGTAAGTAATAAAGAGTTTTATATCTGTAGCGTGACTGTGCATGATTAACTACACCAGGCTCAGTATTGAATAGGCTAAAATGTATTCATTTATTTTGAATGGTCTTTGTTACCCATATTTGTTTGAGATGCCATGTATTTTTTTTTTTAGTAGAAGCATAAAAAAAATAGTTTACAGAAGTCAGCAACAGTATTCTGCAACTATTGTGGAACTACATCTCCTGTGTGTGACTACAAACAATACATTTATCAATGATGCAGTTATTGAATGTTTATGAGAGAAAAGTGGAAAACTGTGCAATGAGTTGTAACTACTAAAATTATTGATAACGATAGACCTAAAGACTGCTGCAGACTGTTGTAGAGTGCCTTTAACGAACACATTGCATTTAGTACCACAGAAGTGTTAATGTGTATGGATGCACTTGGTTAATATCGGTTTGCTTTTTCTTTTTAGCCTTCATTGAAAATATCCCTGAGCTTTTGACCCATCTTGATATTAAGAAAAATGAAATGGATTCAAGAGCTGTAATTGAGGCTTTACTCAACCTCATGGAGGATCCAGACAAAGATGTTAGAATTTGTTTCAGTGGAAAAATCAGGCATATTTTCGAGGCAACAGACTGTGAGCAAGGTTATTTGAAAGAGGTAAACAATAGATTTTTTCTGACAAGTGTGTGCGAGCACTCTCCACCTCACGTGGAATGTTTCTTGTAAAGTGATGTCGGTAAACAAACAAATGGAAATAAATTTTTATAGATATCAGAATTTCCTGACGGGATTGGAGATTTGTAAAATGTATGAAAATGTAAAAATACATAAACTCTGTCAATAATTAATTGGGATTGTGGGACAGGGCAGAGACCATGGCTTCAATCATATATTTTGGCATAAGCTTTTCAAATGATTTCAGATTTTTGGATAAACTTTTTGAACAATTTATTTTTTTGGATACATTTTTAATAATCTTTTGATATTTTTTTTTATATGATGCATTTTTTGAAAAATATATAAAGACACAGTTCTATTTCCTTAATTGGAGCAATATGGAATTGTTCTCCCAAACCTGCATGTGGAATTGTATTACATGTCCTTTCTTGGCCATATAAATGCCGTGTGTGAACTGCAAGAACCTGAAGCTGTCGTACATTTTTTCCCAACATTTGCAGCTCCTTGTAAGCCGAATGAAAAGGGCTTATACAAATGCAAAAATTACGCGAGATAATGAGATGAAAGACACTCTGATTCTTACAACAGGAGACATAGGCAGGTGAGTTAGAAGAGCATTTTTCCTGTGTTCCAACTTGAAGCTGAGGGAAGGCTGTATAATGCAGAACAGGGAAGGAACAGTGTTATCTTGAGCTAGAACATTGTGCATACTATATTATCTGCCCTAAGAATTCTAGGAACTGATTACAACAAAATCTAGTGAATATTAAACTTATTTATGAATGTATTAAGGATTGGATGCAAGAAGCCATTTCAGAGCAGGAATGGGTGTACTCAATTTGTTATGGTAGGAGTAAAATATTATTTAGAGATGTAGACCCTCAGTTCTATTATGAAGTCTCACTATTTAGTAGACTTTATTATGTACTGTTTATTTGTTCTTTGAGAAAAGTCAGTTATCTATAGGTTAAAATGCAGGAAGGGGGCTACCTAAAAATATACTATTTATGAAAGCAGCTACCTAAAAATATACTATTTATGAAAGCAGCTTTTCTACAATGGCTAATACCACTAAAGGGGAATAGGAGTAAACATTTGTATTGACAGTTTATAAATTGTTTATTTAGCATATACATCTTGTTGTGCTGCAATATCATGATTAATGCTCATAAAGGGTGCATCAGTCATGTTTCAGTTTTTCAATTTGCAGAGCAGCCAAAGGAGACATGGTACCGTTTGCCCTTTTGCACTTGTTACATTGTCTATTGTCTAAATCAACATCCGTGGCCGGTGCATCATACACAGAAATCCGATCTCTGGCAGCAGCAAAATCCATCAGACTGCAAGATTTTTTCAGCCAATACAAGAAGCCTATTTGTCAAGTGAGAGACAGTTAAAGGAACAGTATTATTATTATTATTTATAAAGTGCCAACAAATTCCGCAGCGCTTTACAATGGGTTAAAAAATATTAGAAGATGTACCCCCAAAAGGAAGAATGTGTGCCATTCGTACTGCTTGTTTTCTATGAGTGGTTTATGAAATCTTAGCTTTCAATAGCTTCAACAATAGCAGCTGCTGCAAGCCCCTTTCCAAACATAAGCTGCTCTTCGAGAAACTTCATGGACCATTCATTGCTGTCCAATCACAAACTTCTCAGTGAGCTGTATTGAAGCTAATTGAAAAATCTTTCTGCATGACATTTTGCAGTGTGGCAAACCCCTTGAAACTGACATGCTAAATTGTTATAATGAATAGAATGTCTTGTACTGTTTTTTTTTTTTTTTAATCGGTAATATATTTTTATAGCAAACTTTTAATAAGGGCCTTTTTGCGGTAACATTTCTCAGTTATTCAGTGCAGGTTTGAACTGCATGTTTTGATTGTGTTCTATCCAGTTCCTAGTTGAATCCCTCCACTCAAGTCAGAAGGCTCTCTTCAGCAATTTACCTGGTCAGAGCCCGGAGGTTCTGAAACAGGAGGCAGCACATCAGAGAGAAGCAGCCCTGGATATTCTATCTGAAATAGCCAATGTCTTTGATTTTCCTGACCTGAACCGATTTCTTTCAGTAAGAATTTCAGAGTTTTTTTTTGTTTACTTAATTGTATTTATTGATCTCCATATTGCCAATTGTCCTCTGTAGAGTTTTGGCATACACATTTAGCTATTTTTATTTCAGACTTTTACTAGGATTCTCTACAAACACATCTGCACAGTTTGTTTAAAAATCTATCTTTACAATTAAATTAAAGCAAATGTGTTCCAATATGTGCTACGACCATTTTATTTTGTAAACTTGCATGTGGCTGCATCATGGAGATAAGATTTGTCAGGGTTATTGAGTGAGCATTGCCAGGAATCCAAAGTGAATTCAAACTGAATTTAAAATTTAAGTCCAAAATAGCTAAATTGGACAAATTCACCAATTCAATTATATTTTTAGTTTGATTACTTTAACCATATAGTGTGTAACCCTTCCTCTCCTGCCTCAACCAAAAAAAAAAAAAAAATGTGGTCAGCAAAAGCAGAATTCACTTTTCATTAGCAGAGCTGAAGCGTTGGGACTTGCCTAAGCTCTTCAAATGGTTTGACACTAATCTATCAGGCGGTTCCCAAAATCTCTTAACACTATAACTAAACTAAGTGGTTATGGTGCTTACGGTGCCCCTTCAGTCCCAGCATTATTAAGCACTTTTTGTTTGAAAAAAATTTAGCATAACATATATTTGAAGAAAGGGATGCATAGCTAGCATATAAACATATAACATCAATTTTGTCCATAGATTGCTGTGCTGACATACTTTAAAATTATGTAAACTTGCACACTGTTGATTTTTCCCTTATTCATTCATCCTTTATAATAAAAAAAAAAAAAATATTTGGGAAAGGAGAAGTTTTAGACAGTATGCAGTGTCCTTTATCTTGCAATATTTCACACAGGGTCTGAAATGTTAGTATAAATGCAATTTCAAAAAAAAAAAAAAAGGCATTTAAAACTGATATAGCAATCTTCATTAATCTTTGACATGCTAATGTTATGCTAACAGTGAAATTGTAGAGTCCATTCACTCCTCCCCCCTCCCTGATTGTAGTAATGATATGTCACATAGAAACTCCCTCTACCGTTTCGAAGCAGCTTGCATTTTCAGCACACTTGTATGCATTATATCAGCGAGTAGTGCCATCTGACAGAGAAATGTGTTCATCTACATTTATTCCTAAAGTATAAACAAATAGTGAGGCTTTATGGAAATATTTTCAAACAGCAAAATACATAAAAGTAAAAACTTTATACTTGATTTTGGTAGTGAATGGGTTAATTCTGTCAGAACAATGCATGCAATACAATTCAATATTTAATTTTTGTTTTTTTCTAATATTTTTCCAGCGTACTTTGCAACTCTTACTTCCATATCTCGCAGCCAAAGCCAGTCCCACAGCCTCCTCTCTCATCCGAACAATTGCTAAACAACTTCATGTAAACCGAAGGGAGATCCTAATTAATAACTTCAAGTACATATTCTCTCATCTTGTCTGCTCCTGTACAAAAGATGAACTAGAGAAGTCGCTTCATTATCTAAAGGTAGGTGGAACTGCTGGACTTAGAAATAGTTAGTAGATTATTAAATTATTCCATTTTCTTTCCCATAAATTCTTCATCGCTTATATTTTTGTTCATAAACATTTTATTCTCATAGAAATATATATAGAAAAGTTAACACGCCGTAAAATATATTTTAAAAAAATAAATAAAAAAATAGAATCTCATTGGGTTGTATGTTAAAACCAACAGTAATTGTAATAGTAATATTGCACTCAAAAGCATTAATAAATAACACTCTTCTCTCTTTTAAACTCTCTCTTAAAAATAACATTATATAACTAAGAGGGACACTCTACGCACCTAAACAACTTCAACTTCAAAAGGTATGTTTCCATGCAAGCCAGTTTTGTGAATGGGGAACCACTGATTGGTGGAGAGCACCAGCTATCAGCCAATCAGCTGTGCCATTGCCAGGCGGCACTCCACACTTCCTGAAAATTCTGAAGCCTGATGCCGCTTGGGGGAGTGGACATCTTGGCTGCAGGCATCTTTGTTAAACTGTTCGAGAACTGTTTAACTCCTTGAGGTAAGAGTGCCTCTGTCGGCCTTCTGGCAGCATAAGAACTTCCTTATAGATGAAGTTGTATTGGTGCCTGGAGTGTCCCTTTAACTAGAGGTAAATGTTTGTAAAAATACAAACAAACAAACAAATGTGTAAATGGACTTTAGGTCCAATCGAACCAAGTCTCCAGAGTCATTTAAGCCCTCCTGAGTACATTATGGTGTTAAATAGTAGAATAAATATTACAGCTAAAAGCGGGAGAGGCAGGAAACTTTCCAGGCAGTATTTTAAGAGACTGTAATGTAACTTTAACAATATGTGTAAAGCAAGAGGCATATTGTCTTGCTTATTTGTGACTTATTGACATACATATTTAATATGTTATTTGTGGGGATGATTTGTCTTTGATTCATTGTTTTGTGTCATTGGATATAGTCAAGAAAGAAGAGTTCTCTATAATTGCTGTTTTCCTTGTTCACACAGTCTTGTAAATTGTTTTACTCAATGGTTCAACTGACCACAGTTTTGATTGATCATTTTGGTTGCAAATTTCAGTGTTTCACGTATTGAAATATTTGCACTTTTTGTTGCACCCTTGGCACATGTGACTTAGACTGCCCGTAACAGTAAAATATCAAATCGGTGCCAAAATTACTCCTGCTGTATTTTGGACCGATTTCTTTATCCCCGGAACAGAATGAAACTGAAATTGAATTGGGAAGTCTCCTGAGACAGGACTACCAGGGTCTGCACAATGAACTGCTCCTACGACTGGGTGAGCACTATCAGCAGGTCTTCAATGGGCTCTCCATTTTAGCATCCTTCGCATCAAATGATGATCCATACCAGGGACCCAGGAACATCACTAAACCTGAGATAATGGTGAGATTATCAGTGTTTATGTTTTTGGTTTCAAATGTTTGACATGCATGCCTCAATGTTACTTGTCCTTTTATGATATGATGAATGTATGGGACAATTAATATATAGTATATTTGTACTTATTTTATGTGTACAACTCTTTAACTCTTTAAACTCCAGGAACACCAACAGCTTTGATGTATATAAAAAATCATTATTAACTTGCTGTACCTGGTTTCATACATATGTTTAAAATTGTCTTGATATAAAAATATGCTTTACAGCTTAGTGGTAACCCTGGTGTCACATTGGAATGGAAGTAACATATCCTAAAGGTAACAATGTGATCTATACCATAACTCCATGATCCCTAATATAAAGTGCACTCCACCTCTGGCCCACACTCTTATTCTCTGACATAAATCAAGTTTTGGCATGTCTAACATTTTTTAGTTTGTCTTACTTTTAAAATATTTGGTGAATCCTTGACTTGTGCAGAGCCCAAAAAAATTGGTTTGGCTGAGTAGAGGGGTAGTGGCAAACAGAAGAGGCTAATAGTGTAGAATGCTGCAAACATTTATATTATTTTTGCAAACTCTAACTATATTTGGTTATTTAAATAACTGCAGCATATCAATAAACTAAAAACCTATGAAGTACATTAACATTGTCTTAGTTTTAGTGCCTGTAGTTTCACTTCAGAAGCTGGCAAAGAGAAACAATACGGATCCTCAAGACCAAAATAAATGTCAATTTGATTTTTTCCCATAGCCTTGTATAAAGACAATAAGCCAGGTGGTGGCAGACTTGGTAGCAGAGTGTGTGAAATTAGTTTGATAGAAGATACCAATGTGAAATGGAATAAAAGAAAAGGAAATGTAGATTTAAATCTTTTAAAGTAATATGCTGATTGTTTATTGTTTCCTCATTGTTCCAGGCAGACTATTTACAACCGAAACTCTTGGGAATTTTAGCTTTCTTCAATATGCACTTACTGAGTTCTAGTATTGGCATTGAAGACAAAACGATGGTAAGTCTACAAATATCAGTAGAATGCTGACAAGGTGATTCACTAAAATGAAAATTGTCAGGGCTTCAAAGTGAATTTAAAATTTACGGTCATCCTAGTTGAACTAGAAAATTTACTTTCAGTTGGGCTCTTTTGACCTTGGCTCTGTCACCGTTTGGGGTCTTTGCATAATTTGCAATGACCCCCAACAGTGATTTATTTGCTGTGTGTGTATTGACCACAGAATGCAGGGGAAGGTGAGCAGTACTTAGGAGACCAGGTCATTGTTGTACTCATGCGCCTGTGTGAGAGAACAACACTGAGGACTATTGAGGATCCCCATATTCATTGCATCTTTATGAGGAGATGCTGATTGGTGCAGTGCGGCGTTTTGCTGTGCATGCGAAATAGTCTCCCAGTCAAATTAGCTGAGATCATCAAGATTGATGATTTCAGCCTTGGAGGTGGGGCCAGCCGCCATGAGACCAGGGTGGAGAGGGAGAAAACATGAATGAACTTACTTTTTAACTCCACAAAAAAGGGGGTCGGTCACCTAAACATTTATTTGAGCACTATAGTGTTCCTTTAAAATAAGTTTCTTAATACTTTTTTTCTACCTAAAAAAAAAAAAAAAAGTTTAGTTTAGTTTTGTACTCAAAAGCCGAGTTTGTAAAGATGTCATAAGCAGTATCTTCTCTCCAACCGGTAATATGTGTTTTAAAACTTGTTTTAAACTTCTCATAAATCAAGGGTTACTTGACATAGAATAACTACTTCTGAAGTTGTTGATATAGCTTGTAGATTATTTTATTGACAAATACTTAAATAAGACTTGTGCCAGTTATTTCTGATATAATTGGTGTCAGTCCCACACCTCCATCTTGTGGCAAAACAATATATCTACCTCTACAGGTATCATTTACCATTAATATTTAAGGGAAATGCTCAAATGAGCTGGAAACTACTCACTTTCTCCATATAATCTCTTCTACCTCATTTAGATTCAGATAACCTAAAATCCTAGTCTGCGATTAATACATATATTTATTTATTTTAAATCTTGCGTTCTCTCAACTTTAAGTAGTTCTTACAATTAATTTAATGCTATCATAAACATTGGAATGTTACCTGCAATTTTCTGCTTCATACCCATCAATCTGAACTGACTAGATATAATAATTATCTTTTTCTCATAATTTATCTCATTTAGAGGAAGGTGTATGTGAATTAGAACTTAAATCTCACAATCTTTCTGAAATCAGAACTTATTTTCTTTTCACATGGACTGTTTTCTGCTCTATGTATTACTTCAATTACATTGCACTGTTTTTACTGTATATTTGGTATTCATTGTAATAGCGGCTATATAGTCATGTATGGCAAGCCATACAGTATATTCTTATGTACTTTTTGTGCTGTTTTATTAGAATTTCTGATTTAAATTAATATTCTCTAACAGTGAGGGAAAAAAGTATTTGATCCACTGCTGATTTTGAACGTTTGTCCACCGACAAAGAAATGATCAGTCTATAATTTTAATGGTAGGTGTTTTAACAGTGAGAGACAGAATAACAAAAAAATAAATAAAAAAAAATCCAGAAAAATGCATGGCAAAAAAGTTATAAATTGATTTGCATGTCAATGAGTGAAATAAGTGCTTGACCCCTTCGACTTAGTACTTGGTGGAAAAAACCCTTGTTGCCAATCACAGATGTCAGACGTTTCTTGTAGTTGGCCACCAGGTTTGCACACATCTCAGGAGGGATTTTGTCTCACTCCTCTTTGCAGATCCTCTCTAAGTCATTAAGGTTTCAAGGCTGACGTCTGGCAACTCGAACCTTTGGCTCTCTTCACAGATTTTCTATGGGATTATGGTCTGGAGACTGGCTAGGCCACTCCAGGACCTTAAAGTGCTTCCATGTCCTTGCGCCACTCCTTTCTTACCTTGGCTGTGTGTTTTGGGTCATTGTCAATGCCCTGGCTGAGGGAAGGAGGTTGTCACCCAAGATTTGACGGTACATGGTGCAGTTGTCCTGTCCCCTTAGCAGGAATACACCCCCAAAGCATGTTTCCACCTCCATGTTTGATGGTGGGGGTGGTATTCTTGGGATCATAGGCAGCATTCTTCCTCCTGCCAAAGAGCTCGATATTGGTCTCATCTGACCACAATACTTTCACCCAGTTCTCCTCTGAATCATTCAGATGTTCATTGGCACACTTTGGACGGGCCTGTACATATGCTTTCTTGAGCAGGGGGACCTTGCAGGCGCTGCAGGATTTCAGTCCTTCACGGCGTAGTGTGTTACCAATTGTTTTCTTGGTGACTATGGTCCCAGCTGCCTTGAGATCATTAACAAGATCCTTCCGTGTAGTTCTGGGCTGATTCCTCTCCATTTTCATGACCATTGCAACTCCACAAGGTGAGATCTTGCATGGAACACTGAGTTAGACTGACAGTTATTTTGTGTTTCTTCCATTTGTGAATAATCGCACCAACTGTTGTCACCCTCTCACCAAGCTGCTTGACGATGGTCTTGTAGCCCATTTCAGGCTTGTGTAGGTCTACAATCTTGTCCCTGACATCCTTGGCCAGCTCTTTGGTCTTGGCCATGGTGCAGAGTTGAATTTGATTGATTGCTTCTGTGGACAGGTGTCTTTTATACAGTTAACGAGCTGAGATTAGGAGCACACCCTAAGTGCTCCTAATCTTATCTTGTTACCTGTATAAAAGACACTTGGAAGCGGGAACTCTTGCTGATTGATAGGGGATCAAATACGTATTTCACTCATTGACATGCAAATCAATTGGCATGCGTTTTTCAGGATTTTTTTGTTATTATGTATCTCACTGTTAAAATACACTTACCATTAAAATAATAGACTGATCATTTCTTTGTCAGTGGGAAAATGTTCAAAATCAGCAGGGGATCAAATAATGTGTTCCCCTTATTGTATATTCCCATAGAGTTTTCACTCTAGTCCCTGAGATATTTTGTTGCGATTTACATTATGAAGTTATTTTTTTTTCATTTTGTTTTTGATTTTATTATCAGGCTTTAAACAGTTTGGTGTCCTTAATGAAGCTCATGGGACCAAAGCACATTAGTTCTGTGAGAGTAAAGATGATGACCACGCTACGAACCGGCCTCCGATATAAAGAAGAATTTCCAGGGCTTTGCTGCAAGTAAACACAAAACATGTTTTTAGGCTATGTTGTTTGAAATGTCAGTTATAAAAGAAAAAAAGAAAGCTTACAACATATTCTGAGTTGATTTTAAATTATGGTAGTTTGCTGTATTGGATATCCTTATAATGATTTATGACTCTGATATTTTAACATCTCAATGTGCTGGTTTAACCCCTTAAGGACCAAACTTCTGGAATAAAAGGGAATCATGACATGTCACACATGTTATGTGTCCTTAAGGGGTTAAAGCATGCATGTGCATGTTCCTGAAAAGATTCTGTTAAACATTTGGTAATTATTGGGTAAATTTCTGATTTAAAATATGGCGTACTCTTCCATAGTTGCCAACTTTTGAAGTAAGCACCCCCATCTTATACATTGTCTTTTGCATTTATATCTAGCCCAATACTGATACTGCAACCTATCTAATTGGTTTAATGAAGTGGTCTGGGTGCCAGGTCCAGCTAGGTTTAACCCTTTTTTTTTTTATAAACATAGCAGTTTCAGAGAAACTGCTATGTTTATGTTAGGGTTAATCCAGCCTCCAGTAGCTGTCTCTTGACAGCCGCTAGAGGCGCTTGCGTGCTTCTCACTGTGAAAATCACAGTGAGAAGACGCCAGCATCCATAGGAAAGCATTGAGAATGCTTTCCAATGGACTGGCTGAATGCGCGCGCAGCTCTTGCCACGCGTGCGCATTCAGCCGAAGAGGTGGAGAAGAGGAGGAGGAGAGCTTCCCGCCTGGCGCTGGAAAAAGAGGTAAATTTAATCCCTTCCTCTCCATCCAGCCCGGCGGGAGGGGAACCCTGAGGGTGTTTTCCTGGCACTATAGTGGTCCTTTAACCACTATAAATATCTATTTTGACTGTTAGACGAGTTCTGTTCTTATTCTAAAGAGTTGATCGGCATCTATTCTTTTTCTTAACATGATGATCTATACCTTGTAGATTACAGACTTGTACTTTTTTTCTGTTGTCCTTTAGAGCTTGGGACTGGTTTGTCCGTTGTCTGGATCAAGCTTATCTTGGATCATTACTCAGCCATATAATTGTTGCATTACTGCCTTTGCTCCACATCCAACCTAAGGAAACGGTGGCCATATTCCATTATTTGATAGTGGAAAACAGGTACAGATGAGCTTTGTAGCCATTTTATAGTTTAATCTGTAATGTATGCCTATGTTTATTTATTCCAGAAACTGACCAAATAGAAAGTATGTACCATCATTGTTTAATGTCTCACATTAATAGGCATGCCGTTCAGGATTTCCTTCATGAAATATATTTTCTACCTGCTCATCCGGAACTGAAAGAAATCCAGAAGGTTGTCCAGGAGTATAGAAAAGTGAGTTATCTTACTTGACACATGTTGGTATCGGTTTTAACTGAAGTGAGCACTCCATAACATTTTTTATTTTTTTATTATTTCCATCAGGAAACCAACAAAAGCACTGACCTTCAGACAGCATTACAGCTTTCTATCAGAGCAATTCAGCATGAAAATGTGGATGTGCGCGTGCATGCTCTCACTAGCTTAAAAGAAACACTGTATAAAAACCAGGTATGCAGAATAATATTGACTGCAGTCCGTGCATTGCTCTTACAAGATTCCTGCCCTACTTTATAAAGCAACAAGTGTACTAGATGTGCCCAAACAACTAAGACAAAAGCCTGCATCTAGACACTTTTAAGAGTTTACCATGATCTCTTCGGATACATTTAAGACATTAAATACTTGTAATACCCTGGATTTCACCTTTGTTTGCAGGCTAAATTGTTACAGTATTCAACAGACAGTGAGACAGTGGAACCAGTCATCTCTCAGTTGGTAACAGTGCTGTTAATTGGCTGTCAGGATGCCAACCCACAGGCCCGTTTGCTCTGCGGTGAATGCCTTGGACAATTGGGTGCCATAGATCCTGGTCGTTTGGACTTTTCATCCAGTGATACACAAGGGAAGGGTTTTACATTTGTTGTAAGTTACATATTCAGTATTTAAGATTATTGTATTTATGTTTGATCTTTTTACAAGATCAAAAATTTTCAGACTGGTATGGCTGTAGGCTCATTTGCTTTATTTAACCATATTAACCCCTTCTCGACCGCGGACGTATCAGGTACGTCTGGCAAAAAACGGTCAATAATGGCCTTGGACGTACCTGGTACGTCCGCAGCTATTTTGAGTGCTGGAAGCTCTGATAGTATTGCAGTGATGCTCTCTATGTGCTGAGTGCCTCGATGGGTCCTGGCACTCAGTGCATATATAAAAATATATATATAAAAAAAATATATAAAATAAAATGATCAATATTAACTCCCCCCACCCCCCTTCTGGGGGTGGCCCTAGCATGCCTCATCATAAGGGGCAGGCTGGGGTCATCCAATCACAGCTTGACCCATTAGCAATTTCATCCCAAGTGTGTCCCCATTTCTCTGATTAGTGTGGATCCGCCTGCCTCTCTTCACTTGTGTTTTAGTGAGAGAGGGAGAGAGATCTGTGGTTTAGCTAGAGAGATTTAGGTATTTATAGGTAGGGATTTGTAAAATCTTGAGACCCAAAGGCTCTTTTCAGAGCCATTAACCCCTGTCTTGCCAGTGATCACTATAATCACTGGCTCTTGCACAGCAGTCATTTTCTGCTGTTTGTGCATATTTTTTTTAGGGGTTCATTTTTTGTGATTTTTTTTTTTGAGACCCAAAAGCTCTTTTCAGAACGATTAACCCCTGTCCTGCCTGTGATCACTATACAGATCACAGGCTCTTGCACAGCAGCACTTATTTTGCTGTCTGTTCATTTTTTTTAGGGGTTATTTTTTTTTGTCTTTTTTTTTTTTGTGACAGGTCACTAAGTAAAGTGATTGTGATCATGTCACATGGGTCACGGAAGTCAACCAGCGCTGAGCAGTCATATGCCACCCTTGCGCTAGAGTCTGACGCGTCTATGTCAGACTCTGACCCTGATTTTGACCCTGCCAGGTGCTCAGATACATCATCACTAGATACAGTGTCTGCTGCTAGTGATGTATCTAGTGATGTTGTATCTGTGCCTGCTAGTCCCCCTGCCAGAAGGAGAGGTGCTGCTCCAGCTGGCAGAACTGCTGAGGAGTGGGTAGTGCCTCATCGCCACAGGCCAGACATCCCATCATTTACTTCAAATCCTGGCATTAATTTGGATGTCACAGGATTTAGCCCTCAGCAGTTTATGGAGGTATTTCTGGGCGATGATGTATTGGGGAACATTGTCGCCCAAACTAATTTATATGCCCATCAATTGCGAGCTACAAATCCTGACTCTTTTTTTGGCAAAGCAGCAATGGACCCCCATCGATGTGCCAGAATTTAAAAGATTCTGGGCATTGACTATGCTGATGGGCATCATAAAGAAGCCCTCCATCCGCTCCTACTGGAGCAGTAGCCCCATCTGCTCTATCCCCATTTACTCCCAATGTATGTCGAGGAAGAGGTATGAAATGATTCTGCATTTCATGCACTTCAGCGACAACAGCCTGTGTCCCCCTAGGGAGCATTCCCAGTTTGACAGGCTGTATAAAATCCACCACTGATTACTCACTTCGCTGCCAGGTTTGCAGAGGCTTATACACCTGGAAGGAATATATGCATGGATAAATCCCTGATGAAGTATAAGGGAAGGCTGGAATTCAAACCGTATGTTCCTTCCAAGCGCTCTAGGTATGGTGTAAAGATGTATAAGCTCTAAAATAGCGAGACTGGGTATACTCAGGCCTTTCGGGTATACGAGGGAAAGGATAGCCACCTTGACTCTCCAGGTTGCCCAGAACATATGGGAACCAGTGGCAAGATTGTCTGGGACCTGATATTCCCCCTGATGAACAAAGGGTACCACTTGTATACTGACAATTCTTATACAAGTGTCCCTTTGTTCAAGCTACTGTACTGTTTTGATACAGTAGCTTCCGGCACAATCAAAAATAACAGCACAGGTTTCCCAGGACAACTTGAACGCACCCGGCTACGAAGGAGGGAGACCTCAGCTCTGCGCCAAGAGGAGCTGTTGGCAGTTAAGTACAGAGACAAGAAGGATGTGTACCTTCTTACCACCATCCACACTGAGGGGACTGTGGAGGTCCCTGTATGTGGCAGAGCTGAGAGAACAAGGAAGCCAGTGTGCATCAAGGCCTCTAACCGACATATGGGTGGGGTTGATCTGGCAGATCAGCTGTTGCAGCCCTACCTAATTATACGAAAGACAAGGGCCTGGTACAAAAAGGTTCCAATCTACCTAATGCAGATTGCAACCCACAACGCTTTCTTGTTGTTCAAAAAAGCAAACCCCGGGACGCAACTGAGATTTTTACAGTTTCAGCTCCAGATCATTTCAGGGATTTTGTACCGTGATGCACCTGCTCCCCGGGCGGTGATGGGAGAGAGCAGAGTTGGGGCTACACATTTTATTTTTAAAATTCCCCCTAATGCGGCAAAGCAGAATCCCCAAAAAAGATGCAGGGTTTGTTCTAAGAGGGGGCAGAGAAAAGATAGTGTATATCACTGTCCTGATTGCCCTGGACAGCCTGGACTCTGCATTGGAGACTGCTTCAAACGATATCACACGCTGGTCCATTTTTAATTTATTTTTTAACATTTGCCGTTCAGTTTTTTTTTTGGTGTCTTTTTTCTTTTTTTTTGGTTTTGTTACATTTACCCCATGCATGGGGGGCATGGGTGTCCTTAGGAGCCCTTGCAGAAAACAACCTGGGGTGTTTTCTTGCAATAACCAACAACGGGCTCTCCTAAATCACAGTCAAAAAGCAGTGTGCGTGTGTAAAAATGAGGATTGAACAGTTACCTCCACACACGTTCTTCAACTTTTTTATATTTTGTCTGGCTAAAAATAAGTTGCATCAAAGCACTTCACATGCAATACCTCGGGGTGTCTACGTTTCAAGTATGTACCCTTTCATGGCGATATATAAAACTGGGATATGTGATAATCCCCAAGCTAAAGATAGTCCTATCAGAAGAAATACTCTCAATTTCAACTCAAATTGCAAGTCATACAATTATAACCGTACCTTCCCAAAATCCTGGCAAACCTATGCATGGGGGGCATGGGTGTCCTAAGGAGGCCTTGCAGAAAACAACCTGGGGTGTTTTCTTGCAATAACCAACAATGGGCTCTCCTAAATCACAGTCAATAAGCAGTGTGCATGTGTACAAATGAGGATTGAACAGTTACCTCCACACACGTTCTTCAACTTTTTTTGACTAAAATTATTGCATCTAAGGCATCAAAACCCTCCATATACAATACTGCGGGGTGTCAACTTTTCAAATATATGCACGCTCATGACAAGAAAATACATTGGGATATCTGATAAGGCCCCCAAAAGGAAGATAGGCAAACAAGATATGTAAAATTAGAAAAACGCATATCAGACATTTTGCTTTGCACGCCCCAGTGAACCCGACACACCTATGCATGGGTGGTATCGCTGTACTCGGGAGATGTTGTCGAGCACATATTGGGGTGTCCTTTGGCAGTAACACCTAACAGGAGCTGAGAATCTATGCCCAAAGTAGAATGTGTGAGTGAAAAATAACACCACAAAAACTTTTACAGAGACTGGTGGTAGAATTAGTGCATGTAAAGTATTGAAATGCCACCATGTGAAATGCCCTAGGGTGTGTCCTTTTCAAAAACATATGGTTTGACGGGGGTGAATTACATTGGCCGGCTTCAGAAATGTTCCAACTGGGACATGGGTGCATGATGGCCAGCTGTGTTTTATTTTTCCATTTTTCATCAAATTTTACTTTTTTTTTTCTAGTAAATTTTATGATATGATGAAAATAATGGTATCTTTAGAATGAACATTTAATAGCGAGAAAAATGGTATATAATATGTATGGGTACAGTAAATGTGTAAGAGGCAAATTACATCTAAACACAACCACTGCAGAAATGTAAAAAGAGCCCTGGTCCTTAACGGTAATAAAATTGAAAAATGGCCTGGTCACTAAGGGGTTACAACTGCATAGTAAAGGTTTATGTATGCATATGCATGTGTAAATAATTAACACAAGTAAATTCTTAGATTAATGTTGAATGCAGATAAATTACAGTCACTCAGTGGTTGTAATGTGGCAGTGGGGCCCATTAACGGGCATAGTTCAAAGCGTGCTTCCATAACCAAGCCCTTATGTTTGTTTGTTTGTCTTTTCTCTTTTTTAATCAAGACTGGAGTTGAAGATCCAAATTTTGCATATGAGTTGCTTACAGAGTTAACAAGAGCATTTTTGGCATATGCTGATAATGTCCGTGCTCAGGATTCTGCTGCTTATGCAATACAGGTAAAAGGAAGATTTAATAAGAACTAAAGCAAAAAAAGTCGAAATATACAAGAACAATCTGAATATTTACATTAGTCCTATGCTTTATATAGTGTTCGTGCTTTGTTGTCTACAAGCATAAGTTATTCTAGGTTTTACTGATTAAAGAAAATTACATTCTATTGAAAGACAGCTCTATGCTTTTGTTCCTTTATATATGACAATGTGGTGGTCTCTGAACCAAGGTTATCTGTAAGTAATACTGCACGAGTAACAAAAAATAAATTTATAAAAATCTAATCTGGATATTCTCATGTCAACACTTGTTGACATTACAGCCACTTCCAGATACTGACCTAATCACTAAAGGTGCATGATCTCAAGAACTGCTTCCACTCTATAATTACGTCTCTAAGGTTCTTTAACATTTAATTGCTAATGGGTTATGATGTCATGAGCTGCTATCAATCTGTGAGTGCAAGTTACTAGCTAAGCTTTTTTTTAAATCTAAATATTAATGGTATAAAATGTCAGGAATTACTGTCAATATATAAATGCAGTCTACTCACTGAATGTCGATAAGATCTTCTTACTAGTGATGTATGCTCTCAGGAATTGCTGTCAATCTATGAATGCAGAGATGGAAGGGCTGATTGTCCAGGACGTAGGCTTTGGAGACGATTCCCAGAACATGTTCAGGAGATTCTGGAACCACATCTTAATACAAGGTATACCACAACAATAACATGTCATCAAGTGAAAACGTCTGCCTTTCAAAACACGTGACAACATGCAGTATACATACATAAGAGCAGTTAATCTCAAAATATGAGGGGATATATATGGCCATTAAAAAAACGCTATTTGGACGCTCTTCCCCTCTCTGTTAGACTCTCACCCAGTCTGCACTCTTTCACAAAATCTTTGAAAACTTACTTCTTCAGCAAAACGTATCAGTTAAACTGTCAACAGTTTTCCCTCCCCGCACCCTGATTCTCCTGCAACTGACATCAAAACAAAACACTAAGCCCTCTGTGAATACTATCCTAGCAACCTTCTTTTCTACCCTATCCTTTCCGTTTGTGTCACTATACCCCAAGCTCATTGAGCAGGGCCCTCAATCCCTCTGTCTGGTTACAAATACGTGTCTGTTAGTCCACCCACTGTATATATATTTATTATTTATAAACACAAATGTCATGGAATAATACTGTTTATATAGTTAATAATAGTAATGGGCAACCCGAAAAAAAAACCCACACCTTAAAGAGCTATTATAAGCTCAAAGATTGCAGCATGGGTGGAATAATCTTTTCATTTGGAGTGTAGGTGTCTTCTGTCAACTGCAGTGATGATTAAAGGGTTATTTTAACCCTATTCAATATATATATTTGTTTAATTATAATGCTTTATTGGGCACTAGTGACTTTGTTCACACCTTTTTTTTAGTGCCAAAAGCTGTAAAATAAAGATAAAACTTACTTGGAATCCAGCACTGGGTGATATTCTTTCCTGTACGATTCAATGTCACGCCGCAATACTCCTTCCCTCTCAGAATCAATTAAATGCTCATAGAGAAACATTTGATTGGACCACTTTCCAGGCTCAGAGCAAAGGATGGAGGGGGTAAGAGGGTGGAAGTGAGTGATAGACAGTAGGAGGGGATAAAAAAATCCTCATAGAAAATGCAGGAAGGCATGGCGGGCTGGAAAGGAAGCAAGGGGACATACAATCTTCCCGTTGCAGGCATACTCCCAGCACTGCATGCAAGAGTAGAAGCTGGATATGTCTGTCACCACTGCGTGTGCCAGGGATATCACTCCCCACTGGCACAAAAGTGCATGCAGATCTTTCCTGCATTGCAAACAGTTGTTGCTAAATTACTACAGATGTGTTAATGCTTTAATATCTCCACATCATGGTATATTGCTGCACAAAGAATAAAAGTAACCTGTATAGTGGAGCCTGTATACAACCAAAGAAAAGCTTGTAGGAACAGAAAGATGACCTACTCACACTTTTCAGAGCAAATACACACAATGTGCATAGTTGGTTTAATTCCCACAATATGTAAGCATATAACCAAGATAACACAGCAGCCTCCATTGACATCCAGCAGTTAAAATAAAAGGAATTTATTGCAATACATAAAACAAAAGGAATTTTAAAACATACAGAGTCCTCCACTAATGTGATCTGCCATACTTTTTCAAACTATGTACATGCCATTTCTTTTTAGGATATGCTCAGTGCTCCCTTAGAAAGTAATGATAGGGCCAGGACTGGATGAAGGATTCATCTACCACTTGTGAAATGACCTCATTTCATAATATGCAAGTTTTAGGAATTTGCATTAAATACATGAAATTCTAAAATTTGGATCAACAGCAACAACATTTGTGAGGAAGGCTGAACTTGATGGACGCAAGTCTCTTTTCAGCTATGTAACTATGTAAAATGAGTTTCTTTTTTTTTATCCCAGTACTTTTTGGGTAATTTTAATACCTAATCTATTTAAATCTATAAATCGCATAAAAGGCGGAGGTTGATATTTTAATGGGGAGTGATTGTCAGGAAAAAATATTATAGTGGGAGGGGAAGATAGTATATGGAAACTAAAAGGGGAGACTTGTCAGCAAGGCTGGGAGTATATGAGTTCCTGAGCTAAAGTATGCAGGGAGTATGATGGCATTCATCACTTTTTTTTTTTTAATCTTAACAGATACAAGAGTTCACGGAAGGCTGTAAATTGGTCTAAAATGAAGAAACCCATTTACTTAAGCAAATCTGGTAATAATTTTGCAGAGTGGTCAGCAACTTGGGCTGGTTATCTAATAACTAAGGTAAGAGATTGAAATCTATATTGCAGTGCTCTGCTCGGCCCATTGTTTTAGTGACTGATAATTGGCCTAACTCACTGGTTCTGTACTTGCTGTACCCAACCTTTGCTACTGCAGTTTAATATATATATATATATATATATATATATATATTTTACTGGATGCTCAGCAATCCAAATATTATGGAATAAACTTTCTTTGCTTTATTGATATCCATCCTTTTGAGGTTTCTTTTCTGCCTGTACATGCTTCAGTCCAAGAATAAAAATTTTACTGAAATTCAACTTCTGTGGAGTAGCCAAGTTACGTCATTTAGTAAAGCAAAAAGAGACATTTTCTCCATCATCACACCCTGTGTACCCATTTCCCCAAAATTATAAATAATAAAATACATTATATTTTAACACTTGGAAGACTTCAAATGTTTTACTCTGTTTAGGTCAGGCATGAGCTTGCAATGAGAGTGTTCAACTGTTGCAGTATAATGATGAAACATGACTTCAAGGTTACAATCTACCTGTTACCCCACATTTTTGTCTACGTTCTGCTGGGATGTAGTAAAGATGATCAGCAAGAGGTAACCCACACTCGTAGAATAAGTTTGGGTAATGATCTGTATAAGCATTTAACTGTAATATGTATTTGTCAATTTGTAATGTGTTAGAGTTCAAAATTGCACATAGAAGCCAGCTAAATTGTGAGAGTTTGACACAAGTTCATTGTGATGTTCAAACTTATGTCTACAAGATGTGCTTACAGGAAATGTCTAACCCCCAAAACAACATTTTTAAAGAGGGATTGTTGCTCCACCCAGTTTCTAACTATAAGGGAACTATAGTTAATTCTACTGTCTTTAATATTTAAATTAGTTTTATGTCCTATGCAGGTTGTCAAGGCATGGCTAGGCATAGGTTGTAAATCATTTTGACCCCCATAATACCTTAGGGCAGCCCTGTAAGATATTGCAAGTTATTCTTTTAGCGAGCTTTTCATTGCTCTGTTTCAGGTGTATGCCGAGATTATGGCAGTTTTGAAGCATGAAGACCCATGGGTACGGCGCTTACAAGACAATGCTTCAGATTTGAGTCAGCTTAGTACCCAGACTGTCTTCTCAATGTTGGATCATCTCACTCAGTGGGCTCGACAGAAGTTTCAGGTGCTCAATGCTGAAAAAACTACGGCTAAACCTGGGAGTCGAATGGAAATAAAGAGTCAGTACCTTTTTTATCTTAATGAAAATGCTTCTTTTTTTTAGTAATAGTGTGTAATAAAAATATGCAAATTAAAAGAATGATGAACATGTGTTTAGAAATTTTTGAGTAAGGTATACTAAGAGTGGGAGATGTTTGTTTTGGAGGTCATCGTTGCCGTTTGCCTCTGAAACAAACCAATTTTTACATTTCCAAGTCTGTGGATTTGAAGCAGCCAGCAACTCAACAATTTGCATCAGCAGAATTAGTGGGAGGAAGAAGGATTTCCTGTGCCCCAAGGTCAAATAGAGTCTTTATTGAGCTCCCAGGCTAACAAGAGTCTTTAGTCTTTTTAGCAAACACTCAAGAACCCAAATAGGAATTAAAACATAGCTCTGACGCTAAAGTCTGTTGTATTTAGTTTTTTTCACCCAGAGTTTGGCTTTGCCAAATATGGCCTGAAGGTGGAAATTATAGGGAATTTAGGCTGGCCAGTCAGATCAATAGGTATAGGTTATTTCTCAGTTTTAGTTTAAAGGGACACTCCAGTGCCAGGAAAACAATCCGTTTTCCTGGCACTGCAGGTCCCCTCTCCCTCCCACCCCCCATCCCAGGTTGCTGAAGGTGTTTAAACCCCTTCAGTGACTTACCGGAGTCCAGCACTGGTCCAGGCTCCTCCCTCACTGTCATCCGGCGGGGGAGACCGATTGTGCATGCATGGCCGCCGGCGGGGTGATACCTAAGGCACATGCGCGGCAATGCCGTGCATGCACATTGGACCTCCCCATAGGAAAGCTTTGAGAAATGCTTTAAATGCTTCCCTATAGGTGTTTTAGCGTTGCTGGAGGTCCTCACGTACTAGAAACCCATAAGTGCCCTCTAGTGGCTGTCTAGTAGACAGCCACTAGAGGAGGAGTTAACCCTGCAAGGTAAATATTGCAGTTTATGAAAACTGCAATATTTACAGTTGCAGGGTTAAGGGTAGTGGGAGTTGGCACCCAGACCACCCCAATGGGCAGAAGTGGTCTGGGTGCCTGGAGTTTCCCTTTAAGGTTCTTTTCTAATAAAGATACAAGTTGAGATGACTGTTGCTATACCTTACTGACATAGAAAATGTACTCACAATCTCAAAGTGACATAAAAGGGTGCAAAGCAAAGAGATTTATCAAATCATGATACTTATATAAATGTTATTGTTGTATCCGTAGCGGTTACTCCTGAGGACCACGAAGAGTATCAGAATGTGACCAAATTCCTGGAGCTTATACCTCAGGACACTTTGGCCATTGCTTCTTTTCGTTCAAATGCTTACACGAGAGCAGTGATGCACTTTGAGTCCTTCATCATGGAGAAAAAGCAGGAAATTCAAGAGCATCTTGGCTTCTTACAGGTATACAACTATAGGATTTAGCAAGTCTTCATCCTGATAGCCCTCTTTGCAGTGATTATCAACATAATATAAAGTATATCTAATAAGCCAGATCTTTTAACTATTTGGTCAGTGATGTCTCTTTTTTTGGCATCCCATCTTCAAACATTTTAAATGGATAAAACTCTGTAAAACACCTTAAGTAGTTGGTCCTTACATATTATAAACTGTCCTATATATTTCTCCTCACACCTAAAGAAGCAGCCAGTCATGCCTAATGTCCCGTACCCCCTAGCGGTGGGTGGGGGCCCTAAATTAGAATGGGGGGGGGACCTAATGTCCTCCCCCCTGGCCCCCACCCCTAAGCGGTGGGTGGGGGCCCTAAATACTAATTAGGTGGGGGACCTAATGTCCTGCCCCCACCCCTGATCGGTGGGTGGGGGCCCTAAATACTAATTAGGGGGAGACCTAATGTCCTGGCCCCCACCCCTGAGAAGTGGGTGGGGGCCCTAAATTAGAATGGGGGGGGTTGGGACCCTAAATAAAAAATTAACCCCCCTCCCCAGGTGACTAGTGGTCCCCAAACCACTAGTCATCCCCCTCCCCCCAAAAATTAACCCCTACCTACCCCCCTCACCCTAATAATAGTGAGGGGGTACTATTAGCTAAGTACCTGATAAAAAATAAAATAAAACTTACCATTTGATGTTTTATTTCTTCTAAAATCTTATTTTTTCAGCCCCAAAAAAGGCCAAATAAAAAGCCATAATAACTGACAGACTTTAAAAAAAAAAAAACTAAAAAAAAACGAGTGCAAAAAATTATCCATCTTCACCCAGCGAGGGCTCCACGCAAACTGAGCTCTGCAGTGCGGGGGAAGGCTTATAAAGCCTTGCCCCGCCCTGCAATTAGGCTCAGAGCACTCTGAATGGTGGGTTTAAGCCATCCAATCAGAGTGCTCTGACAGGTAAATGAAGAGACTGAAAGGTAAGTCTCTACATTTTATTTATTTTTTAAAATCTTTTATTGTGTAAAGGAGATGTGCAGTAGAAAGTAAACGTAGCTACAGCCTTGTGGACGCGCCGGTCCTATATTGGGTTAAAAATATATAACATTTTACAGTTAGTGTGAGTAGCACAAGTGTTTATATTAGCATATTTAGGTATGTTTCCATCGTCTCAAAATGTCTATGTCTATGTGTAGCTTAGGTGTCTTCTGGTATGTCATTTAGGATAAAGATGAAAGAAATAGGAAGAGTGGGTCAGAGAAAAAAGGGGGGAGGGGAGAAGGAATGAAGGCGGCAAGGGGGGAGAGGGTGGGTGGGGGTGTCTTGCCTTGTACTCCCGTGATGCTGAGAGCCCGCGGCCCGGTCCAGAGCGTCGGCCCCACGCAGGTGCCTTGCAGGCAACCTTACCGTTGTCTACCTAGAGGCCCCCAGAGATGAACATGAACCATGGTAGCCAGGTCTCTGCGTGTTTGCTGGCCCTGCATCGCCTCCGCTCCCTGTATTTCCTCCACTCTGCGTATCCATTCTTCTCCCCGGGGTATTTGTTTTTTTCCAGGTATGGTATGAGCACTTTAGCTGCATTCAGTAGGTGTCTTAAGATCGATCTTGTATACCGGAAGATCGGCATCGGTGATATGTGGAGTAGGGCCAGTTCGGCTGTCCATTCAGTCATGTCGCCTAGGATCTCCTGTATGTTAAGTCTAATCATTTCCCAGTAATGGGTGATTGCGCTACATTCCCACCAGATGTGTATCGTGGTGCCCCGTTCAGTTAGGCATCTCCAACACATTTGTGATATCGCTGGGAATATCCTGTGGAGAAGGGATGGGGTTCTATACCAAGTTGCCAACAGCTTGTAGTTTGTTTCCTGGAATTGTGAGCTGATAGTGCTCTTGTGATGCCAGACTAATGCTTTATCCCACTGTTGATGTGTGAGTGGTTTCGCAAGGAGTGTCTCCCATTTTCTGCGGAACGTGTCGTGTTCTGTTAGATGTCCGGTTAAAAGGTATTGGTATAGTGTGGAGATCGTTTTGTCTAGCGTGGTGGCCTTTGCGCAGCATTCCTCGAACCATGTGAGGTCTCGGTGTAAGTGGTCTCTATTGCGAAGCGTATCGTAGAAATGTTTCAGTTGTAGGTATCGGAGTATTATCTGCGGGGTGCATGGTTTGCCGTTTAGTAGCGAATCTAGGGGTTGTATCGTCCCATTCTGAATGGCTGTGTATATAGGTATATGTCCCCGGCCTTTCCGAGAGTGGCCATGCTCTTGTGGGGATTCCCCCCCCCTATTTTGCGGTTATAGGTGATTGGTAGTAGAGGGGTTGGTGTTGGTGACATGTGTTTTTGTTCTCTAATTGGTCTCCAACTGTGCAACGTCTGTGCTACCGGTTCTACGTCGTCTCCTTGCGTCGCTTTGTTGTGCCTCATATGGTGTGGTGCAAGGCTGCACTGTTCCCTTTGGTGTTTAGGGCTACCCATTGTTTCTGTCCGGCGTTCGTATGCCAATCTAGTATACGTTGCAGGACTCTGGCTTGGTAGTATTTTTTAAAGTCGGGTAGGGCTAAGCCTCTGTAGTGTCTGGGTAAGCAGTGTGTTTCGTGTTTGAGTCTTGAGCGCTCACCTCTCCAGACATATTGCAAGACTGCTGATTTCAGTTTGGCGAAGAATGTGGTTGGTATGGTGATCGGAATTGTCTGGAAGGGGTAGAGGAGTCGTGGTAGGATATTCATTTTGAGGACCGCTATGCGGCCATGCCAGGAGATGTGTGGGTATGACCACTTTGCCATGTCTGCTATTAGTTTTTTCAGTAGGTGGGTGTAGTTGTGGTGGTATAGGTCTCTCGGGTCTGGAGTTATCCATATTCCAAGATATTTCATTCTGTTGCTGCACCATTTAAATGGGAACATCGTCTCTAGTGTTCTATAGTCCTCATCCGGGAGCGTTGCGTTCAGCACCTCGCATTTGGCCAAGTTGAGTTTGAATCCCGAGAGTAGGCTACATTTTTCAAACTCCACCAAGAGGCATGGCAGCGTGGTTCTTGGGCTGCTGATGAAAAAGAGGAGGTCCTGTGCGTATGCGGCCACCTTGTGCATCACTCCCTGCCAGGGGAATCCTTGGATGTCCTGGTTTTGGCGGATCGTTTGTAACAGATGCTCCAGTGTCATGGCGAAGAGTAACGGGGACAGGGGACACCCCTGTCGTGTGCCGTTAGAGATATTAAAGTCGGCTGTGAGTGCTCCATTAAGTCTAATCGGCGCCCTAGGGTTGCTATACAGGGCTCTAATCCACGTGAGGAATTTTTGCCCTATTCCCATTCCTTGGAATGTGGCTATCATGTATGGCCATTGTACCTGATCAAACTCCTTCTCGGCGTCTGTGGAGAGTAGGAGGAGGCGTCTTTGTGACCCCTTCGCTTGGTGTTGTATCACAAATAGGCGTAGCGTGCTATCCCTTGCTTCTCGTCCTGGTATGAATCCTGTTTGGTCCACGTGTATCAGGCCCGGTAATGGTGCTTGGAGTCTAATTGACAGGACTTTCGTAAATAGCTTGGTATCCACGTTTAATAGGGAAATCGGGCGATAGCGCAGCACATCGGGTCTTTGCCGGCTTTTGGAATGACTGTTATGGTTGCTGCCAGAGATTCGGCTCCGAAATTCCCTCCTTCTGCAATCTCGTTGACGACTTTCGTCAACCACGGTAGCAGCATAGTTGTAAAGGTTTTATAATATGCCATGGAGAATCCGTCCGGGCCCGGCGCCTGGAAAGTTTTGGTTGACTTCAGTGCCGCCGGGAGTTGCATAGTATTCCCCCGTCTCCAGGGTCATCTTTGTGGACAGTTCCCTTCCCCCCCGTATTCCACCCAAAGTCCTCACGAACCTACAGGGTGTGTGGGGTGGTTTACACAATTCTGTGTTAGTTATTGTGTGTCCAGCTTCAATTCCCCTCCAGCCTCCCGGGGGGCCACGGACGCAATCTGCCGTCTTAAGTCCCTTAGTGATGTGCCAGGAAATGGATGTGGGGGACGTCTATAGCTAGATGATCACCCGTATCTCCCCTCCCCAAACTGTCTCGTATTATCCCGCCCGTCAGGGGTCAGCAGGAGTAGTGTAGGCCCATCAGATCAGGCTGGGTTGGGACTATCCCTGATAGGGGAGCCCGAGGCTCAGGACTGGTAGGACATCATTTAGGGTGCCTGAGGTCAGTGGGGCGGTAGGTGTACTCACTCCGCATGGTCTCCTTGGTCCGGGCGTCGTGTCGGTGGGGGTCCTGGCGCGGATCCTCCTCTGCGCCTCCCGGGTGCCCGCTGGGGTCGAGGTCTCGGTCCCAGCGGTTCAAGTATCCAATTAGGGAATGGGGTGGGCGGCAGGCCCAGTTCTTCCACAAGACGCACGATTTCGTCAGGGCTTCTGGCGTAGATCCAGCCTTCTTGATGGCATGCCAGGAGGGCGAACGGGAATCCCCACTTATATGGGATGTTGTGTATAGAGGTTACCGGTCGGAGTGCCCTCCTTGCATCCAGCGTCATAGGGAATAGGTCGTTGTATAAGGCAACCTGGGAGCCCATGTAGGGCCACGTGGGCCTTTCCCTGGCTTTGTGCATTATTGCCTCTTTGATCTGGTATGAATGGAGGCAACAGATTAAGTCTCTTGGGCCTTCTTCCTGGGCTCGAGGTCGCAAAGCTCTGTGCGCTCTATCAAATTTGAAGCGTGGTGGAGCCTCATGCTGCTTTATGCTTTTAAACAGGTCTGATAGCAGCTCCTCTCTCTCATCCATCTGTCTTGTCTCAGGGACTCCACGCACTCTAATATTGCACCTTCGGCCCCTGTTGTCGAGATCTTACATGGTGCGTCTCATGGTAAGTAGTAGTTCTCCTTGATCGCTGTATCCGTCGTGGTGATCCTGACTGCCTGCATTTCAAGACAGTTTTCCTGGGATTGGATGCGGCCTACCTGGGCTCTGACCTCCATCCGGAACCCTGCTATTTCCGCCCGGAGGGCATCTTGTATGGCAGTGGTGTGCGATAGTAAGTCGTTTTTAGTGGCCATTGATGTCACTATGAGGCGCAGTTCTTCCCCTATGCGGTCCAGGGCTTCCCCTATGCGGTCCAGGGCTGACGGTTCAGTGTCGGCCGGTGATGTCATCTCTGCCTCATTGTCCGGGCCCCTTTGGGATTGCACAAATCCGTCCATCGGACCTTGTTGGGGTTTGGGGATGATCTGAGCGTCGGTTTCGGCCCATTTGTCGGCTGTAGCTTATTGTAGGATGCTTAGTAAGGGCTTGGTGGAGCGGAGCACTGTGATTAAGCGTTCATCTTGTTCAGCGACCAGGCCACGCCCCCCGTAAGTCTCTACATTTACCTGTCACAGCACTCTGATTGGTTGGCTTGAAATCCACCAATCAGAGTGCTCTGTGTCATTTTACACAGCGTGAGAAAGTTCTTTGGAATTTCCCCACGCTGTGTAATTTGACTCATAACACTCTGGTTACTTAATCCACCAATCAGAGTGTTATGAGTCAAATTACACAGCGTGGGAAAATTCCAAAGAACTTTCCCACGCTGTGTAAAATGACACGGAGCACACTGATTGGTGGATTTCAAGCCAACCAATCAGAGTGCTGTGACAGGTAAATGTAGAGACTTACCTGTCAGTCCCTTCATTTACCTGTCAGAGCACTCTGATTGGATGGCTTAAACCCACCAATCAGAGTGCTCTGAGCCTAATTGCAGGGCGGGGCAAGGCTTTATAAGCCTTCCCCTGCCCTGCAGAGCTCAGTCTGTGTGGAGCCCTAGTCGTGTGAAGATGGCTAATTTTTTTATTTATTTATTTATTTTATGTGCGTCGGTTATTATGGTTTTTTATTTGGCCCTTTTTGGGGCTGAAGAAAGAAAACATCAAATGGTAAGTTTTATTTTATTTTTTAACAGGTACTGAGCTAATGGTCCCCCCTTACTATTTTTAGGGTGAGGGGGGTAGGTAGGGGTTAATTTTTTATTTAGGGCCCCCACCCGCCGCTTAAGGGGGAGGACATTAGGTCCCCCCCCCTAATTAGTATTTAGGGCCCCCAACCACTGCTCAGGGGTGGGGGCTAGGGGGGAGGACATTAGGTCCCCCCCTCATTCTTATTTAGGGCCCCCACCCACTGCTCAGGGGTGGGGGCCAGGGGGGAGGACATTAGGTCCCCCCCCTAATTAGTATTTAGGGCCCCCACCCACTGCTCAGGGGGGAGGACATTAGGTCCCCCCCTCATTCTTATTTAGGGCCCCCACCCACTGCTCAGGGGTGGGGTCCAGGGGGGAGGACATTAGGTCCCCCCCCTAATTAGTATTTAGGGCCCCCACCCACTGCTCAGGGGGGAGGACATTAGGGCCCCCCCTCATTCTTATTTAGGGCCCCCACCCACTGCTCAGGGGTGGGGGCCAGGGGGGAGGACATTAGGTCCCCCCCTCATTCTTATTTAGGGCCCCCACCCACCGCTCAGGGGTGGGGGCCAGGGGGGGGACATTAGGTCACCCCCTTATTAGTATTTAGTGCCCCCACCCACGGCTCAGGGGTGGAGGCAAGGGGGGAGGACATTAGGGCCCCACCCACCGCTCAGGGGGGAGGACATTAGGTCCCCCCCTAATTAGTATTTAGGGCCCCCATCCACCGCTCATGGGTGGGGGCCAGGGGGAAGGACATTAGGTCCTCCCCCTTATTCTAATTTAGGGCCCCCACCCGCCGCTCAGGTGTGGGGGCCTGGGGGTGGGCAATAGGTCCCCCCCCCCCTAATTATTATTTAGGGCCCCCACCCACCGCTCAGGGGGGAGGACACTAGGTCCCCCCCCTCATTCTAATGTAGGGCCCCAACCCACTGCTCAGGGAGGAGGACATTAGGCCCCCCCCCTCATTCTAATGTAGGCCCCCCACCTACCGCTCAGGGGTGGGGGCCAGGGGGAGGACATTAGGTCCCCCCCTTATTCTAATTTAGTGCCCACACCTGCCGCTCAGGGGTGGGGGGTGGTGGGGGGGCAATAGGCCCCCCCCCCCCTTTAATTTAAAAGCCCTCTTTTGCGTGTCGCGGGTGGGGGCTCGGGTGGGGGGGACACTTTTCTTTATTTTTATTTTTTTTTACATTTTTTTTTTTTAACAGTGAGCAGCCACTGGCTGCTCACTGTTTACTAGAGATGCCCCTACTTTAAAACCTTGCGGTATTGCAAGTAGGGGCATAATTTACTAACACTAACTAATCTTTACTTAGTATTAGTAAATTTGGCTGAAAGACCAATTTAGGTCTTTCAGCCTTTTGGTAGATAACTCCCTAATACCGTGGGAATTAGGGAGTTATCTACCAAGCAGCTGCAAGAGAAGTTCCAAAATTCCAAAGTGCTGAAGTTGCCGAGGTCCCGAAGTTCCAAAATTTCTGAAGTGCCGAATTTCGGAATGCCGAGCCGAACCGAACCAAAAAAATTTCCCATGCACATGCCTACAGTGTACATTGCAATCTACAGGCCTTAATTTGTCTGGTTGCTGAACTGAAATTTGTTAACAGTGTTTCTATTTGACCTGAAAAATTAAGGATGTGTACACTGTTTTTCCATTGAAGTTGTGATATGCTTTGAATTGCTGCAAAATTAACTTTTAATTGGGGTTTGTGAATGTTTTGTTGTTTTGTGCCACTTCTAGAAATTGTATGCTGCTATGCATGAACCTGATGGAGTAGCTGGCGTTAGTGCCATTCGCAAGAAAGAGGCATCCTTAAAAGAGCAGATCTTAGAGCACGAAAGCATTGGCTTGCTGAGAGATGCCACTGCCTGCTACGACAGAGCGATTCAGCTGAAGCCAGAGGAGGTAATGGCAACTGAGTGACTTATTCTTATTCAAACAGGGAGTTGGCAAACAAATTGCTAAATTACAGCAAAGTAGTTTTTTTTAAATTACTGCTAAATGAATAACAAGGATGATCATTCCAATAATTCAGATTTAAAACCCAACACTTTTGCCAATCTATAGATAAGCATGCTAGATTCCAACTACACTCTCCTGTCTCTCTTTTGAAACTTGTACTGAAGTTGCTACATTATTTTCATTCATGTAACGAGCACTATATCTGATGTCTGTAGTTGAAATTCAGCTATACAGGATTCAAAAATCAGTATTGAATGTAGGACGCTTCACATGTCTCCATAATTAAAACAGTGGTAAAGAATGGTTACGAAGCAATGTTTCAAGAATAATTACTGAATGGTACATTTATAGTCAGAATTTACATTTTGTGACTGAGTGAAAGCATTTCATGATGATCTTCTCATATCCCTAGATTATACACTATCATGGGGTAGTGAAATCCATGCTGGGACTTGGCCAGTTGTCCACTGTCATCACGCAAGTTAATGGAGTGCTAAACAGCAGGTACATGTGCTTTTTACAATGAAAGCCTTTTGTGAAATTTTTCTCTTTTTATTTTTTTTTATTTTTAGGGACACAAATGTTGTCCGCTAGCAGTTACTATTTTGTTTGGTTTTTCACATCATCTTACATTACTACCAGTGGCAACAGTAGCAAATTTAATCTTAAAATACATCCATAATGTCATTCATAACTTGTAATCATTTTATAGAGAACACATTTTCACCGATTGCTAATTTGCTAAAAAAATTATAGATTAAAAGGTATTTCACTTTATATGTTTTGACCTTCATATAGCTATTGACATATTAGCAAAGACAACGGATATGGAGGACAGGAGTGTCATCATGTGCAGCCTCCCTGCCTCCAAGTGTAACAGCGGGATTCCACAAGTTCTAGAATGCACCTGAACATGGTGTTGGGAGGCTGTGCATGCAATAGCCCCAGGTCCGGCGCGTCCATAAGGCGGCACAGGTGCCTTAGGGGGCACCGGCCTGGGGGCGCTAGATTAGAGTGACCGGCAGGAGGGAAGCGCACATCGCTCTTTCCTGCCAGTCATTCAGTGTAGCGTGGCCGAGCCGACCCCGATACAGGAGCATCTGATTCCTGTACCCGGCCGGACTGACAGGAAGTGGTCGCTGAGAGAGCACTCCCTGTTAGTTCGGCTGGGTACAGGAAACTGAAACTCCAGTACTGGGGTCCGCTCCGCTCAGCCAGGGGAGCTGGCCACTAAGGGGGGGAGAGAGAGAGAAATACTTAGGGAACAGGGGGGGGTGGGGCACTAAGGGAAAGGTAAGAGAAAAGGAACACTAAGGGACAGGGGAGGGGTGGGGTGCACTAAGAGACAGTTAAGGGGGGGTGAAAGAGCACCAAGGGACAGGGGAGGAAAGGGAAAAGGAACACTGAGGGGGGTACCACTAAAAAAGAGGGAGGGGAGAGGAACACTAAGAGGGATCGGGGGGGGGGGCACTAAGAGACAAGTAAGGGGGTGGAGGAACACTAAGAACAAGGGAGGGAAGGGAAAAGGAACACTGAGGAGGGTCACTAAAAGGGAGGGGAGAGGAACACTAAGGGGGTTGGGAGGAACACTAAGAGGGATGTGGGGCACTAAGAGACAGGTAAGGGGGGAAAACACTAAGCCACTAAGGAAAGGGGAGGGGAGAGGACCACTAAGGGACAGGTAGTGGACCACTAAGGGACAGGTAGTGGACCACTAAGGGACAGGGAGATGACCACTAAGGGACATTGAGATGACCACTAAGGGACATTGAGATGACCACTAAGGGACAGGGAGAGGACCACTAAGGGACAGGTAGGGGAAGGGAACACTAAGGGACAGGTAGGGGAAGGGAACACTAAGGGACAGGTAGGGGAAGGGAACACTAAGGGACAGGTAGGGGAAGGGAACACTAAGGGACAGGTAGGGGAGGGGAACACTAAGGGACATGTAGGGGAGGGGAACACTAAGGGACATGTAGGGGATGGAAATACAAATGGGATGGGCGTGAAAGAGACACAAACGGGGGTTGTAAGAGATACAAAAGGGAGGTGTAAGACACACAATGGGGGAAATAAGGGGGTAATAAATTTAAAAAGGGGGATAAGAAACAAAAGACAGGTTAAGAGGCAAACAGGTGAAGATGCTTTTTTTGGGGGGGTGGGGAGACAGGGCAAAATGATCTTCGCCTGCATACCCAAAAATCCTTGGGTATCGTGCTATTTGCAGTGATAAAGAAATGCACTTACATGCTCATAAAATATTGTAAAATCCAAACAACTTGCTCCTTAAAACTTAAATATTAGTTTTATCACATTGTAGATTGTGTGCCCACTTATTTTCTGTTTACTTCTGATTGCAGTGATGCCTGTCATGTGTTTGAAATACTTTACTACTTGTTTTCTAGGCCTGAATGGACAGCAGAATTAAATACTTACAGGATAGAAGCTGCTTGGAAGCTGTCACAATGGGGTTTAGTTGAAGATTATTTGTCTCCAGGTACTGTTTTGCTTGAAGATTTTTATTGTATATTACAAGGTTATCCACCCATCCAGCGTCAGATGCTCATTTATTACTATGAGTTGTAAAGGCTCCAACAGACTTTCAGAGCTGTATAATAAATTGCATCACAAGAGGGAACATTACATTCAACTGAGCTTTGTAAAGGTTTTAAAGGACCATTATAGTGCCAGGAAAACAAACTAGTTTTCCTGGCACTATAGGGTTATTGGTCCCCACCATCATGGCCCCCCACACTGGGCTGAAGGAGTTAAAACCCCTTCAGCCACTTACCTTTCTCCAGCGCCGGGCTCCCTCAGTGCTGGTGACCTCTCCTCCTCCTGCCGACGTCCGCATTCAAACCGCCCATAGGAAAGCATTACTCAATGCTTCCTTATGGACGTCAGCGTCTTCTCACAGTGATTTTTTACACCGAGAATCGCAGAAGCGCCTCTAGTGGCTGTCAGGGAGACAGCCACTGGAGGCTGGATTAACCCTCAGTGAAACATAGCAGTTTAACTGCTATGTTTACATCTGCAGGGTTAAAACTAGAGGGACCTGGCACCCAGACCACTTCATTGAGCTGAAGTGGTCTGGGTACCTATTGTGGTCCTTTAAATGAGGTAATGCTAATTAACAGTAGACCATGTGGTAAACCATTAGGTTACTACAGCCACTATGTCAACAGACTGATAGGCATAATATAAACCATATTGACTGTATTGCTAACAGTTCTCCGTATGATCAAAACTACTAATATTTACATCATATATAAAATATAATTTTTTATAAGTGATAAATGAAAGCAGAAAATTGATCAAGAAATAGAGTGTAGAAAAAAATAAAAAATAAACAATGCAGAATATGTTTTTCTAGTGATTAGAAATTTCTTGAACAAATTAAAAACAAAAAAAACAGCTAGACATGTTTAATTTATATTAGTCCTATAGTTAAAGTAAAAAAATTAATTATACATTATTTATAATCTACAGTAGCCTTTTCTTCGGTTACCTAGGGCTTAATTATACAATATTACACAATATATTCCTCCTTTTGTAGTGTATAATTGTACGGTTTCTTGTTCAAGTTATCAAAAACTATTATTATTTTGCACAATTTATACACTGCATGTTATATAGTATTATATATTATTTTAAATAGTCAGATTGCACTATGCATAGATAGCTTTTATTGATCTTCTGTAAACCTGACTTTGCATTATTCATAATCCGAACTAGTAGTGAGGAAACAGTGGATGAAACATTGTCTAATGAAATGTCATTACCAATCAGTGCATTTGTTTTATACCTTTGTAATAGATGACGTTTGGGTCATACACCTCTTGCTTGGAGGTGTTATATAGTAATATATATATATATATATATGTGTGTGTGTGTGTGTGTGTATATATATATATATATATATATATATGACTCACATATACAGATAGGACCTTCTATGGTATCCATATAGAAAAATAGGCTTTATTAGGAAGCATTTCATTTTTTACCTTTTGGTATTAATTATGTTGCAGTCCTTATTGAACATCATGTGCAGCTCTGTTAAAAGGATTTTTTATTGATAGATCGCAAATCTACCGCGTGGAGCATCAGACTTGGGCAGCTGTTGCTCTCTGCCAAGAAACGTGAGGCAGAATCGTTCTACGACTCACTCAAAGTGGTACGAGCTGAGCAAATAGTACCTTTATCAGCTGCTAGCTTTGAAAGGGGATCTTATCAACGTGGATATGAATACATTGTCAGGTACAGCCCAGACTTATTTTTTTTGAAACGTTTGCAGGTACACTCATTGATCTGTGGTGAACTTTGAAATAGTGCTAAAAAGTACCCAGGTGGTAAACCAGTATGTCCCTAGTAAAGTGCTGGATTAGAATCATGGGAAATGTAGAATTTTCTCTAAAAAAAGGCAGTGTTTGCATGAAAACGCCTGCAGGTAATGATTATACTCACCAGAGAAATTATATTAAGCTGTAGTTGTTCTGGTGACTATAGTGTCCCTTTAAGATCATGGTTACTAATATTGCACCAGTAGACTTGTTATTCTGTTCAGTATATGTGTCGGACATATTGCTTGAAACCATAGATTTGCATGGAGAGTTAGTCTTGAGCCATATAAACGTTATATAATGGAACTGGAATAAATTGTATACTCTCTTTCTGGAATGTGAAGGTTGCACATGTTGTGTGAACTTGAGCACAGTGTGAAAATGCTGCTACAGATGCCTGATGGTGACTCGATCAAGGACTCTCTCAACTGGCCAGCACGTCTGGAAATGACACAGAATTCCCACAGGGCTAGAGAGCCTATCTTAGCTCTGCGCAGAGCATTGCTAGCTGTCAACAAAAGGTCAGCACTGTTTGAATTTTGTTGCTAGAAGAATGCCTTTAGAAACTTAGGGCAGCGATGGTTAAATTTGACGCATTTGTTAAGCAATATTGGGTTGACGTCTGTTAGCCAGACATATTTACCTGAGACCAATTTAGATTGTCAGTTTGCAGTTCATTATTCACAACACTGTTGAATTTATTAAACCTACAGCTTACTCTATTTATCGAAGGGATGGAAAGAGGAATGATGACATTATTTAATGTTTGTAATAGCTGAATTAGTTAATTTACTTGCATACTCTATAATATAGGTTTTATTAGTATAAAAATTGCATCTATTGTGCAGGCCTAATCAGGCTGACATGGTTGGCGAATGCTGGCTCCAAAGTGCCAGGGTTGCTCGCAAGGCAGGACATCACCAAGCTGCATACAATGCTTTGCTCAATGCAGGGGAAACCCGGCTGCCTGAGCTCAATGTTGAACGTGCTAAGTGGCTGTGGTCTAAGGTAAGCAAAATCTCAGCATATATTTTGCATATTACATTGGCTAAACAAGAATTTGTATCATGTGCAAGTAGCAATACTGAATTTGACTAACAACTTGCTTTGAGCATGTTAAAAGACCTCTTCCCTTGATACACAGGGTGATATGCACCAGGCTCTCATTGTTCTGCAGAAGGGAGCAGAGTTATTCTTGCTTGATAACAGTGCCTCCCCAGAGCAACAGCTAATCCATGGCAGAGCCATGCTGCTCCTGGGACGTTTCATGGAGGAAACCGCCAACTTCGAGAGCAATGCGGTGATGAAAAAATATAAAGTGAGTTTCTTAAATGGGATAACATTCCTGATTGCTGGTGATAGCCCACAGTGGCTAAAAATAACCAGCTTGGATTGACAATGTAAAATACATGTTTTCTATTAAAGGTATAGCATATACAGGGTATCTACTGTTACATATGCAGGGAGTGAGCTCTTTTCCTCTTGTATGGGTTTTTCTAATTATATTCTGCCCTTTATCCTAATCTTCTAGATATATATATATAATATATACTCATTTTACAGTTCTGCAGAACATGTTGGTGTTTTTTTAAATTAACAGTAATAATACTTAACTCTTGGTTTTGTATCATTGAATATTATAGGATGTAACCACTTTGCTTCCTGAGTGGGAAGATGGGCATTTCTATCTTGCAAAGTACTATGACAAGCTGATGCCTATGGTGACTGACAACAAGATGGAGAAGCAGGGAGATCTTATACGATATATAGTATTCCACTTTGGCAGGTGAGTGTATTTTTTATGGGGAAATCTGTGTACTATATACATAACTTGGTTGGATGGAAAATACATTTTTTTTCACCTGTTTTTCTAATTGTATTCATATTTAAAGTGTAACTGTCATTGTTCACGAGACCTTAGTTTCATTGACAAACAATAAAGTTCTGTAAATATATTGAGATGGCAGAATTGGAAGGCTCGCACATATATTTCCCTCCCCCATCTGTCAACCATAAAGTCATCATAGCCCTCTATGATGGGATTGAGTGATGGAAAATCTTTGTACAGGCTTTTTCCTTGCTCTCTGTTATGGCAGATACAGTAATACAGTACATGTAATACAGTACATGCTCTAGGCAACACATCTCACAGTACCAAGAGAGGAATAGGAGTGACAGGTGTCACTGGAGCCTGGCATGTTAGTGTCATCTTATCTTCCTTAGAGTAGCAATACCAAGCAGGACCATATGTATTGGAGTGGGCAGGAGGTGGAATGGATTAGGAGTATTACCTTAACCATTCCTAAAGTAATTGCATAAATAATTTAGTGTTATGGTAGATTATACATGAATAGCTTTAGGAGCTGCTATCCATTAAATGAAGCCTACACCTAAATGTAAATACAATAATGAATGTGAGCTGCCATTCACAAACAATGCTAATAGCAAAGTATTCATTACAAGGTACTGTGCACTGGAAAAGCTAGTCAACATGGAAGCACTTACCGCAGGCAATGCTAGAGCTGTAAGTAAAGCCAAGAAAGTACATGCTGTGGATGGAGATACTTATAGTGCACGATACCACAAATACAAGCAATAAAGATTTATACACAGTTATTCAAGAAGCATCCAATTATTTACCCCAATGCCATATCCAGGACAATCCCCCAAATTGGTCAGACTTGCCTTATTTTGCTACTTTATGTTGTGTCCACCGACTTGTTCAGGGGAAAGTTAAATAAAAGTGAATGCATAAAATGCTAATTTCCAAAAGGTGACAGGTCTGTTTTAAATGGTGGTGATGTGGTTTTTGGTTTTTTTCCCTCCAGGTCCCTGCAGTATGGAAATCAATATATCTATCAGTCAATGCCCAGGATGCTATCACTATGGCTGGACTTTGGAGCTAAAGTGTATGAATGGGAGAAAGGTATGGCTAGGAAATGAGCACCAGTGAAAAGCATTATCCTCGCAATGGCTAATATTAGCACTGCAGAGGCTTGTCTGACACATTTCCCTTCTTGCCCAGCCAGCCTTAAAGGGCCACTATAGCATTAGGAATACAAATCTTTATTCCGAACTTTGTAATCTTCATGTCCCTAATTAGTTTTAGGCTCCCAGTGTGCACTGTAAAAAATAACAAGCAAAATATTTTACTTTCCTTTTCTCCAGTGCCGAGCTCCCTCAGTGTTGCCGCTTTGTCCTCCCCATGTGACGTCATCCTGGATGTGTGCCTCCAGGATGACTGTCGAGTCCAATGCTCCTCATAGAGATGCATGAGGGAAAAGTTGTGATTCCAAGTATTACAGTAATTAAACATTGGAGGCTAGGGCAGTGTCCATTATAATTACTTTAATTAGGTGAAATTGTTATAGCGAGTAAAAGTGACAAGCTGATGCTTGAGAAACATGGGACATGTAGTTCTCCACAAAAAGTACTGTACTTTGCCAGACAGTGCAAAGTTTGGCTATTACTGGCATAAGATATTGCAGTCCTTAGCATAGTATATAGCTCCTGATCTTACCTGTACACAATAACTTTACATATAGCTAGTGTTAACAGATGTCAAATGACAGTATTTTCACCTGAAACCCTTGTGATGCATCAGATGTATCTTTTTACTTCATCAGTGTCTCTCTTATTATCTTTTCCAGCTGGCAGAGCAGACAGAACACAAATGAAAAATGATTTAATCAAAATAAACAAGGTTATTACTGAGCACACCAACTCCTTGGCTCCTTATCAATTTCTAACTGCCTTCTCGCAGCTGATCTCCAGGATCTGTCACTCCCAACATGAAGTATTTGCTGTGTTAATGGAAATTGTGGCCAAAGTCTTTGTAGCTTACCCCCAGCAGGCAATGTGGATGATGACAGCTGTGTCCAAGGTAACAAGTGACATAGAATTGCTTTTTAAAATACATTTTCTGTTGGGAATTTTAACCTACTTATACTATAAAATGCTATATCTTTTCAGAAAATAGTTCAAATTGTTATTTTAATGTAAATATATCTAAAAAAGAGGGGATATTTATTATCGTCATTTGAAAGGGGTGTAAATATAAATTTTGCTTGTTAAGGGAATAACTCAGAGCAGCCCACTGCAACATTGTGATATTGCTTGAAAAATTCGCTGTGCTGGATTTTCAATGATCTCATATTAAAATGACACTCCAGAACCCTAAAACACTTTAGCTCTTTAGCAATTGTTGATGTTCCCAACAATTTAAAGGACAGAAAGGGCTTTTATTTAACACCTATATGTATACCTAACACAACATTGCGTGTGAATGAACTGTTAAAAATTGTTTATAATAATGTTTACACATCAGTGCTAATAATTAAAAATAACTCAAAATAGATTTACATATCAGTCCTGATTGTTAAATGACTAATATGTTTAGGATCTAAATTAATTTTTGATAGTTAACACTAATCCTGTACCCAATGCTTACACTTACCGTATGCCTACCCTAAATTTACCCTTAATCTGAGCCCTACACTATCTTTAACACTAAAACAATATAACCCCAAACCCAGCATTAACACTTACCCTAATCCTGCAGCTAACCGTGCCCTAACACTAATTGTAGCCCTACCCTTACCACAAAATCATAACTCCAACCCTAACCCTGCTAATATCAATTCTTGTATAAGAAATTAGTTTTACTATTTAAAGGAACACTATAGTCACCTAAATTACTTTAGCTAAATAAAGCAGTTTTAGTGTATAGATCATTCCCCTGTAATTTCACTGGTCAAGTCACTGTCATTTAGGAGTTAAATCACTTTGTTTCTGTTTATGCAGCCCTAGCCACACCTCCCCTGCCTATGATTGACAGAGCCTGCATGAAAAAAAAACTGGTTTCACTTTCAAACAGATGTAATTTACCTTAAATAATTGTATCTCAATCTCTAAATTGAACTTTAATCACATACAGGAGGCTCTTGCAGGGTCTAGCAAGCTATTAATATAGCAGGGGATAAGAAAATCTTAATTAAACAGAACTTACAATAAAGAAAGCCTAAATAGGGCTCTCTTTACAGGAAGTGTTTATGGAAGGCTGTGCAAGTCACATACAGGGAGGTGTGACTAGGGTTCATAAACAAAGGTATTTAACTAAATGGCAGATGATTGAGCAGTGAGGCTGCAGGGGCATGTGCTATACACCAAAGCTGCTTCATTAAGCTAAAGTTGTTCAGGTGACTATAGTGTCCCTTTAACACAGTAGATGGTGATATTTTGCCACCATCTACTGGTCGTTTTCAGAATTACACAGTGTATTCTGAATGGAGTCTTGTTTCTAGCTGATTACACTGCGATCGGTACTGGACAGCTTGCAAAGCCCATTACAGATCACAATTGGCGAGGGACAGAATAGAAGACTGTGCCAGAATCTATTAATACCCAAAGCTGCCTGCAGTCCATAAAAACCGTGGCTGAGAACAATCACTTTATGAATGACTTCCAGCATTGCACAGAGCTCATTGATCAATCTGGATCCACTAAAATGGCCCCAGTTGACTAATAGGAGCCCCATATATCCATTGATACCTGGGGTTAGTGGGTTGTGTTACTCCCCAATCTTTATGCAAGCATTTAAAATCCTATTCAAAGAGCTGCTTGCTTCCATCATTGTGCCTTAAAGGCATCAAATCCCATTACAGTTGGGATGTAAGTGTTCTGGAAAGACTTGTCTTTACCCGTCTGGCTTGTTTCCCCAATTCCAACTCTCCTTGACCCTCTTCAGTCTGGTTTCCGTCCCCTTCGCTTTACTGAGACTTCTCTTATTCAAGTTACTAATTACATAAACTCAGCTAAATCCAAATGTCACTACTCCCAACTAATTCTTCTTGACCTCTCTGCTGCCTTTCACACTGTTGATCATGTTCTCCTTCACCAAAATCTTCAATCAGCAATAGGTTTAAGAATGCAGCGCTTATAACAAATAAAATAGATAATTAAATAATCACCTCTGGAGTAGTAAAAGATTGAACCTTGTTATCATATAGGTAAGGTATCTGATGGAATCAATACCTATAAATATATATAATACAACATAGTATAGATTGCACAAATGCAGGATATATATAAAAAATATGGATCATAAAAACTCACAAACATAGAGCTAAAAATCTAGCTCTGGTATGAATAGCGTCCAGTTCCGTACAGGCGACCCACCCCTACAGGGAATGTGTTCTGTCCTAGGGGAGATATATAAAACGCAAACATAGAGTAGCACAGTTGATGTTAGAATAATATAAAATCAGGCTGCCAAGTGGGTACTTACATACATGGAGCATCTTTGGCAGCTTGGACCGCATACGTTTTACCGGCAAATAGTAATCACGTGACAGTGGAAAATCACCAGCAACCGTTCACCCCATTTAGAGGGTATATAAACAAGCAGTGTGGAACTATTGAATTATACACTCGGCTGATGAAGCTACAAACAGTAGTGAAACGCGTTCCGGTATATAATTGTTGAAAAAGTTATATACTTTTATCCTGGCTTCCAGTTTTCCACTACTGCTTAATACCTACAAGGAAGTGTAGTCCCTAACTACACAATACGCTATGATAGAGCCATAGAGTACAATCTATACTATGTTGTATTATTTATATTTATAGGTCTTGATTCCATCAGATACATTACCTATATGATAACAAGGTTCAATCTTTTACTATTCTAGAGGTGATTATTTAATTATCTATTTTATTTGTTATAAGCGCTGCATTCTTAAAACCTATTGCTATTTGTCTGTATTATTTGGAAAAGTTATACACTAATGTTCAGCTGTTATTGAATATAACGTGTTTTGACAATATCTTATGTAAATTGCATCTAATCTATAAGCGATAATACCTATTTATCTTATTATTTCTATAAACTCTTCAATCACGCTCAGTCTCTGTGACACTGTCTTCTCATGGTTTTCCTTCTATCTCTCCTAACGCTCCTTCAGTGTCTCCCTTTTTATTGATACCTCCTCCCTTTGTGCTGTCTCAGTTGAAGCCCCCAAGGCTCTTTCATTGGTCCCCTTCTATTTTATTACTGCCTCTATTGGCAAACTTATTACCTCATTTGGATTCCACTACCACCTGTACGCTGATGACACCTAGATAAATCTCTCCTCCCCGGATCTCTCTCCTGCCGTCCTGCAACGTGTCACTGCTTGCCTTTCTTCCGTCTCTGACTGGATATACTCCCGCTTTCTGAAACTCAATCTCTCTAAAACTGAACTTCTTGTCTTTAGTCCTCCTGATTGATCCTTTGCTCTCCCTTCAAGTTGGTGGTACCCACATCAGCCCATCCTTAAAGCACTTTGTCTAAGTGTTATATTTGATTCTGGCCTCACATTTGAGCCTATCATCTAGTCTGTTGCCAAATCTTGTCGATTCCACCTTAAAAACATTGCCCGCATCCGCCCCTTTCTTACACAAAACGCTACTAAGGAACTTGTTAATGCTCTAGTAATCTCTTGCATTGACTGGTCTTCCCATAAGCAGTACAGCCAGACTGATTTTTCTCTCCTGTCGCTCCTCTCACAACGCTCCCCTCTGTCAGTCCTTATATTGGCTTCCTGTATCCTATAGAAGTCAATTCAAAGTACTAATCCACACCCGTAAAGCATTGAAGAATTCTAGCCCCTTCTATATTTTTTTCACTGATGTTTAGGTATGCCCCTTCTTGATCTCCGCTCTGCCCATGACCACCTTCTATCCGCTGCTCACACGTGTATGGCCAACTCACGCTTGTAGGACTTATCGCGGGCGGCTCCTTTCCTTTGGAATAGCCTGCCTACCACCATCAGACTCTCCCCTAGTCTGCAAACATTTAAAAAGTGCCTAAAAACCCATCTCTCTTTTTTTTTTTTTTTTAATTCTTTATTTTATGTGTGCACATATTAACAAACTAGCGTGCAGAGCCACGACAGCAACTGCAGGCATTTCATAGCATTCCAAAGTGTGGCAGTTAAAACAGCACATTTTTATATAATAACATGAGAATAACAAGATTATGATTCTTACATCATCATAAGCAGACATATTTAGAGCAAAGTCGTTGCATTTCTTCACATATTACAGGGACATCCCTGTATAGGCGTAATACATGTGCACATTTAAGCCAAGTATCAAACAAAAGTTAGAGCAATATCCGTAACCTAGGTACCCCGCTCACTTAATTAACATCCCAGGAGAGAAGTAGGATGCTCCATCCCCTATTTCAGGTGCATAGGAAGCGGTACCATACGAAGTTCGGCACCCTACCCTATGAGAGAGGGTCATGGTGGCGAACCAAAGGAAAGTGTGAGAAACAAGAATAGAGTAGAGGAAAAGAAAGAATAGGTAAGATGGGGCAATGAGGCACCAGGGAGAAGACCGCGGGGAAGGGGGAGCAAGGGGAAGGGACAGGACGCGGGACGCGTGCCCCCTCCCCCCCATCCCGTCACTCCAAAGCTCCTCCGTACCACCTAAGCCCCCAGTTGACTCCCATCCCATGGCTCCCAAACCTTACGGAATGCTCCCGAGGACCCCCTCAGTCTAGCCGTCAGGTCATCCATAAGTCGCACCTCCCTTATCCAAAACCCATCTCTTTAGGAAAGCTTACGGCCTCACAGAGTACCCTCTACCTCACATACCTGTCTCTTGCTCTCTTCTCCAACTCTGCTTCACTTCCACCTTGCTTGATTGCTTTTATACCCCACCTCCTCTAGACTGTAAGCTCGTTTGAGTAGGGTCCTCTTCAACCTATTGTTCCTGTAAGTTTTTGTAATTGTCTCATTTATTGTTAAATCTCCCCTTTGATAATATTGTAAAGCGCTACGGAATTTGTTGGCACTATATAAATACCAATAATAATAATAATGACATGTCCTAACATCGTTAAGGAGTTAACAAAGCAGTTTTAGTGTATAGTTCATTCCCCTGCAGCCTCACTGCTCAATTCTCTGCCATTTAGAAGTTACATCACTTGTGTTTCTATAACATGAGGCTCTAATAGGCATTTAAAAGAGCAGGAGATCCATTGTACAGTGCTGCGTAATTTGTTGGCGCTTTATCAATAATAATAATAATGAGAAATTATTTATTAAACACACTGTGCAATAAAGGAAGCTTTAAAAATAGATCTTTCTTTATAGGCAGTGTATAAGTCATAAGCAGGGAAGATGTGGCTAAGCCTTCGCATAGAAATTGTTTAGGATCTAAATGAACTCCTAATTGGCAAAGTATTGAGCAGTGAAACTGCAGGGGCATGCCCTATTCACCAAAAACCACAGCATTAAGCTAAAGTTGTTGTGATGCTTACAGTATTCCTTTAAATGCCCTTTACCACTCACACTTTAATTTGCTAGTAGCATTATGAATACTGATTATATGTGCAGTATAACTACTCCCATACTGTGATTGAAACTGGTCGCATGATTAAGAAAATGAATTGCTTAGTTAATGTGAGAATGTATTTTGCAGTCATCCTACCCGATGCGTGTGGAGAGATGCAAACAGATACTCGATAAAGCGATTCACATGAAGCAGTCACTAGGGAAATTCATTGGGGATGCTACTCGCCTTACTGATAAACTCCTGGAACTCTGTAACAAGCCAGTAAGTACTTCCATTAAAATTACAAAGAGATCCTATTTGTATATACAAATAAATGCAAAGTAATCCAAGATCATCCATCATATATATTGCTTTTGTATCATTCAACTATGCTACTATGTACTTCTTTACAAATGTGTAATTGTCTCCTAAAACAAGTTTTATGTTAATTGACTGTAATGCGGTTTTCAATAATGGCTCAGTACTAGGTTAAGCCATTTAGTAATGTTGCTCAATATTCTTACTTTAGGAGGCTCACTGCTCTCAGGCCTAGGACTCATATTTAATCACTTTACCTATGTCCAACTTGTTTTTTTTACTGGTGCAGGAAAGAGTCACACTACAAACACAATAACGGCATATTCTCCTAGTATAGTTTATGGTACACTACCTCCCAATCACTGCATTTTCCTATTCAAGCTTTACACACAATAGATCAAGCATCTGAATTACGCACCGAACTACAGTTGGCACAGTAATTTAAGGTGAACGTTTATACTTCAAAAATTAATTTGTTTTGTAATTGCATAAGCTTAGAACTTGTATGTCTTCATAAAAGAATAATAGTATAAATAATGGTTTATTTTTTCCTCAGACTCTCTTAAATAGGAAGCAAGAAAAGAAAAGCCCCTTAATGTTGTTTTTCTGTGTTTTTCAGGTGGATGGAAACACCGGCACTCTAAGCATGAGTGTTCACTTTAAAATGCTGAAGAAGCTGGTTGAAGAGCCAACATTTAGTGAGATTCTTATTCCATTACAGTCGGTGATGATCCCAACATTACCATCTACTGCAGTAAAACGTGACCACGCTGACCATGACCCGTTTCCTGGGCATTGGGCATACATTGCTGGTTTCGATGATACTGTAAGACTCTTTGTTTATATGTGAGAATATTTTTGAATGTCCTAGATAATTAAAATCCATGAGGTATTCATTTATGTATTTTTTATATTTTGTTTTCTCCTCCCAAGCATACTCTTTATTTGTTATTCCTAAAGGGTGTTTCTAGACAACAAAGCACACTTTCTTCTAGCCTGGGAGGGGTTTATTTTGCTCATTCCTCCATTGCTTATTTAAGCCCCCTAGGACCAATAGACAATTTATCTGGAATGGTTTTATTTTAGTATAGAATGTTACCTCCATTGCCGGCTTTTAAAATTATTTTATGGCATTTATTTATTTTTTTAAAATGTATTTACAATGTTCTATTCTTAGTGCATGCTATCTAACAATGCATATCTCCCCACGTTGGAAAGGATGGAAGCAGGAGAGGGAATAAGTTGTTGCAATTCAGTTGTAGTGATGGGGTCTGTCTGGCAGTGTGCCCATTCAGAGTTTTGCTAATGCATTTGTAAATGGACAGAAAAGCATAACATTCATTTTTTGCATAGCGAGTATGTTTAGTGATTCGCTCATGCTCTGCTTATTGTGATCTTTTCTCTGGGGTCTCGAGAAGAAGGAACAAACATAGGACAGCTGTACTGCTGGGGGATGTGTATCCCATTTGGGCGTATGTATCTGGATAAAGCCACAATGCAGAGAATTCCTTATTGAAATGCTACTATTGATTTCCTCTATTTTACATATTCTAGCAGAAGGAGGATTTGATTTTCAGAAAATAAAAATGCATAGAGCATCTATGCAGCATTATTGGTCTGTTTATATATGCTATGGCTACACAGTGTTTGTGTTCTCTACGTGCCACTTACACAGGAGAGGAAGTGAAACCTCTTGAGTCTTTCAGTCACAGACTGTCTGTTAAAATATCTCTATACAGGTCTTCCTGCATCTACGGGCCCTCTTTCGTGAAAGACTCATTAGCAGCGCAGTCTATATAGAGAGGTCCGTATCTTGCGTACCCTTACTCTTCCCTCAGCAAAATTTATTATACTCTGAGGAGTATTTGGAGTCTTTAGATTCATCCTCAGGCTAGGTTTGAATCTTCAGACTCTTTTATATCTACGTCATAAAGAGAAAAGGGTAATTGTTATTTTAAAACACCTCTTTTTGTGTGTTCCTTCAATGGTGTTACTGTTTGTTGGGCAAAAAGTGTGATTCACATTATTTTTTTTGAAGGATACACCAGTAAGTTAAAAGCTAGGGTTTTTGCAAGGAGATGATGCATACTCTGTATATAGTTAAGGAAACAACCATGAGAGATTCCTGGCTTGCTGTTCCCCATTAGTTTGTTGTCGGTCTCTAATATTATTCTGCTCATTAAAATGTTTATACTGAAGATCTTAAAATAATAAGAAATACCACAGAAAAACATAATAAAACTGTATTCAATGCCTGTGTTTAATAGAAATTACACAATCCTTTGTAACTTAAACAATATTCAGCTAAATAACTTACTGCAATCAAAAATGTAAGCCATTTTATGTACTAGGGTAGTTGTGCTTTATATTTTACTGTACTTATTAAATGTTTTGTTTTTCTTTGAACACAGGTAGAGATATTACCCTCTCTCCAGAAACCCAAGAAGATTTCATTGAAAGGATCTGATGGAAAATCCTACATTATGATGTGCAAACCAAAGGATGACCTCAGGAAAGATTGCAGACTTATGGAGTTTAATTCTTTAATTAACAAGGTAAGTGGTAGGATAACTCATTTCAAGATAAATCATACTAGGTTTTAATGGGTACTATTGTCACATTCATTTGTTGCTGTAAGGCAAAACTTTGTTTCCTACTGATATCAGTCACTATCAGCAAAAGGGGCCCATAAAATGTAAGGTTTGTGCATATATAGGAGATACATCCTGTGTCTGTACACCCATAGGAAAGCATTATGAGACTATTGCACATGCTTGTCAAAATGCTGCATTGCGCCAATCAGCATCTTATAGAGATGCATTGGATCAATTCATCTCTATAGGGAGCTTTCAGCATAGCATGGAGATGCTGAGTTAGTGCTGCACACAAGGTGGCACTGAAATAGGAAGCACCTCTAGTGGCCATCTGAGTGACTGCACCTAAAGGCAGCAATGTAAAAACTTCATTTTTCTATGAAAAGACAGCATATATATTGCTGAGCCTGCAAGGACATACTGTAGACACCAGAACCAATACATTAATCGGTAGTGGTTGTGGTGACTATAGGGTCCATTTTATATTGTGTGATTCTAAGCACAAAAGCCACATTAGCTTGATGAAGTTATTTTGATGTATAGATCAAGTCATTTTCCCAGATACTGAAAACCTATGTGTTAGGCAGAATATATATTTTAAATATTAATATTTTGTTTCTCTTGCTCAGTGTTTACGAAAGGATGCCGAATCCCGGAGGAGGGAGCTTCATATCAGAACATATGCTGTTATTCCATTGAATGATGAGTGCGGTATAATAGAATGGGTCAATAACACAGCAGGTCTAAGAAATATACTGATCAAATTGTACAAGGAAAGGGGTAATTATAATCAGTCAACTTTAAATTGTTCTCAGAATCCCTGTGGTTTGAAGGTATTGCCATATGCATGTTAAATATTTAATCTGCTGTGCAGAGTATGCAAAGTATGTTCTTTTAATCACACACTGGTGAGGAAGCAGTAGGTATTTTATAATTTTATATACACTTACTTAAAAAATAATTTACACATTTAATTGATGCAAATGCATATTTCACCTACTTTACAGTTTATGTTCTGCTATTTTGTACGCTTAAGATGACTGGATAATACAAATCGTCTACCACTGTGTCATACATTATTGCCTATGAGTTGGTAATTGCTACCTTGAATTATAGAAATTAATATACATCTGTTATGTGCCATTTCATCCTGTGATCATATTTAATAGATTTATTTGTTTACACATTTTTTTCCTCATGCATTATGCTTTTCGTAACATTGATGTAATTGTGTGTGTATTTGACACTAGCATAAAACCAAAGATAAAATGTTGCTATTAAGATAGTTTACTTGTTCTAAAATGTCAGAAATAAATGTATTAGAGCTGAATTCTAGAGCATTTCTTTTTGTTTCACAGGTATATACATGGGAGGAAAGGATCTCCGTCAATGCATGCTTCCCAAGGGAGCACCTTTACAGGAGAAGATAAAAATGTTTAAAGAGACTCTTTTACCTCGTCACCCTCCTGTGTTCCAGGAATGGTTTTTAAGAACGTTTCCTGATCCGACTTCCTGGTAAATATGTAGGATACTAGGTGATATCATAAAGGTGGACACATAAGTGCTATAACTTAAAAAGCCAATTGTAGTGTTTATAGTACTTTGGGTGTTCGAGTTTAGGAGCAGTTTAACAAAACCTAAAGTTCCCCCCGCACTCACAGCTTGCCCTGTTAATTATTAAATTGCACTTAAATGCTGGGGAAGGGTTACCTTATCGCTCTCACCCTATCATTGCTTTCCAAGGTTGGACGGAATAGTTGCATATTAAGCAGAAAGTGGATATAACATTACAGGTTATGGGGAGTATTAATCATGCACAGTTGTATCCAGTTTTTCGTATATCAACTCAGATAATGGATTTAATTTGAAACAGGCAACTATGTACGCTTCTATTACATAGTTAAGATGAGATTACATTGCAGTAATTTGTAGTGAATACCATGCTAAAGTACAGATAACCAATTTTTAGTATACACTTAACATGCTTGTTAATGAAAACAATAAAGCACTTCAGTGCAAACCATATTAATAAAAAAACAACTCAACAACATTTGTGAAGTATAAACTCACAAACGTCACCAAAATAAAACATGAAATTAATTGTTATAAGTGTAAAGAACTCACAAAGTTAAAACGCCAATAAACAAAATAGTGGAGTGCTTAGATACATGAGGGGATATCTTAACCTCTGGAATTATATGTACAAGAGGGTAAGTGTAAAGAGGTCTTTACACTCATGACAATTATTTTAATGCTTGTTAATAAATATGTCCATTTCTGTACTCCTGATCAATCCTTAGATGTACCTGTATTCTGTTTGTGCATCCCAGGGCATACTTTGACACATGAGAAATCGCAACATATTTTTCCTTTCTAGTTGTATAGAAGGTTCAGGCACTCAGAAAGTCTTTGAAATGGCCACAGCTCACAGAAACATTGTCACTTTTTGTTGATGTGCTTATTAAAGTCAGCACTTTATAAGACGTTCTGAGTACCTGGACCTCCTTTGTAACTATACAGTTATACTCTGGGACTTGACAACTCTGCTTTGGGGACAGGCTGTGGATTAAAAAAATGCGATAATCTCGTTTTTTTTTCTCCCCACAATCTTACATCACATGTGTGTGACATGTTAGCAATTCCAAAGTAATTCTGAATGTATTTTAATATGTAGGCCAAAACAGCCAAACTGAAGAAGAGCACCAAAGAGTAGGAATAGATGGTTGTATCCCTAACACTAGTGATCCTTTAAGTATTATTATTTATTTTTTTTATAAACCTTGTTATTGGCCACTATCCTAGACATTGCCACTGGCAGCAGAAAACATGATACACACATGCAATGGAGTGCAGTTATCCTTTGATGACCATGTAATTCACAAAATTTAAGTACTATATGTAGCACAGAGTTTTTGTAAAATGGTTAATGCTTCTATTAATTAATGCAGATTTGTTTTTTAAGTGTTTGTATTGTTTCATTTTTAGGTACAATAGTAGGTCAGCCTATTGCCGTTCGACAGCTGTGATGTCCATGGTTGGTTACATATTAGGCCTTGGGGACCGACATGGGGAGAACATACTTTTTGACTCCTTCACTGGAGAATGTGTTCATGTGGATTTCAATTGTCTCTTTAATAAGGTATAGTATTTCATAGATTATGATTGACGCAAACTCTGACAAAAAATGTTTTATCTGTAAAATCTGCAGGGTCATTCATTAAACTGGGAATTGTAGGGAATTCAACATGGAATATAACATTTTAGGTGAATGCTATAGTAAGCGCCTATCCCTAACATACTAGGTGCCCCCCTCTCGCAAGCCCAAAAAGCATTAAGAACCCTTTAATTCACTTATCTGATTCTGGCACCAGGGTCCCTGACTCAATGTTTTCCTATGGGGACACTATATGAAAAGCCAGAAATTGCAGAGAGGCAGTCTTAATCCTGCAACAGTCCTCTGAAACTGCAGAGAGGTAGTCTTAATCCTGCAACAGTCCTCTGAAACTTCAGTGTTTTACATTGCAGGGATAAGGGGACAGGGACACTGCACCCAGTCTACTGCAATAAGAAGAAGTGGTCTGAGTGCCGGTAGTGTCCCTTTAAGCTGAAATATTTTGGTCTAAATTTTAAATTCATTACCCAGTTTACTGAATTGCCCTGCTAGATTGGATTGCTGATATGAACAGGAAATCTTTTTGGGGTATCTTATATTAAGAGCACTTCTGATATATACACTGCTCAAAAAAAATAAAGGGAACACTTAAACAACACAATGTAACTCCAAGTCAATCACACTTCTGTGAAATCAAACTGTCCACTTAGGAAGCAACACTGAGTGACAATCAATTTCACATGCTATTGTGCAAATGGGATAGACAACAGGTGGAAATTATAGGCAATTAGCAAGACACCTCCAATAAAGGAGTAGTTCTGCAGGTGGTGACCACAGACCACTTCTCAGTTCCTATGCTTCCTGGCTGATGTTTTGGTCAATTTTGAATGCTGGCGGTGCTTTCACTCTAGTTGTAGCATGAGATGGAGTCTACAACCCACACAAGTGGCTCAGGTAGTGCAGCTCATCCAGGATGGCACATCAATGTGAGCTGTGGCAAGAAGGTTTGCTGTGTCTGTCAGCGTAGAGTCCAGAGCATGGAGGCGCTACCAGGAGACAGGCCAGTACATCAGGAGACGTGGAGGAGGCCGTAGGAGGGCAACAACCCAGCAGCAGGACCGATACCTCCGCCTTTGTGCAAGGAGGAACAGGAGGAACACTGCCAGAGCCCTGCAAAATGACCTCCAGCAGGCCACAAATGTGCGTGTGTCTGCTCAAATGGTCAAAAACAGACTCTATGAGGGCCCGACGTCCACAGGTGGGGGTTGTGCTTACAGCCCAACACCGTGGAGGATGCTTGGCATTTGCCAGAGAACACCAAGATTGGCAAATTCGCCACTGGCACCCTGTGCTCTTCACAGATGAAAGCAGGTTCACAGTGAGCACGTGTGACAGAGTCTGGAGACGCCGTGGAGAACGTTCTGCTGCCTGCAACATCCTCCAGCATGACCGGTTTGGCAGTGGGTCAGTAATGGTGTGGGGTGGCCGCACGGCCCTCCATGTGCTCGCCAGAGGTAGCCTGACTGCCATTAGGTACCGAGATTAGATCCTCAGACCCTTTGTGAGACCATATGCTGGTGCGGTTGGCCCTGGGTTCCTCCTAATGCAAGATAATGCTAGACCTCATGTGGCTGGACTGTGTCAGCAGTTCCTGCAAGACGAATGCATTGATGCTATGGACTGGCCCACCCGTTCCCCAGACCTGAATCCAATTGAGCACATCTGTGACATCATGTCTCGCTCCATCCACCAACGTCACGTTGCACCACAGACTGTCCAAGAGTTGGCAGATGCTTTAGTCCAGGTCTGGGAGGAGATCCCTCAGGAGACCATCCGCCACCTCATCAGTGGCATGCACAGGCGTTGTAGGGAGGTCATACAGGCACGTGGAGGCCACACACACTACTGAGCCTCATTTTGACTTGTTTTAAGGACATTACATCAAAGTTGGATCAGCCTGTATTGTGTTTTTCCACTTTAAGTTTGAGTGTGACTCCAAATCCAGACCTCCATGGGTTGAAAAATTTGATTTCCATTTTTTTTATTTTTGTGTGATTTTGTTGTCCGCACATTCAACTATGTAAAGAACAAAGTATTTCAGAAGAATATTTAATTCATTCAGATCTAGGATGTGTTATTTTTGTGTGTTCCCTTTATTTTTTTGAGCAGTGCATATATATATGAGATAGATTTCATTTTTTAAACAATGTTTATCTTGACAAACACAAAGCTTTGAAAGCATAAACTATAAAAGTAAAATAAAACAATATTTGCAGTGTTCAGGTTGCATGGATGGCATTTTACATTCACTGATTGTATAGAACTATCCATGTACCTAGCAGATTCCTTAACATTTAACAGACAATAACTTTAAAATCGAAGGACTTGTTTTACAAAATTTAATGTAATTATGCTGTCCTGAGACATTGGTGAAGCATTATTTTCTGTTAAAGAAATACTTTGGTAACAAATATAATTTTTGACCTCGTTATGCTGTGCTAAACCATAAGCCTGCCTAATTAGCCACGTCCCCTCACTCCAGAAAAATGACTTCCTTATCAAATGTATGTACACAGCCCAGGCACTGACCGCAATGAGTGGTATGTGCTACAAAGAAACCTGAAGAAAAAAAAAAAAAAAAAGAAATTTACAAGCATATAATTTGGCTTAGTAAGTAATGCAGATGATAGTATGAAAACAATAATACATTTTAAAAGTTTATAGAAATGCTAGCCAATATACATGAATATAGCATAAGTAAGCTGGTAATGTGGTAAAGCTACTCCAGAGACGTAAGCAGTATATTAAAATGAAACAGGCTGGTTACAGAAGTGCATACAGGCTCATTACAAAATCTAAAGTTATAACATGCATATCACATGTACAGAATGAAACATATTTAGGTACCTCGTTGGTGTGTAGGCATAAAGAAATATTTAAAATTATGCAGTATTTTCTCTCCCTGCCTGGCCTGCAGCATCAGCACCAATGGCTGTCTGAGTGTCCTGTTGCACTGCAGAGAAACACACTATATATGATGGTTGCCGGATGGCACTTGAGCATTGATGTTTGTTGTGATATATAGAATAACTGTGTACTGACAACAGTGTATTATTAGTATAGGTCAGCTGACCTAATGTATGTCATGGCAGCAGAGAAGTAAAAGTAAAGTAAATAAGGCTAAAAAGAATGGTTTAAAGAGGGGAGCGCATTGCTTGGGAAAGATGTACTGTGTAAATGAAGGGAAGTGATGTGAATGATCTGAACTACGAGGACAGACTAAGAAAATGAGACAGCTGAGATAACTAGAGAGACAGGCAGTGGAAAGACATACAAATTGGTCAGTTGAATTCTCTGATTAGGGTAAATGTGTGTCAATATGGCTGTAAGAGTAATGTCAGTGTTTTAGTGTGTGGTAGGTATCATACTTTATGCCTTGGAAGGTAAGTATTTAGTATGGTTAACGTAACTTATATTGCAGGATTTATCACTTACATGTCAATTAAATATATGTAAAATGAATATGAATAAATAATGTGGTTATATGTAAAATTGTTTCATTTTAATTAGGGTGAAACTTTTGAAGTTCCAGAAATCGTCCCTTTCCGTTTGACACACAATATGGTAAATGGGATGGGTCCTATGGGAACAGAAGGTCTCTTTCGGCGGGCATGTGAAGTTACTATGAGATTAATGAGAGACCAGAGAGAACCACTTATGAGGTATTGTATTTAGTTTGCTTGCTTGTTTCAAATTTTTCTTTTATTTAATGACACGTGATCATGATGGTTCTAATTGAATCATCAGGCAGGTAAAGCACATTGTATTTATTTTTTTATATTGGGTCAGTGCACCAATTGCACAAGTGCAGCTGTACAACCTTGATCATGTTTTATCTATAGCCTGTAAGACAGCTGATATTATACTTTTATTTTATTTATTTTTTACATATGTTGCATAATTTTTCTCTGTGAAGAGTGTGAGAGTATACAAAAATGGTATTTTGGAGATGTAACCTACGAGCTTAATGTTTTTCTCTATGGATAGATTAGTAAAAAGGGACAGTCCAAGCATTAAAGGGCTATTTAAAAAAAAAAAAAATCCCATTGGGATTTTTGTGCATACTTATTTTCTGCAGAGTGTATTTGAGAGCCTGGAATGTTTGTGTTTTTGGTATTATAATCTATTACGGAGTATGTAGCCGTTACCTACTTGGGTGTTTTTGTTTTAAAACTTTTAACTGTTTTGGCTTAAAGTTCTCCTATCATACCTAGAATGATTTAGTGTTACATTAAAGAGCATCATTTTACATCTATACATTATAGCAGTCAAGTGCAAGCAAATGTTCTGAATAAGAGTTATTTGCTAATTTTCTGTATTTTGCAGGGCTCTACTACAATGCCATTAGAGCAGCAAAAGACTGCATCTTGGTGATGAGCTTGCATCCCACAATGCTTAGTGTGCCCCTGCATGCTAGGAATATTAGGATGAGGTTTCTGACATTTGGGGGAGGCTCTATGCGCAGCCACTCCATCCAGCTCGGGGTACCATGCTGTGTGTGCGTCCCAGAAGTCTGCAGGATTAAATCTAGATATAAGTTTGTTTTTAGTATATAAACTTGCTTGCAATATTCCCAGCACAGTTTATATATCATATCTATACCTAAGTGATATTTGTCATACACAGTTTGTGGATGGCAGATTTTCTCTTAGTGGAGTTTTGCCATTCAGACTTCTTAATTGTACTTCATATATTTTCTGAACCTACCTTTGTTGTTGCTCTATTGCAGAGTGCTATACTGAATACTATAAAAACTCAAAATAGAAAATCCCAGATTCTAACTGGCAAATACTTGCTTCAAGCATGTTTCTTTTCTTATAGCACATCTGATGTGACTAGGCAAGAACCATAGAGCAGTCACTCCCTGGTAGATATATGGGCATTATTAAGCAAGTCTGATGAAGGCTTGGCAGAACTATGCCAGGACTTACATTCCTATCCACGGAAGATGTTATCGTTGACACCTATACAATCTGTTTTTCAGTGTTCTAAAGCCTTTCCTGCATGACCCCTTGGTGGAATGGAGTAAACCAGCAAAAGGGGGGAGCAAAATTCAAGCTAATGAGACTGGAGAAGTAATCAATGAAAAGGTTCGTAATGTATAAAACACTAAACAGCAGTCATTTCCGACTGTGTTTATATCTTGTGTGGTGAATTGTGTGCATTTCTTCTGTCTCCAGGCAAAAACACATGTGCTCGATATAGAACAGAGACTACAGGGAGTGATTAAGACAAGGAATCGTATAAAAGGACTTCCACTGTCAATTGAAGGACATGTCCACTACCTGATTCAAGAAGCTACTGATGAGAACCTTCTCAGCCAGATGTACCTCGGATGGGCTCCTTACATGTGATAATGATCACTCAAGACAGTTTCCAGTGGTGCAGAAGATTAACCTGTGTATGTTTTTATTGTGCTCTATGTAAACAAAGAACATAATTACAGAGTGCTCCTCTAACCAAGTGCTTTAAGTCATTTCCCAAAGTTTCTTGAACAACCACAGAAGTGCATAAAAAAACTAATTAATTACAGTTCACAAAAGCACTTTTATACTTTTCACTACGGTTATGACTATTCCAAAGAATGTAACAAGGGTAATACTTTGGGTTTGTATATATAATTAGCATTTGTCATATGTATGTTTTCTGTTATTTTCCTCTGATGGTTAGTTGAAATTTTGGACAATTAGAATATATTATTAATATGTACAATGTTTTGCATTTAAATTCAGCTTTAAATACTCCGTTTGTTTAGAAGCACAGTTTTGTATAAAGTTATATTTTCACTATTCTCTTTGTAATCCTGGTACTTGTCTGTTTGATGTAATATCCCTCAGCTCAATTTTTATATATCTGTATTTATAGACACTTTACTAGGCTATTAAACTACTATAGGATGTTGTGTCATGTCAGCTCACATCCTTGATAATGATTTTTTATTCTTGTTTTCAGCTGGTAATCGTTTTATTTAACAATTTGTGTTAAACGTTAGTTTGGATCAAAATCTGATCACTTTGTTATTTACCATAATATCCCCATTTCTGTTCAGCACATGGTTGTTGCTTTTTATAGCTGGAGTGTGGTTGCAAAACCTCCTACATCCACATATGTATAATAGTTACTGAGGCAATAACCACCCATATATGCTTTAAAGGAGCACTCTAAAATTAAAAATAAAAACCATGTATTTCTAAAGTTAGTGTTTTCCTGAATATTTAGATTATTGGGCCTTACTGTAAAATTTAAAAAAAAAAGTTTTACTTACTTTTCTCCCTATGACACACCAGCCTAACTGTGGCTGCTGCTCCTCCTCTGACTGAAATCATTATTACCGATAATCTGAGCCAATTCAATGCTTCCACCACTGTATCAATCAGCATCTCCTCTTAGATTAGCTTAATGCATTTCTACGAGGGAATTCAGCTTTTTCACGAACAGCATGAAAACAAGGAAGTCAGTCCTGCACAAATTTGTAGCATATATACGTATATGCTTGGAAGTTTTGTGTGTGTGAAGGGCGTATTGTGTATTTGTGTATTTGTGTGCAGTATAGTGTGTGTATGAGGATGCTGTTTGTGTGTGTGTGAGGGTGCAGTATGTGTGTGTATGAGGTATGCAATGTGTGGGAGGGTGATGTGTGTTTTGGGGGAGGCAGGTTAATGCCTATATATATATGTGTGTATTTTTTTTTTTTTTTAATATAATAAAATTTAAAAAAAAAACAGGCATTGTATCCCCCCCTCCCTTTTTACCTTTAGCCTGGGAGGGGGGACCGTGCTGTAATCACTGGTGGTCCTAGTGGTGAGTGAGCTCTAGTCTGTGGGGCTAGAGTTCACTCTCGTGAGACCCGGAGCATTGCCATGGCAACGCTATGGATCTCGCGAGAGGAACATGGCGGAGCTGGATGATAGAGTTCTTCCGGGTCCTCTCCTGTCTCCCTCCCCAGCTGTCGGCCACATGTAACTGCCTATGGGCCGGTGAGGTAGATCTCTTATCTCCCCTCAAGCCCGTCATGGAATACAGCAGGGCCGGCGTTCTGATAGCGCGGGCCCTGCATAGACCGGCCAGGGAGATCCTGTGACCTCCCCTGCCAGCCTCGGCCCATGGCATGTGCCCGATGGCCAGTCCAGGCCTGCTTGGAGCTCTCTGAGTTATACCTAGTAGTGAAGGAGCGTAACCATTTAAATTTTAGGTGTCTGTCTGCCTTTCCTGTCCAGACTAGAGTATATCCCATCTGTAGTGCACTGCCTCTAATCTGGAGAACAAAAACAAAAAAACTTTTTTGTTTTTTGTAACACTGCAGAGGCACTCACTTTGCAGACTCATGCATTTGCATCTGAGATTCTTGTATTTCCCTTTGCAAGAAGAGGCAGTAGAAAGAAAAAACATCATGAATTTTTACATATATGCCCCCCACTCCCTCCAATTTGTTAGGGAAGATAGTTGTGTTATTGTATCAAATTTCACCAAGTACAAGGACATGTATGATTGATTACCTTATTCACTCTGAAGATGAGATAATAGCAGGTATGACACCTGGTATGACACTGCTATTATCTTATCTCTAAGATACTGTCGCTACACCACTAAAATCACAGCAACTACCGGATAACAGTAATATTAAGTGCCCTGGGATTGGGAAATTTAGCATTTCTGTAATAACTTTCAAAGTCACATGTTGGATAGTGTTGTCAGCAATTACAAGCAACATTAGTGATCATTGCTGTGTCTGCTCTCATTGTTAGTAAAATTGAGCCATGGAGGTAGGTTCCTGAACGAACATCCCTATTGTCCACAAAGCCTCATTGCAAAACTTTAAAAAAATGAATCATGTGATTACTATAACAAGCAGATCATTAACAAATTGCTGATGCTTAGCCTAGGTATGAAACCTGTAATGCAGATGTCCAAAATTCAGTCCTTAAGGTGCAAAAAAAAAAAAAAAAGTAAAATGCACATGTGAGGTGGTGATGTATCCTGGAATAGAACATACATTTGTGCATTTTCCTACTCTGAAATACATCTTGCACACAAAGACCATTGCTGAGATGCTGTGTGTTTGTGAACATATCACAAACCGTGGCAGGATAACGCAATAAAACTTGTTATAATGTAAATGAACACCTAGGTGTTCTGTTTAAAAAATACATTGGGGTAGGTTAATTAACATCCTTAGATAAGCCATGGCTCAGTAGAATTAAACCAGTGATACCTGCAAAATGCAGTTTATCAAAAATACTTTAGAAACCTGGTGTAGAAATACTTGAGAAATCCTGTATGTGAGGAGTACAGGGAGTACAGAATTATTAGGCAAGTTGTATTTTTGAGGATTAATTTTATTATTGAACAACAACCATGTTCTCAATGAACCCAAAAAACTCATTAATATCAAAGCTGAATATTTTTGGAAGTAGTTTTTAGTTTGTTTTTAGTTATAGCTATGTTAGGGGGATATCTGTGTGTGCAGGTGACTATTACTGTGGATAATTATTAGGCAGCTTAACAAAAAACAAATATATACACATTTCAATTGTTTGTTATTACCAGTGAAACCAATATAACATCTCAACATTCACAAATATACATTTCTGACATTCAAAAACAAAACAAAAACAAATCAGTGACCAATATAGCCACCTTTCTTTGCAAGGACACTCAAAAGCCTGCCATCCATGGATTCTGTCAGTGTTTTGATCTGTTCACCATCAACATTGCGTGCAGCAGCAACCACAGCCTCCCAGACACTGTTCAGAGAGGTGTACTGTTTTCCCTCCTTGTAAATCTCACATTTGATGATGGACCACAGGTTCTCAATGGGGTTCAGATCAGGTGAACAAGGAGGCCATGTCATTAGATTTTCTTCTTTTATACCCTTTCTTGCCAGCCACGCTGTGGAGTACTTGGACGCGTGTGATGGAGCATTGTCCTGCATGAAAATCATGTTTTTCTTGAAGGATGCAGACTTCTTCCTGTACCACTGCTTGAAGAAGGTGTCTTCCAGGAACTGGCAGTAGGACTGGGAGTTGAGCTTGACTCCATCCTCAACCCGAAAAGGCCCCACAAGCTCATCTTTGATGATACCAGCCCAAACCAGTACTCCACCTCCACCTTGCTGGCGTCTGAGTCGGACTGGAGCTCTCTGCCCTTTACCAATCCAGCCACGGGCCCATCCATCTGGCCCATCAAGACTCACTCTCATTTCATCAGTCCATAAAACCTTAGAAAAATCAGTCTTGAGATATTTCTTGGCCCAGTCTTGACGTTTCAGCTTGTGTGTCTTGTTCAGTGGTGGTCGTCTTTCAGCCTTTCTTACCTTGGCCATGTCTCTGAGTATTGCACACCTTGTGCTTTTGGGCACTCCAGTGATGTTGCAGCTCTGAAATATGGCCAAACTGGTGGCAAGTGGCATCGTGGCAGCTGCACGCTTGACTTTTCTCAGTTCATGGGCAGTTATTTTGCGCCTTGGTTTTTCCACACGCTTCTTGCGACCCTGTTGACTATTTTGAATGAAACGCTTGATTGTTCGATGATCACGCTTCAGAAGCTTTGCAATTTTAAGAGTGCTGCATCCCTCTGCAAGATATCTCACTATTTTTGACTTTTCTGAGCCTGTCAAGTCCTTCTTTTGACCCATTTTGCCAAAGGAAAGGAAGTTGCCTAATAATTATGCACACCTGATATACGGTGTTGATGTCATTAGACCACACCCCTTCTCATTACAGAGATGCACATCACCTAATATGCTTAAATGGTAGTAGGCTTTCGAGCCTATACAGCTTGGAGTAAGACAACATGCATAAAGAGGATGATGTGGTCAAAATACTCATTTGCCTAATAATTCTGCACTCCCTGTATGTGAGTATAATGCTGGAAAAACTATTACAACAAACAATGGCAGATGACTGCAAAATGGCCCTTGTAAAACTCCCTAAGATATCTATATTTAAAAAAAAAAAATAATAATAATAATAAAAATATATATATATATATATATATTTATATATATTTTATGGGTGGATAATTTTAACTGAAGGAATACTATAGTGTCAGGAATACAAACGTGTATTCCTGACACTATAGTTTGGAAACCTCCCATTAACTCCCTGGCTAAAAAGTTCTAAAACGTACCATTTCCAGCTCCACTCGGGTCCTGTCACGGCTCGCTCCACCTCATTGGCTGAGATCATAAATCTTGATTATCTCAGCTGATCCAATGCATTCCCATAGGAAAACATTGGGAGTCTAATGTGCATGCGCACCAATCAGCATCTCCTCATAGAGATTCATTGAATCAATGCATCTCTATGGGGAGCATTCAGCTTCTCCATGCAGAGAGTGGAAATGCTGAACGTTTGCAGCACTGACCCAGGAACAACCTCCAGTGGTTCTGAGTGACAGCCACTAGAGATGTTACTAGGCAGTAATGTAAACACTGCCTTTTCTCTGAAAACACATTGGATTGTGGTTTTAATTTGTTTTAAGTTACTTTATTTTATTTCAATATACTGCTGCTGTTTATTGCTGCTATTTCCAGTGCTGCTTATGCGACCTGGCTGGGAAGGATTTTCATTTAGATCCACTTGCAGTGGAAATGGGCTTTATTTTATCCTACTTTTTGTAAGTACATATATCTATTAAGTTCTTTTGTATTTATCAAATTGCACTATTTGTAGTCTCTTTTTATACACCAGACTTGGCCACAGACCTCAAGATCTAGATGAGTTAAATGCACCATTTGCCTCTGAATTACCCTTGTTGGGGAGACAGGTCTGCATTCCAGTTTCATTTTGTGAGTGCTTTTCTTCCCCCATCCGGTGTCTTCGGTTTGTACATATTACACTATTGTGATTTTTTTTATTTTAGATTCCATTTTGTATACCTTTGCAGGTTGTATTTTATATTGTAACTACTTCTGGTGTGTGTTTTGGAGTTTCCATTTTATGTTCTACACTGTTGTATATTCATTGTGGGTTTAAATTAATTTATCTGCCAGGGCTCCTTTTCATATTTTATAACTCCCTCTAGCATGTAAGCTCATTGAGCAGGGCCCTCAATCCCTCTGTTCCTGTGCGTCAAACTTGTCTGGTTACAAATACGTGTCTGTTAGTCCATACATTGTACACCGCCATGGAACTTTATAAATAATAATAATATTACTAAATTAGAAAAGATTAACGTTTAAATACAAGATTGGATAACACATAACTTAGGGTCCCTGTCAAAAAAAGTGCCTTTATATGAATTTCCCATTTTAGCATATTATTACTAGCATATGTCCATCTTTTTTATTTTCAGTGCAGCTGCTCACTATTTACAAACTATGTAGAAACTCAATGTTTCAATCTTTAAACAATGTTGCAAGTAACCACTGAACCACTTACAAAGAGCAATGTCAATAACTCCTAGAAGTAAGAAGGCTAATGTTAGGACTGCAGGCTATGAAAGGATTCATAGCTAACATTAAATTTAATACGTAAAGAGAAGTGAAGCCTAACTGCCGAAGCGAGTGGTCGGAGATTTCTGGGGCTTTAAATAGTCTATCTTCACATCCCAAATTGCACCTTTTCCATCCAGGGGAGCCCCCTAACTAGCCCAACGAAAATGGGGCAAACAATCTAAAAAAAACGAGGCCGGACAAACCTGGAGCAGGTCTCACAATAGGAGATATGTGGCGGCAGGCACTTGGTGCAACAGGGCCCAAGGTGGCTCCCCTGCTAGGAGACTGCTCTGACTTTACGGATGACATCTCCCTCAAAGCAGAGGATGAGGGAATACCTACCCTGCGGCAGAACCCAACCATACAGCAAAAGAACCAGGAGGACCCGGCTTCCTCTCTGTTGACAAGAGCTGTGCTCCAATAAATGCTGGTGGACCTAAAGAGGAGTATCTCAGCAGATTTGGCTACAATCCTTGGTGACCTGCGGGGCCTAACTGGCCGCCTGGGAGAGATGGAAACCAACTACACCAAGAATACCCAGAGCATACAATCGCTCCAACAAGCGGTACAAGACCTTCAGCGGCAGAACCTGATCCAAGAACGCTGTTTTGCGGCCCAAGAAGACACACGGCGCCGGAAAAACATAAAGGTACGAGGAGTCTTGGAGTATATACTGGAGGCTGAACTGCCACACATGGTGAGGCATCTACTAGGAGCCCTGCTGCAACCGAGACAGGCCAAGGCCATCTCACCGGAGGGGATCTTCCCTGTCCCCAAGCCAGCCAAAGCCCCAACCACAGCCCCATGGGACCTGGTGATTCAGTTCAAGACTGGGACTGACAGGGCAGTAATCATGACGGTCGTACAAGGCAAAACTCCCCTACCATTTCGAAAACATACCAATCACCTTCTATGCTGACCTCTCTGGAGGCACCCTGGCCTGGCACATGTCTCTCAGACCACTTCCTTCACTATTGCAAAGCCACACTATCCGATATCAATTGCACCTATCTCGCACACTCATAGTGCTCCAGGGAGATAAAGCTCATTCTGTCACTGACCTCCAAGAAGCCACAGCTCTCCTACAAACCCTGGGACTGCCACCAGACTCCCTTGATCAGAACAGACAAGCTACAACGCAGTAGAACACATGGACATGGGACCCGAAGCGGATCACCCTATTTGTCCCCCGACAACCCACACATGAGCTGTTTGCAGCAGTCACTACCTGAGCACCAACTGGAGACCTCACCTATACTGCACAAGGGGATACCCTGGACATCAATAAGCTTGTTTATGTTTTATAATATTTTTGTTACTTAGTTATATGGTTCTGTTTTCTCAGACCTCCGAGATTAAGTCTCTTCAGTCTAGGCCAGTTTAAACTACATCTACCCAAACCAGACAGGTTGGCTTACGACCCATCATGCCCCCCCACCTCAGATGAGCCCTAATAGAACACAACACAACAATGCATAGAGGTGTAAACATACTCCCGTATGCGCAACTGGTTCACAGGGAACCGACACAGCGGCCAGAGCACTGCCGGCACTCTCAGGTTCCCCATTGGGAAGCACTATTAAGATCATGTAGAATTGTTATTCTTATTTATGGATCTTTTATTATTTTAGGGAAAACACTAGAACATGGGGCCAGAGTGAAACACCTATATCACTTGGCAAATCCCCTCAAAATGTACCTCACACTCACAGGGATCGAGTGCTTAGCACTCCGGCTCTATCAGACGCTGTCGCATTTGTATGTTTAACAACTGCTACAATTACTATATTAATATTGCAGTTCCTATTCTGGCATGCCAAGTGTTTGTAGTACACTAGCCTAACTCACAGGAACATCCCCCACGTCTCAATGTTCAGCTTAGTTTATAGTTTGCACACAACCTAACATTCTAGACACGTGCGATCTGCTCACTCTCTTTTCATTCATTCAAAAAAAAAAAAAGTGTACTTGATACGCATGCAAAAAACAATGTCCGACTATGTACGCTCTTTAGTGTTTGACTGCTATTGTGGCATAGTCAGCTCTATGTTATTTTGTTATACACAACAAAAATAAAGAATTAAAAAACTATATATATTAATACGTAAAGGGATGAAACAAGTAATTAATTTTCTATTGTGGAGCTGTCTGTGTGGCATGTTACGAAGTTGAAACATTATATTTACAATTTTAATTCTTTATATAGCACCAACATATTCTGCAGCAATAACAGGCAGACAGATCTTATCAAAACATGTTTCACATACAGGAAAATAGAGACTGCCCAAACAAGCTGGCAAACATTGTATATACATGATCACCACTGGCTGGATAGGAAAAGCCTTGATCCTGCCAAATGGAAATAAACCAAGCTAACATGAGAAATCACCGCCTTTACTGCAACGTCGATGCAATGAGGCAGCAGTGACAGGCTGGTGACGCTAGCATTCTGTATTTCATGGGGAGTACCAATATGGCGCCCAGCTTCGCGCAACCCTCCTGCAACAGGGAGCACCAAGATGGCCGGTGTGCTATGAGGATGGCCGCTGACCCTGGATTCCCCGCCCCTTTCTTGGTGACGTATCATTAAGAGACACCGCCGGATGTGACGGCTGTGTGTGTTCGGCCGCAGTTTATCCTGACTGTGAGTGAGCGGTGCTGTCACAGGAGCAAGATGGGAGTCCCCAAATTTTACCGTTGGATCTCGGAGAGATACCCCTGCCTGAGCGAGGTGGTGAAGGAGCACCAGGTAAAGCCGGCTGATGACGTAGCTTGCCGTGCGTCGCCGCACCATGACGTCATGTCCCAGTGTTACTAACCCCCTCCCGCCCCCTCTCTCTCTCTCTCTCTCGCTCTTTCTGTCCATAATGGTCACTAACTGTAATACACTGTGAGCAATGGACACACAGCCATTGTGTGCTCTGCCTGCTCCTCCCACTGAGCTGGCATGTCTCTCCCCCACTCACAAACTTTGCTCAGTATTGGGATTAATGCAGTGTTCAGCTACTCCAGAACTACAATACCCTGCTTGCTATACCAGCTGTAAGGTTGACAAAGCATCATGGGAGTTGTAGTTCTGCAACTGCTGGGGATGTTCTACTTCCTGGTCACCCACAGGTTTAATAGTGCTTTGTATATATCAAGTGACCTAACTCATAGAAAGTCCTGTTGTTCTGTGACCTCTGTACTTAAGACTGACCTTTTGGCACTCCAGCGGTTGTGGGAAAGGAGTGCTATAAGTGATCTATCACAGATCTATGAAAATTCAAATATTAGCCCAGTGCTTAGTATTGTTACAATGAAGCCACCAAACCCAATATACTCCTTATTTAAGGGTAAATCGGTACTTTCACTTACACACCACTTTGCGCAGGTGACATGGCTATTCGTATGTTGGTGCACCTATGGGGAGAGCATAAAGTTCCCCCATATACTGGTTTCTAACTCCTGAGAGAAGTGTATCATCTGCAATTTATTGGAATGTAAATGTTATTCGTCTGTTTATAAAAAAAAAAAAAAAAAAAATGACTGTCCTGCTTTAAAGAGGAACCCTAAACACCATAATCACTACAGCTGTCTGTAATGGTTATGGTGCTAGATGTTCCCCTGTGTCTTCCTGCTGTAAAACATCAAATTATTTAGAAACTGTCTGACATTAAAAAAATTAAAAAATACGTCAGTGTTTAGGTGATTTTCCACACCTCCCAAACACTAAAGTGCAAGTGCAGCACTAAAGAAATAAAATCTACAGTGCTTAAACACTTTTTACATAGGTGCAAAGTGCATCTATATAAAAAAAAAATGCTCTTTTGCCCTTTTGTTGGCAACCGTTCCACTTCTGAAAACTGCTCACTTTCCTCCAGCAAAGTGCATATGGTGAATAAAAGAAGTCTGACACTTACTGTTCCCTTGGCACAAGCAGTTCCCACTTTCACGTTTAGTTTTTTTATAGCAATTTTATCTCTTTGGATGGAATTAATTGGCCGAGAATCTCATCTGACTCTCATCAGCCAATGAATTCTGCCAAAACTCGGACAATATTCAAATTGCTAACATACACATGGAACTCTTCTTTTTAGTGCCATCTATGAAAAGGGGCTGGGCCGCATGGGCCCAGGGAACCAAAGTGTTAATTGACAGGAATGTCAAACTTTAGGTCATAATAGATGCCCTAAAACCATGACTGACTTGAATAATCTTTCCATTTCTGCTATTGTGGTCTAACATTAAAACATTTTTAAATTCCTAGCAATTCTCACTTTAGTTAATAAACCTCTACGTATTGGGAGGGTGCTCTTGGGACTCTTGACACCATAGCCAGTACAGGGAGCTGCAGTGGTTATAGTGCTTAGAGTACCTGTATTGGTTTTGTAAGGGTTAAAAGAAAACTTATCTCAGAGATTTTGCCAATAGGTTTTTAATTTTTGGGCAATTTGAGGTCATTAAAAAAAAGGTGTTTGTGTATTGTTAGAACATATGATATTCTGCTTATGACTTTAAGAGTTTTGCGTTGGTATGTGTGCCGATAACCTTTAATAAGTTATTTAGTAAATCTGGCATTGTCAGAAATTCACAAGGGAATTACAAAATACCCCCTGCCTAATAACTAATATTGGATAAATTCTCCAAATCACATGATTTTACGCTTTCTTTTCTTAAATTTGTAATATCTGGTTTAGTGAATTCCTGTGCTTATGGCCATACATTAACTCTATAAACCTGTTTAAAATTGTACAGTGGATAGAATCTAGGGGTAATGACTTTGTGTATGGAAGGGTTTTTTTTTTTGTTTTTTTTGTTTATAATTTTATAATTGTTATTTAAGACTTTGTATTTTTTGGACAGATGCTCATATCCGTGCATGTCTTTTCCTCTCTGGAAATACTGCACTTTGACTTTATTAAAACACATACTTGAGATTTGTTTGCAGAGGAATGAATTATTGCCAGTAGCTTGTACAAGTAATGGTTTTTGTTTCGTTTCCAAAGAGCACACTCACTGTCACACTCTGCTGTATTGACATAGTTTTTGTTTTTGTTAATTCATGTTGAGTTTTGCAAGCACTCATGTAAATCAGCATTTGTGCAAAAACTGTATATTACAACAGGACTTGAAAATGTTAGATTAGTTCTATGACCCATTTTAAAATGTAGAATTCATGTTAGATGTGCCTTAAAGCGGCACTGTCATGGACGAATCCATTTTTTTTTCCTTTTGTTTTTAAACCCCTCTCCTGATTCCACTACATCTAATTGCCCCCCATATTACCTATATTTTGTTTTTGTTTTTTAAATCTTCATTTCGTACCCGGACCGCAGTCTTTGTGTGGGCAGATAAAGTACCTGTGGGACACGTCATCTGCCCACACTAGATAGCGCTGTGAAATTCCCGCCTCTGTCCAGTTAAACATTTGGGCATTCGCTATTGTCCAAAAATCGGACGGGAATTTCGTATATTCATTCGGCAGAAAGACGAAGGAATGAATAGAAGTTTCAGACAAACCAACACCATCTATGTTCATTAGTTCAGTTTATTACAAGGAGGGAGCTACCAGCTCGCAGCTCCCTCCATGTGATATGTAAAAAGAGAGGAGTCAGGGAGCTGTGCTCTCTGCCACTTTATAGCCCCCCATGTCCTCTCTCATTCTTTGGGATCAATATGACCCCCATATTGGCATAAGTGAGATTGAAATTTCCCGAATGCCCCTACTCACTAAGCCGCAAGTAGGGGCTTGTTTGCTTAACAGTGAGCAGCCTGAGGCACATAGTGTCCCCCCCCCCCCTTTAACCCATGCCCCGTGAGTGGGGGGAGACCTATTGTCGGCCCCTAACCATGAGCGGCAGATGAGGCCCTAAATGAAAAATTAAATAAAGCCATACCTCCACCCCCCACCCCCCCCTAAAAATATTAAACTCCACCTATACATTATGCAAGCAGCTTTCTTAGCACATGTATAGAGTGTGAGGAAAAAACTATTTACATAGTTTGTTGTTTTTTTTTTTTTTCTACCACCTGTTAATCAATTCTTCGACATATACTATATGCCAGGGCTTGACAAATTCGTAGGAGCCAGCTAAAAAAGGTAGGAGCCAGTCATTTTCAACAAGAGAGTGCAATTCGTAAAGGGATACTATAGTCACCAGAACCACTACAGCTTGATACAGTAGTTCTGGTGTCTATAGCCTGTCCCTGCAGGCGTTAGTGTAAACACTGCCTTTTCAGCGAAAAGGTAGAGTTTACATTGCTGCTTACTAACACCTCTAATGACAGTCCCTAGAGTCCTGGGTCACTGCTGCACCATGTGCAGCACCCAGGTTAAGTGTCTCCAAGCTCTGCATGGAGGCGCTGAATGTTCCTCATAGAGATTTGTTAATGTAATGCATCTCTATAAGGAGATGCGGATTGGTACATTTGCGATCGGAGGGGGCAGGTACCTGACTGCCTCTCACACACACTCTAACAGGCTCACATACACACTCATGCTGGCAACAGGCTTGCACGCACACAGCAAACAAACAGAAACACCACAAACTGAGTGCTCTGATAATGTAAATTACTTAACTTTAATTAGTATACAGCCTCCCAAGATCGTTATCCACAACAAACGATCTTTATATATGCATAGAACCACAAACAAAGTTTGGGATACGGCTGTGTAATCTATGGAGAGAACGTATAAAAAAAAAAAAAACCACACTAGTGTAATACAATATATACAGTGGATCGTGCGCTTGAAATAAAGGCACTCACAAGATGATGAAAAGAAGAGCGTTCATAAGGTGCCTCCCCTGATAGTATGGGGGGCTAGTAGTTCCCCTTGCCAGTGCAGAGCAGCCAATGGAACACGGGACTCCAGGTAAGTAGTAAAAAAATCCAATAATTTTTTTTTTTTTTTTTAAGGTGAAAAACACCATAAAGATAAGATTTAAAAATGCGGCAATAGGTCCAACGCGTTTCGTTCAAACAAGAGGGACCGCACAATAAAAGGTAACAAACAATATCACAAATGGTAAAGTAATGCATCCTACTACCCCCTTAGCATGATCCCTATAAGTAGGGCTAGTCCCAATGTCCCATTGGTCCATAATGTAGGAGTTTTCCAATAGCCAGCTCTTCATTGGTCCTGGGATAGCTCCTTCCAGCTGATAGTATTTTCGGCACTTGTATGATTCAAATTTGGGCGCGTTCAATGAAAAAAAGACGAAACCGGAAATAGACGTCATCTTTTACTTCCATGTTCCATTTGCGTTCCATCTCTCTATCTTAACCCTATCAACCAGGAGCAACAATACAAGTGATCCCACAACTGGCTAAATAGCCAAAAGATAACAAAATTACTTAATACAATTTAATCTCTAAATTAAAAAAGAGAAATGGGTTAGTGTCTGAGTATTGACAACAGCAATATCAAAATAGCCCCTACAAAACTTGGGCATATATTCGCTAAGTGTATAAATCATTAACCTCCACCAATTTCATAGTTCAAAACTGTCTATTTATTTAAAGTGACACACACGTCCTTACTATATTGAGAAAAACATAATCCATTCTTTTTTATATAAATGTTCTCTCAAGACATCAAATAATTCTCATTCTATAATATATAACTTGATTAGTACACATATCTGCATTAGAAAAGGCAGACAAATCATTTTTTTTTTTTTTTATATTATTTATATTTCTAGAAATACATATGAAATAATTGCAAAGAGGGAGAGAAAGACCCAATAAACACACTAGATCAATCCCAATGTTCAAACCCCTGGGTTCAAGGGTCTTGAGTTTATGTATCCAAAAAGTTTCCCTTTGGGATAACTTTTTGACCCTATCGCCCCCACGCCAGAATGGAAGAATATGTTCAATGCCCACACAACTAAATTCTCTAAATGAAAAAAGGGTACAGTTACTACAATGAGCCGAGACCGAATGGGTAACCAGTCCCTTACGGATGTTATTTAGATGTTCCAAGATTCTAACCTTCAGGGTACGTTTTGTTCGACCCACATATTGTTTGCCACACGGACACTGCAGTAAATATACTACATGGTCCGTGTAGCAACCTATCTCTGTTTTGATCTTAAATGTTTCTCCTGTAATTTTACTGGTAAATTCCTTAATTCTTCCCACAAGGGCAGTGGTACAAGCTTTACATGAACCACATCCCCTAAAGCAGCCTGAAACAAAGGTTCTATTTGATCCATTTGTCTTGATAGCATCTAGGGGCTAGCATATTTTTTAAGTTCCTATTCTTTTTAAAAATCACCATCGGATGTTCAGATAAAGAATTACCCAAAATTGGGTCCTGTTGTAAAATGGGCCAAAATTCACTGAGGCTCCTTTTGATCTTAAAATGGTCAATATTATACTGGGTGACAAAAGCTGATTTAAAGTTCGGGTGCCCCACAATCTCAGGGACTTTGTCCTCCAAAAGCTTGCTATGTTCGAGAAGGCCAATAGATCGAATTTCTTTTTCTAAAGTGTCCTTATTATAGCCCCTCGCACACAGTTTATTTTTTATGTGGGAAGATTGAATCTGAAAATCTTGAGAACGAGAACAATTGCGTCTGTCTGGTAAATTGACTTTGTGCTATACCCCTAAGCCAAGGCTTATGGTGGCAGCTTCGTTGATGTACGAAGCCATTACCATCCGTTGGCTTGAAAAAAAATTTAGTTTGATTCTGGCCCTGGTCACAAAAAATTTCAAGATCCAAAAAGTGGATCTCATGCTTATTCCACTCCGGGTTTAATATTAAACTGTATAGATTGGAATCGAGGTATCGAACATATTCAAAAAAACTGGTTGAAGAAATCTTCCAAATGATGATCACATCATCGATATAACGCCGCCAGAGCACCAGGCTCTCCCTCCAGTCATGCCCCGACCACACGAATAATTCCTCCCATCTCCTCATGTAGGTGTTGGCATAACTGAGGGCGAACCTGGTGCCCATGGCGCTCCCTGTGGTCTGTAGATAATATTGATCATTAAAGAAGAAAAAAGTTATGTTCCAAAATAAATTTAACTGAGGTCAATATGAATTCTCTATGACCTTGAGACAAATCCAAGTCTTGGGACATATAGTAATCAAGAGCCTCCAGTCCTAGTCTATGGCTAATTACCGTATACAGAGAGGTCACGTCCAGCGTGGCCCAACTGTATTCGGAATCCCATTCTACACTGTCTAGTTCCTGCAGAAAAGACTTCGTATCACGTATAAATGAGGGTTCCCCTTGAGCATATTTTTGGAGGAAAGAGTCCACATACGCAGACAAATTAGCAGTGAGAGAATTGACTCCACTAATAATAGGACGACCCGGTGGATCAGGGAGGAGTTTGTGGGTTTTTGGGAGAAAATAGAATATCGGAATTGTAAAAAGGAATGATAAGACAGATCCCCATAATCACAAAAATATGTAAATTTGGTGAGAACTGTCTTAAAAAGAGCCTACCTCAGAGCTACAATATAGGGGGTAACCCAGAAAGAAATATAGTTGAATGACGGAGACCCTTGAAACAAGGGGATCCCAGAAGTAGCTGCTGAACTTAACAGAATAAATAGTATAGTTACCAGGTGGCAAGTAGAGAAGAACAGGGGGCTGTACTTGTAAGTGGATAAAAGGGTGAAAGGGAATAAATAGAAATACCCATATATACCCTATATACGCCATAGCTAGTTGCATTTAATAGCAGCAAAGGAATGTCCCTTTAACAAAAAAAAGACTCTAGCATTTATACTAGAAAAAATGTCCAAAATTAGGACACCTAAGCTGCAAAAATACAATAAGGCAACACAAAATATGTGTAATACATAAATCACCCCACTAATCTAAAGGCAGGCAAACAGGAACCTATACAAACATGAATAGGAGAAAAGAGAGTGAAAGGGGGACAAGGGCAGACCCACTAAGGACAAATGCCTGCCTAGAAAAAAAACTCTAAATGCCAAATAATAAATTGCTAACTATACTAACTAAATCAAACATACTAACTACCTAAGTGCTACCTAATATGAGAGAAAAAAGATAAATCAAATAAGGCGGTCCCTGAGGAAGTTCTTGTTTGAACAAAACGCGTTGGACCTATTGCCGCATTTTTAAATCTTCTCTTTATGGTGTTTTTCACCTTTTAAAGAAAATAAAATTATTGGATTTTTTTTACTATTTACCTGGAGTCCCGTGTTCCATTGGCTGCTCTGCACTGGCAAGGGGAACTACTAGCCCCCCCATACTATCAGGGGAGGCACCTTATGAACGCTCTTCTTTTCATCATCTTGTGAGTGCCTTTATTTCAAGCGCACGATCCACTGTATATATTGTATTACACTATTGTGGTTTTTTTTTTATACGTTCTCTCCATAGATTACACAGCCGTATCCCAAACTTTGCACGCACACACTCTGACAGGCTCTCACACACACATACAGATACTGACAGGCTCTCTCACAATCTCTCTCTCTCTCTCTCTCTCACTCTCTCACTCTCTCACTCTCTCACACACACACACTCACAGTCTGACAGGCTCTCTTTCACACAAACACACACAGTCTTGACAGTCTCTCTCTCTCTCGCTCTCGCTCTCGCTCTCGCTCTCGCTCTCGCTCTCGCTCTCGCTCTCGCTCTCGCTCTCGCTCTCGCTCTCGCTCTCGCTCTCGCTCTCGCTCTCGCTCTCGCTCTCTCGCGCTCTCGCGCTCTCTCGCTCTCTCGCTCTCGCGCTCTCTCGCTCTCGCGCTCTCTCTCGCGCTCTCTCTCGCGCTCTCTCTCGCGCTCTCTCTCGCGCTCTCTCTCGCGCTCTCTCTCGCGCTCTCTCTCGCTCTCTCTCTCGCGCTCTCTCTCTCTCTCTCTCTCTCTCTCTCTCTCACACACACACAGTCTTGACAGGCTCTCTCTCTCTCTCTCTCTCTCTCTCACTCACACACACACACACACACACACACACACACACACACACACACACACAGTCTTGACAGGCTCTCTCTCTCACTCACACACACACACACACACACACACACACACACAGTCTTGACAGGCTCGCTCTCACACACACACGCAGTCTTGACAGGCTCGCTCCTCACACACACACACACACACAGTCTTGACAGGCTCTCGCTCACCACACACACACACACACACACACACACACACACACAGTCTTGGCAGGCTCTCACACACACACACACACACAGTCTTGACAGGCTCCTCACACACACACACACACACACACACACACAGTCTTGGCAGGCTCTCTCACACACACACACACACACAGTCTTGACAGGCTCTCTCACACACACACACACACACACACACAGTCTTGACAGGCTCTCACACACACACACACACAGTCTTGACAGGCTCTCACACACACACACACACACACACAGTCTTGACAGGCTCTCTCTCACACACACACACACACAGTGCCGAGCAGGCTCTCACACACACACTACACAGACCAGTCTTGACAGAACCTCTCTCACACACACACACACACACACACACACACAGACAGTCTTGACAGGCTCTCTCTCACACACACACACACACACACACAGACAGTCTTGACAGGCTCTCTCACACACACACACAGACAGTCTTGACAGGCTCTCTCACACACACACACAGACAGTCTTGACAGGCTCTCTCACACACACACACACACAGTCTTGACAGGCTCACACACAGACACTCTTGACAGATTCACACATTTTTGTTTGAATTGAAACCCACTCAGCCTCCCTACCTTTGGGAGAGCTGAGTGAGTCTTTCCTGGGGACTGTACTCTTCCTGTGTGCAAAGGAGCAGTACTCTGCCTGTAGCTCCTCTCTGCTCCCTTGCGCTCTGTAATTATGCCGGGCTGGAATGACGTCATATTCCGGCTCCCAACATGATTACACAGTGCGAGGGAGCAGAGAGCAGGAGCAAACAGAGTACTGCTCCCTCGCGTGCTGCCCATAAAGCGCGGGCGGTGGCATCCTCCGTGTACCCGCGGGCGGCGTCAAAGCTCCTCCCTCCCACACTAGAGAGCTGGCAAATTCCAGACGCCAGGATGCAATTTCTAGTCGCCATTGCGATCGGGCGCCTGGGATTTGTCGAGCCCTGCTATATGCCAAAGAAATGTTTCATAAAGGAGGGCAGAAGAAACATCCTGCTGCTCTCTAGCACATGCACTAGGATTGCTATGTAAATTCTTTAACCAGCGCAGCTTATGCTGACTTGGAAGTGTAAAAATAGTGACATGGCTTCACTCTGCATTGAAGCCAGAATGACTGCACCAGTTGCATTTGTATTGCTTAGGGAAGTGTTCACAAGCAGGGCATATCAGTTAGAAGCATAGGGAGACCAGAGAACAACACGAGAGGTTTTGCAAAGAGCCTTGCCTTTCCTTTTCCTTTTACACTGCATTTTATGCTTCCTACTAGGTCCTGCAATATTCACTCAACATATAGATGCATTGTTATAATACATTTCTACAAGGAGGTGCTGATTGGCAGACTGCAGTAATTGCAAAGAATGTGCAGAAGGCCACCCAATGCTTCTCTGGCAAAGTATTTAAAAGGACAAACATGTATTCCTGACTCTATAGTGTTAAAACCACCATCAAGCCCCCCGGTCCCTCATGCCTCCATAAATATAGCAACATCTTACTGTATTCAAGCCTAAAGCTGTAAATCTGCATGTTGTTAGACTCAGAAAAACAAGCAGTTTGCTGACCATCAGAAGTGGTAGCCTGACCCAATCACAATGCTTCCCCATAGGATTGGCTGAGACTGATAAGGAGGCAGATCGGGGCAGAGCCAGCATGATTCAAACACAGCCCTGGCCAATCAGCCTCTTCTCATAGAGATGAATTGAATCAATTAATCTCTCTATGAGGAAAGTTCAGTGTTTGCATGCAGAGGGAGGAGATACTGAATATTTGGATGCATTTTAGGCAGCCTTGACTCAGGAAGGATCTCTAACAGCTGAGGAATGGCCAGTGAGGTTATCACTAGGCTGTAATGTAAACACTGCATTTTCTCTGAAAATACAGCGTTTACTGCAAAAGCCGGAAGGTAATGATTCTACTCACCAGAACAAATTTAATAAGCTGTAGTTGTTCTGGTGACTATAGTGTCCCTTTAAGTTAGCTAAGATCGATAAGGGGAGAGTGACTGTGGCAAGGGATAAAAGAGAAGTAAAAATGAATTGCAATTAAAAAGGGGGCAGCTGATGTCTGTGCTGTACTCTGGTGTATGTGCTAGTGAAATCAGAGGGCTTGACAGAGGAAGCTCCACCTTTTTGTAGGAAAAGGAGACTAAGTATATATAAATCGCATTGGAAATTGTGCAGGATTCTAAAACAGATGATTTTATGTTGGTTAGTACAGAACACTGGTGAGACCTCACTTGGAGTATTGTACGCAGTACTGAAGACCGTATATTCAGAAGGATATTGATACTTGGAGAGTGTTCAGAGAAGGGCTACTAAACTGGTTCATGGATTGCAGGATAGAACTTACCAGGAAAGGTTAAAGGATCTTAACATGTATAGCTTGGAGGAAAGAAGATGAGACAGGGGAGATATGATAGAAAAATTTAAATACATCAAGGGAATCAACACAGTAAAGGAGGAGACATATTTAAAAGAAAAAAAAAAAAGAAAAAAACACCACAACAAGAGGACATAGTCTTAAATTAGAGGGGCAAAGGTTTAAAAATAATATCAGGAAGTATTACTTTACTGAGAGGGTAGTGGATGCATGGGATAGCCTTCCAGCTGAAGTGGTAGAGGTTAACACAGTAAAGGTGTTTAAGCATGCGTAGGATAGGCATAAGGCCAGGGACTAATGAAAGTATTTAGAAAATAGGGCAGACCAGATGGGCCGAATGGTTCTTATCTGCCGTCACATTCTATGTTTCTATGTCTATTTCATAAAGATCTTCATAATCTAGAAAGCAATATTTTTTATTTTTTTTAAAATAAATTTATATATATTGATCCTTGGTTGCAGATAGCACAGTCCCCTAGGGTACAAATATGCACAGTCTTTAAAAGTAACTTAAAGGAACACTCTAGGCACCCACACCACTTCAGCTTAATGAAGTGGTCTGGGGGCCAGTTCCAGCTAGGGTTAACCCATTATTTTTTATAAACATAGCAGTTTCAGAGAAACTGCTATGTTTGTAAATGGGTTAATCCTTCCCCCAAAGCCTCTAGCGGCTGTCTCATTGACAGCCGCTAGAGGCGCTTGCGTGCTTCTCACTGTGAAAATCTCAGTGAGAGCACGCAAGCGTCCATTGGAAAGCATTGTAAATGCTTTCCTATGCGACCGGCTGAATGCGCGCGCAGCTCTTGCCGCGCGTGCGCATTCAGCCGACGGGGAGGAGAGCTCCCTGCCTGGAGCTGGAAAAAGGTACGTTTTAACCCCTTTCCCCCTTCCAGAGCCGGGCGGAAGGGGGTCCCTGAGGGTTGGGGCACCCTCAGGGCACTATAGTGCCAGGAAAACTAGTATGTTTTCCTGGCACTATAGTGGTCCTTTAACCCCTTAAGGACACATGACGTAAATACTCCGTCATGATTCCCTTTCATTCCAGAAGTTGTGTCCTTAAGGGGTTAAGGACGGAGCCAAATGTACCCGTGAACGAAACTAAATGTAAACAAAACCTGGCATTTGCGCTACATGTCTGTCCAACCATAATTCAACTCTTTCATAGTAAATACACCCACCCTTATTATATATCATTTTATTCAGGGGAAACAGGGCTTTCATTTAATATCAAATATTTAGCTATGAAACAATTTAATATGAAAAAAATGGGAGAAAATAAGTTGGTTTTTTTATTATTATTTTTTTAGTTCTACATGACATTTTAACTGTCAATGTCATAATACGGTTTGCTTTTACTGCAATAAAATACACATATTTGTATTCAGCAAAGTCTCACGTGTAAAACAGTACCCCCTATGTACAGGTTTTATGGCGTTTTGGGAAGTTACAGGGTCAAATATAGCACGTTACATTTGAAATTGAAATTCGACAGATTGGTTACGTTGCCTTTGGGACTTTATAGCAGCCCAGGAATGAAATTTACACCCATAATGGCATACCATTTGCAATAGTAGACAACCCAAGGTATTGCAGATGGGGTATGTCCAGTCTTTTTTAGTAGCCATTTGGTCACAAACACTGGCCAAAGTTAGCGTTAGTATTTGTTTGTGTGTGAAAAATGCAAAAATGCCAATTTTGGCCAGTGTTTGTGACTAAGTGGCTACTAAAAAAGACTGGACATACCCCGTTTGCAATACCTTGGGTTGTCTACTATTGCAAATGGTATACCATCATAGGGGTAATTTTCATTCTTGGGCTACCATAGGGTCTCAAAGGCACCGTAACCAATCTGGCGAATTTTAATTTGAAAAAAATGAAACGCAAGCCTTATATTTGACGCTGTAACTTTTGAAAACACCATAAAACCTGTACATGAGGGGTACTGTTGTACTCGGGAGACTTTGCTGAACACACTTTTTGCTGTTTTGAAACACAAATATTTATTACAGCAATAATATCGTCCGTGTAAGTGCTGTTTGTGCATGAAAAATGCAAAAACCGGCACTCTTACTGGCGATATCATCGTTTTAATACATTTTACTGTTTTGAAACACTAATATTTGTGTTCAGCGAAGTCTCCCGAGTAGAACAGTACCCCCCATGTACAGGTTTTATGGTGTCTTGGAAAGTTATAGGGTTAAATATAGTGCTAGCAAATTAAATTCCCTTTACTATTGGCATGGGTTGTAATGCAGGTCCCGCTAATTGTAATTAATTAAGATACCTAATTATGTAAAAATATTACATAAGTGTGTGTATGTGTATATGTATGTGTGTGTGTGTGTATATGTATATATATGTGTAAATATATATATATATATATATATATATATATATATATATATATATATATATATATATATATATATGTGTGTGTGTATATATATTAGTATGTGAATCTATATGTGTGTGTATATATATATATATATATATATATATATTAGTATGTGAATCTATATGTATGTATAATTTTAAAAAATATATTTATTTATATATATATATATCACAATACAGTTAGAACGAAATAACACACATCTCTTTTTTTAATAGATTTTTAAAATTATTTTATTTTTTAACGTATTTACATATTTAATTTTTTATATTATATATAACATATATCAGTCTACGTGTAATTTGAGATATATATATATATATATATATATATATATATATATATATATATATATATATATATATATATATATATATATATATATATATATATATATATATAATAAAAAAAATATAAATTTTTTTTTTTTTTTTTTTTTACACTTAATTAAATTTTATTTTATTTTCAGCCAGCAGGGGGACCACCTGTCATTACAGGCAGCCCCCCTGCTGGCAATGCAGCAGGCAGCCTACCCGGCCATGTGATTGTGGGGTCCTCGCAAGGACCTCACTCTCACATGGCCGGGGGGCTTCCAGGGGGTCGGACATGCCGCAGGGGGCTCCCTGGGAGTCCCCCGAACCGCGATCGCCGGCGTGGGATCGTACAGAAAGATCGGAGGGCGTACAATTACGCCCAGCAGCGTTTAGAGCCGCCTAAAATAGGGCGTAATTGTACACCCTCCTGTCTTAAGGGGTTAATTCCAGGTACTTTATTGTTGAGCTTCACCACAGAGACAGCAGTAAATGAAAACATAAATATAACACATATCCCTATAAACAAAAACCTAGCTCGTCTGAGCACTAACTAACTTAAGGTTCCCTATCTCTCAGGTGTTAAACTAGAACAAAATAATATTGGTTTCACCAACCTAGTGTCTGTCAGCACTCCAGTGTTTAGTCAGCCTGCTGCTTCCAGCTCTTCAATAGAGAAAACAAACATTCTCCCCTTACCTGCCTAGCAGGGAGGGGTTTATTCCCACTGCTGCAGCTGATTACCTGCAGCTGAGCAGTGGGTTGGAGACAGTCCAAAAACCCTGGCTTGGATCTAGTCTTCCAAGAAAACCGCTAAACTGCGGAGTGGAGCACTGGCCCACCCTGCTCTCCAAATGCTCCACCCCAGAGGCCCATAACTAAATATTAATTTCGGTTATATACACACAGAAACACACACTCCCCCTGGGGTTAAAAATCATATGCCTCTCTGAACAATTCAGTCGAAATATAAACTCCCTCACAGACCACCCCATTCACCTTATCTCTATCTCTATCTCTATCTCTATCTCTATCTCTATCTCTATCTCTCTCTCTTTAAAAATTGCATGCTACAAACTCTGTGGCAGCAGTTTGAGGAAGGCCCTTTTTATTTTATTTTTTTACTTATTATAGAAATTCTTTATGAAATTTTCTTTTCTAAATATGCATACACGAAACACATATCGACAAGACACCACAGTGTGCCTCAAATAGTAAGCGTGTCATATACTGTATAGATTATTGCATCGATACTTACAAATACATATCACACAAAAATACATAAACCTTTCTGCGAGGTTGAGAGGGGGAAAAAGAAACCGAGAGGAATGCTAAAGATGGTGCTATCTACGTGGAGCTCATGCAATAATGCAACTTAAGGCTTTGAGGAAGGCCATTTTGTGTTCCAGCATCACTATGCCTCTGTGCACAAAGCAAAGTCCACAAATGCATGCTTTGATAAGTTTGGTGTGGAGGTAATCAAGTGGCCTGAACACAGCTCTGACCAAACTCCATTGATACTTGAGGTGAATTGGAACACAGATTGCAGAGCAGACCTTTTAGTCCTACGTCAAGGGTTCTTGACCTTTTTGGTCTCACACCTCCCCTGTAAATAAACTTAAACTTCGCACCTTCCTTCTTCTCCCAAAAGCAATTAATGAGTATGTTACATAATTGATATGGAAATTTTATTTGAACATCCTCCGATGTACAGAAAATTGTGTGTATGTGTATATGTATATATTCTCTTAAAGAGACATGGTGGTCACCAAAACCACTGCAGCAAAATCTTCTGTACATCGGAGGATGTTAAAATATAATTTCCATATCAATTATGTCATTTAACCACTATTAATTGCTACAAATAACAGTCGCCGAGTGTGGATTTATTGTGTGACTGCTCTTCTTCTTGCGATGTGTTGTAAGTCCACACTTTGAGTGCCTGGAAATCTTTTTGTTGCCTTGACGTTTGGGCTTGCTGGTCCTGTTCCAGAGCACCTATGGCCGCTGGGGGTGAGTGCGGTTCCTATGACAAATTTTGCTATATAGTAAGTCCTTTCCGGCACATTGGTTTGGTACAAGATTAAATTAAATAGTCAGCCTTCATTTTACTGAACACTTTGTACGATATATGGTCATTCGAAAGCTAAAAACATATTACAAAAAATGTTAATAGGGAAAGTTAATCTCCCCATTAACACCTTTGCACCAGCCCAAGGGAGGCACACCACAGGTTAAGAAGCCCTGTCCTATATCCATGTCTGAGTTACCAACGTTATTTTGGCTGAATGGTCACAAATTCCCAGACACAATCCGCTTCAAAGAGAGTGCCAACTACATGCTAATCCCAATGGTTCTGGAATGGGATGTCGAACAAGCTCTCATAGATGTGATGGTCAAGTGTACACAGATCTATTAATCAATACCAGTTTCTTTTGTTTGTTGAGAGATTCCTTAAAACATAATCAGCTGCAACACCAAGAGAAATCACTCTGAAAGAGCTACAAGTGACCATGTGAAGAATATATAAACTGTCTGCTTTGTTTCCCCTGGGTTCATATAGGCCAGATGTTTTCAGCACCTCACACACATAATTAGTCTATTGTACTAGGGAAAAAAAAATCAACCATTTATTGTGGGCAGTTGCCTATGGCATGATGTATAGATCTGTTCTAACTAGTGGGAACCAGAGAAATCAAATCTCAGTGGTTTAAGAGCCTATTAAAGCATCATAGTGATGTGGATTAATTTAGAAATAAACAAAAATGTTTAAAAGTCTATCTGTTCCTGTCCAAATCTGAGATGAATAAATTGCGTATACGCAGAAGTAAGTTCACACTGACACATGCAGTTCAGGTTAAAAACACTTCAGGAAATTTATTAGCATCTAGTTAAAAAGTGTGCACGCAGGCCTTTTTATATGCAAAATGACATCATCATTGAATATCAGATAATAACAAATAAACATCATTAATTGGGTTAAATGTTAAGTGGCTATGTCAGTGTCCACCCATTAATATTATTAATTGGCTCAGAGATTTGAGTGACTAGTGAGGCACCCTCCCATCATGGGATGTCGTCGCCATTGCTCTTTAGCACGAGGCTTACTCGGTGGAAAGGGGGGGGCTTGGGCATCATTTTACGTAGTTAGTGATGTCAGTCTCGTGGTCTGTTCCAAGGTTCTTTTATGAATAGAACATTTCATTTAGTCGCTGTTCTCCTGGCCTTGGATTATACTATGTTGCAAGTCAACGGAGATCCGCTAACTCCGGGGCTAGTTATGTCCTTAGAGAGAGAAAATACAATCTCTTATTCATTATACTGAATACTGTCAGGAAATTCTGTCATGTAAGGTGAACAAAATGGAGAATTCTGTCATAGTGTGAGATTAAAATGGAGTTAGTACAATAATTCAATACAGGTTCTAATAAAGATTTTAATAATTCTACATCAATAGCAATGAGGTGAATGGTGCGAGAGTATTCTGCGTCTACCCTAATTTCTGAAAGTGGACTATAACAGAAGTAATTTATAAGAGAGCCCAGGGTTAACCATGTAATTATTTGAACTGCTCTTTGGAGTTAAAACACTTATCCAATTATTCTCCTTTGAGCAAGGGAATTGTGGATCATATCTGTCCTCAAATAACTAAACCTATCTATCTATCTATCTCGTTTGCACTCCTACCTCCAGCCAATGATACAAATTTTGCTATATAGTAAGTCTTTTCCAGCACATTGGTTTGGTACAAGATTAAATTAAATATTCAGCCTTCATTTTACTGAACACTTTGTACGATATATGGTCATTCGACATATTGCAAAAAAATGTTAATAGGGAAAGTTAATCTCCCCATTAACACCGGGTGCTCAGCCACACTGTATGATTGCCAGCACTCCTGGATTTCTAATATCAAAATACTTTATTGTCAAGTCGACGTTTCAGTCCCTAATCCGGGATTTTTATCAGGACATACAAAGTAACATCTTGCATGCAACAGGCTTATATACAAACTATAAAAACATAAGGTATTGATTACTCACCACGTGCAGCTGTTCTGCCCATGGGACGGCCGACCAGTGTCAGAAGTGCTTAATGAGTTCACTAGGAGCTGCCTTGTGCAGAGAGAGGGTGGGGTCGCCCATCAGGATTTCACTTCATGCTTCAAAGCGTTGTCTAGGCAACCATCGATAACTGTCTGCTATTGGCTGCCACAAGACCGCTGATATCCACCAGGAAGTATGTGATGGACCCGTCCACCTCGCTTGTTCACAAGCTTACTCGTTTCTATGGCAACCAGTTGGTCGCCACACAAAGGGGAGAACGTTGAATAAACAGATTTCTTTTGGCAACTAGTTTTTTAAGACCGAGCAATAAAGATTATTAACTATAATATGAGAGAATGCATATGAGGGGGGGGAAAAGGGGCTGTTTGTGGAGTGAGCACCGGTCCTGTTGGGGGCTGGCAGAGAGCTGTTACTTACCTTCCCTGCAGCTCCTGTCAGCTCCCTTCTCTCTCCTCCGGTCCAGTCAGCTCCACTGCAAGTCTCGCGAGGCACTCACACAGCCCATCTACTGGACCACCAGGGAATGAGAGCCCCCCTCCCTGGCCAGCTAACAAGCAGGGAGGGGGGAACGAATAAAAATATAAATTTAAATAATAAAATAAAATGAATATTTAAAAAATAATCATAATAAAATATTAATAATATAACAAATTTATATTAAAATAATAAAAAATGCCCACCCCCCCACCAAGGCTCTGCATTCATACACACACACACACACACACACACACACACACACACACACACTGCATTTATTATATACACACACTGTAAATAAATATTCAATTAATATAATTTTTTGGGGATATAATTTAATTTAGAAATTTACCAGTAGCTGCTGCATTTACCACCCTGGTCTTATACTCAAGTCAATAAGTTTTCCTAGTTATTTGGGGTAAAATTAGGGGTCTCGACTTATATTCGGGTCGACTTATACTCGAGTATATACTATTTTATATACATGGGTCAAAGGACCATGTATATATTATAAAAATGGGATGAAAGAAAATTTTTCATTCAATCCCTTTGGGGACAGAGTGTTCAACTCAAGAATCCAGAATGTCTCTTTTTGTAAGAGGAGTTTTGCTCTGTCCCCACCTTGATTTGGCATGGGGTCGTGGTTGATTGCTAGACATCTTAATGTCGAAAGTTGGTGCTGATACTCCAGGAAATTTCGGGCCACAGGTTTGTCCGACTTGCCATCATGATATGCCTTACCTATCTTGTATATTTAAAAAATAAAAATTGTTACATTTTTAGTAGACAATTCTTTTAAGAATTGTTGGTGTTTCTAATTGCTGTCTCTTGGGAGTCCTATTTAGATGTTGAATTGGAACAGTGTGAAACCTTCACTTTTTTATTTTTATCTTTTTGTTTCATACAGATCCCAGAATTTGACAATCTGTATTTGGACATGAATGGGATTATCCACCAGTGCTCCCACCCAAACGATGATGATGTACACTTCCGGATATCCGAAGATAAAATATTTGCAGATATATTCCATTATCTGGAGGTGCTATTTCGCATCATTAAGCCCAGAAAAGTGTTTTTCATGGCCGTGGATGGTGTTGCTCCAAGGGCAAAAATGAACCAGCAGCGGGGGAGACGTTTTAGGTGAGAACTGATCATACCTATTAGAACCAGATCATTAAAAAAATAAAATAGGTTGTCAGAAGGCAAATCCCTAGCTGTAATGAGATTAGATTAGACTAAAATTCCTAGAATGCTTTGCCAGTCTTCAACAGTTAATGATGAATTCACAAGGAAATTTTGAAGCTTCATGCTTACATGGCTGAGCTGAGAATTTGCTCAATTTGGATGTTTTTGTCCTAAAATTGTATTCCCATTAATACTGTATACTTTACGGTGTAGGGAAAATGTATACCATTGTTGCTAATCTAGGAAAATTCCACCCCAACAAAAAAATGTATCTGTTCCATTTTATGGCCCAGTCCAGTACCTGGCCAAAACGTGCTTCCTTCTACTCTTGAAGGCATTTGTTATTTACGGTAAGCCTTTGAGGTAGATTTAATATTGCAAAACAGGTGCTATTGCAGGACAAAATAAGTAATCTAATCTGTATGAACTTTTTATTCTTGTTTGTGCTGTAACTTTTTTTTTTTCTTCTTCTAACTGAAATATCCTGTACTCAAGCTGCAGAACTCATTTTGTCATGTTATGGACAGCGATACATGCACGTGATTGGCCAATCATATATTTCTTAGTGACTGGTTTTACAGCTTGAATATAGGTGTATGTATGAATAAAGTGTATGATTGGTACACACCACGATTGGCCAGTGTATGTATGAATAAAGTGTATGATTGGTACACACCACGATTGGCCAGTGTATGTATGAATAAAGTGTATGATTGGTATACACCACGATTGGCCAGTGTATGTATGAATAAAGTGTATGATTGGTATACACCACGATTGGCCAGTGTATGTATGAATAAAGTGTATGATTGGTACACACCACGATTGGCCAGTGTATGTATGAATAAAGTGTATGATTGGTACACACCACGATTGGCCAGTGTATGTATGAATAAAGTGTATGATTGGTATACACCACGATTGGCCAGTGTATGTATGAATAAAGTGTATGATTGGTATACACCACGATTGGCCAGTGTATGTATGAATAAAGTGTATGATTGGTACACACCACGATTGGCCAGTGTATGTATGAATAAAGTGTATGATTGGTACACACCACGATTGGCCAGTGTATGTATGAATAAAGTGTATGATTGGTACACACCACGATTGGCCAGTGTATGTATGAATAAAGTGTATGATTGGTACACACCACGATTGGCCAGTGTATGTATGAATAAAGTGTATGATTGGTATACACCACGATTGGCCGATTGGAAAATGAAATATGACACAGTGTATGTATGAATAAAGTGTGATTGCCAATTGGCCAGTGTATGTATGAATAAAGTGTATGATTGGTACACACCACGATTGGCCAGTGTGTATGAATAAAGTGTATGATTGGTACACACCACGATTGGCCAGTGTATGTATGAATAAAGTGTATGATTGGTACACACCGCGATTGGCCAGTGTATGTATGAATAAAGTGTATGATTGGTACACACCACGATTGGCCAGTGTATGTATGAATAAAGTGTATGATTGGTACACACCACGATTGGCCAGTGTATGTATGAATAAAGTGTATGATTGGTACACACCACGATTGGCCAGTGTATGTATGAATAAAGTGTATGATTGGTATACACCACGATTGGCCAGTGTATGTATGAATAAAGTGTATGATTGGTACACACCACGATTGGCCAGTGTATGTATGAATAAAGTGTATGATTGGTACACACCACGATTGGCCAGTGTATGTATGAATAAAGTGTATGATTGGTACACACCACGATTGGCCAGTGAGTGATGCAGGAAACCCTCCATGCTGTTTCTTGAAAGAAACGGACACTTTACTTTCATACCTACCTACAGGTCAAACATCTGATTTATAAGGAATGACTTTAAAAATATTATGAGGACAGCATGCAGCACTTTGATTCCATCAGCCTTTGTTTTATCTTTTTACATTAGATCTGCAAAAGAGGCAGAAGAAAAAATAAAGAAAGCTATAGAGAAAGGAGAAGTCTTGCCAACAGAAGCTAGATTTGACTCCAATTGTATCACACCTGGTAAGTGTTATCTCTCTATAAAGAGCATAACTTTATAAATGTACAAAATTCTGTATTGGGTTAACGCTATCTTTCTGATTCAGTCCAGATTTGAAAAAACAAAACATGAGGTATTTTATTTTATTAATCTGAATAGGCACAGAATTCATGGCTCGCTTGCATGAGCACTTGAAGTATTTTGTAAATATGAAGATTTCCACAGACAAGGCTTGGCAAGAAGTGTCCATCTACTTGTCTGGTCACGAGGTAAGTGTGAGCCATCAACCAGATGATTGCTTTGACCTCGAACACATTGCTGTTTATGGACGTACTAAAAAAGTGCTCATGGTTTCTATTTTTTGCTTCTCTAGACGCCAGGGGAAGGAGAGCATAAAATAATGGAGTTTATACGATCTGAGAAAACGAAGCCAGATCACGATCCAAACACAAGGCATTGCCTTTATGGATTAGATGCTGATTTGGTACGTATTTGTTGCCGTTTAATAGCCCCAGGTGTACAGTTTCTCTTTATTTATTTGTTTTTTATATTTTTTTTTTTTTTCTTTTCCAATATTATATGAAACATTTTATTGAAGAGATTGTTTTTGCTGGTTAAGCTTATCTGTGCTCAATATGTATTTAAAGACTTTTATTTTATTTTTTTATAGGCGTATTAATTCTGTAGTTTAGGGTGGAAAAAGCATTGGAGAAACAGTCTAACAATATAAGCATGTGTTTTCCCTGTTGAGCACTATTCATTATAATTCCATGTCGCTATCAGTCATCACCAATGGCCTTGTGCAGTCCAATCTAATGCAGAAATCGAGAAGCATTTTATTGGACTGATTTTCACCAGCTCTGTGTGTTAGAGGGGGTGGGTGAACGACAGAAAAATAAAACTAGCTTTGGTGCTATAGGGAGGTGTGGAGGATTAAACAAAAGCAGGTAGGTGTAGTATTGCAGAAGCACGGCCTACAGAGAACCTAATTACGCCTCTTGCCAGAGCACACTGCGTGCTGATGACAGAAGCCACTTTTGCACAGGATTAACATTAGGGAGTTCTGGGTTGCCTAGGTCGCATTGCCTGGCACAAAACTGAAAATATTTCTGTAGGTGCAGCTTTTCATGCAGTAACTCAGCACATACCAACTCCTACCACCATGACTTCTAAAAGCATAAGTGGTCAAGGTGGTTGGAGTAACTCTTTAAAGAAGCTGTCAGATTACTCCGCCTTGCTGCCCATAATAAATGTTAAGCTTGTCAGACTGTCATGTCGCCTTGAAAAATCATCCTGTCTTTTTTTTTATTTTTTATTTTTTTATTTTTTTAATTTCGTATTGTTGACTGCTGTACTTTTTTTTTCATAAGAACACCACAGCACTCAGCAATTTGTGATCTATAATGGTGGTCTTATTCAAAGTGATATATTAGTTAGTATGATTGCAGCCTTTGCATACTCTTTCCCTCCCCAGAGGCTTCTCAATGAGAAGTGTGTGCATTTTTGATTTTGGGTCTAGAGGAGCTGGATGTGCTTATTTGACATATGTGTGGGAGGAGGCAGGCACTGTCCACTCAGTGAAGCTAATGGAAACCTCCTTAGTTGTTTGAGATCCAGGGCTGGGCTTAAAATGGAATACTACTCCCCATAAAACACCTCTGCAAGCTGAAGTGCTTTTAGTGTGTGGATTGGTCCTTTTTAGACCTCCACTTGAATACTTTAATTTTGTATTGGTGCTGTGAATGCAAAGCTGGGTTATTGGCCACTGTTTTGTATAGCTGTCCCCCCTTTTATATTTATAAAGATTTGATACTTGATACCCTTTTTTTGAAAATGAGGTGTGTGTGTGTGTGTGGTTTGTTTGTTTGTTTGTTGTTTTTTTTTTTTTTTTTTAATTGGGTGTTTTTTGTTTAACACTCAAAATATTCAGTGGGACAAGCTAGCAATTACTTGTCATATTGTCTAAACCAGTGGTTCCCAACCCAGTCCTCAAGTACCCCCTACCAGTCCAGGATTTAGGGATTACACAGTTGTCTAAGGTGTTTTAGGGAAAAAAATAAATAAACTTTAGCCACAACAGGGTAATACCTAAATCCAGGACTGGTAGGGGGTACTTGAGGACTGGGTTGGGAATCCCTGGTCTAAACCATAAATTACATGCAGAATTGGTTTCTGTTCTTCCATTGAACTGTTCTTGCAGTGTTCCTTTTTAATTATAATTGTATATATTGTATCCATTGCTTTCCTTGTTCTTCCACTCCATTAAAATATTTGTGCTAATTTCTGACAAGGTCATTTTCTTCATTATATTCTGAATATTTATTTTCTCAGATTATGCTTGGTTTAACAAGCCATGAAGTTCACTTCTCTCTTCTAAGAGAAGAGGTCCGCTTTGGTGGAAAGAAAAATCAAAAAAGGTAACCTCTTATTTAATTCTGTTTGCAGGATCCCCATATTGTAATATACACCATGCCTTTTGCTACTAATATAAAATGGGATTAAATTGACACTTTAGTCACTGTAATTGCTTCATCTCACTGAAGTTGTTAATGTGTCCTGAGTCCTCTGGGGCTGTCATTCTAAGGAATGTTAAACTGTCTTAATGGTTTAATACTATACGAGAATCCCCTGCAGTCCATTCTTTGTGCTGCTTGGGCTAATGAGGAGGAAAGACAGCAGACTTTAGATTGGCTGAGAGTATCCGCTTACTGCTTTAAGCCCATGACCACCACCATTGCAGGTGTAATCACAGGGACCCTCATTTTGTGTTAATATGGTTTTAACATTGAATAGAAAAACTGCCAATAAATCCTGGCACTATAACCTTTTAAGTAGAAGTGTCCCTTTAAACATTGATATGTAATGTGCTTTTGTAAGGCGATTTATGTCTGTCTTAACAAGACAACATGCTAATGTACACTTGACATCTGTTCCGACTGAGAAACCGTGCTTACATTGTCATTTTGTTCCCTAATCAATCATAGGTGTCTGTTTAAAATTAGAAGTGGAACATTAAGGCATCAACCAAAATCTAGTATAGGACCATGTTAAAGATAACATGATAAAGATTGCTAACCATGTCACTCCAGGTAATTGTGGACCATTTCTAATGCTCAGGGAGCATATACTGGTTTACAGTTAGTCCACAAACCTATTCAGTGCCAAAATTACCAGTCCCCTTTTATAGGACGTTCTAAAGTGGACGTCTGACTATTAATGGGTTATCGTTTGAAATCCGCATGTACTTGTAATCTAAACTAAAGCTATTTTTACTTCTAGAGTTTTGTTCTCAAGCTTATAGGAAAGTATTTAACTTTTAGACTGCTTTTTCTCTTATGCCAGAGTTTCTACACCTGAAGAAACTACATTTCACCTTCTTCACTTGTCTTTAATGAGAGAGTATGTTGACTATGAATTTTCATCTGTAAAAGTGAGTTACTGATCATGTTCTTATGATGACATTAGATTTCCAAAATTAAATGTAGCAAAATATGGATTTCTTAACACTTTTTGTTTTTTGTTTTTGTAGAACAAGATTTCATTTGAATATGATATTGAAAGAATAATTGATGATTGGATTTTAATGGGATTTCTTGTAGGCAATGATTTTATTCCACATCTACCTCATTTGCATATTAACCATGATGCACTGCCTCTGTTGTACAGAACTTACATTAGTGTCTTACCAGAACTTGGAGGTATGTTTGTGGAAAAAAAGTTTTTATATATATTTTTTTTTTTTTTTCTCTCTCTACAAGAATATCTTCTTCTGTTATGTGTCAAGTAACTGTTTGCAGTACCTGTTACTGTTATATGTAACCATGGCAAAACCTTTTTTAATTTTATTTTGCTTCCTAGGTTACATTAATGAAAGTGGATATTTAAACCTAGTTCACTTCGAGAAGTATCTCACTAAACTTTCAGCTGTAAGTATATAGATCTTCATTATTGAAACAAAAGAACTTTTTTTTTTTTTTTTAACAATGGTGTGTATTATTTATTTTTATTTATTTTTCTTCTCCATTTAACACTCCCAGATGATAGATGAGCTCGGAATATAGTTGAGTTGGAGAATTTTTCCAGTTTACCCATTATGTGTTAAGTTTGCAATTCTTCAGTGAATTAATGATAGTTCAGTTTAGCAAATAATTTAGTTCCTTAGAGTGCCCTCCACTAATATTGGAACCAGGGTTGTCAATATTAGTGGAGGACACTCTGTATAAAAGTACCTGAGATATGCCTTTGACTGTCCTGTTCCTGGCTAATTGAGACTACTCGCTGAAGTCTAAACTGAGCAGCGCTAATTGCTAAAGGAAAATCTGTGTTGACTAAGATATAGATATATATTACGTTATGTTGGCATGACTCTTGCTTGTACCTGCTAATATACAGTGCTGCTGACAGCCATTCATTCTGCACTTCTTATTTCTAGTTTGACCGTGAGCATTTCAATGAAATCTTTGTTGATCTGAAGTGGTTTGAAAGTAAAGTGGGCAATAAATACCTCAATGAGGCTGCAGGCCAAGCTGCTGAAGAAGCCAGAAATGGAAAGAAAAAGAAAGGCAATGTTAGTTCTGATCCTATATACTTGGGTTTTTATTAATATTTATTTTAATTGAATTATATATTTTTATTTTAATCTTGATCCTTTTCAAATTTAAAAAGAAAACTAGTTTTGATTCCACTCCACACAATGAGATCATGTGTGATTCCATCCCTACCAGTATTTATAGCAGCATGCTTGGAACATCTCCCTCCACCCCTCTAGTCTCCCATATTGTCAGCATGCTCTGTGTGTGCTGATGTCAGAAGTCCAATATGCACATAATTAACATTAGCCATCAGAACTCCTGTTCAGGGCTGGCTAGAGGCGCTCTAATGACTCTACTGAAGGTGGAGTTACGCCTCCTGCAGCAGAGTGGGTAAACTTTCATTGCAGAACACTGCACATACAGTTTCCAAGTACCTGGCCACTTCAAATCACTGATATAGTCATGGTGCTTGGGAGTAACCCTTTAATTCTCTAAATTCATGTTTACGCAGGCTACTGACACTTTATGTTTGGTTGCATTGGAAAATAATGGAGCGGAAAGTCCCAAATGTAAGTATATTTAATGTGTAAGATGCAATGCAAAAAACAATGTAAAGCAAGCACAAGCTTTATTTTTTTTTATTTTTTCCTGTCCTATTGTATTTTATATCCCCACCTTCTATAGACTATAAGCTTGTTTAAGCAGGGTTCTCTTCAACCTATTGTTACTGTAAGTTTTTTTTGTTTTTTTTTGTAAAGCGCTTCGGAATCTGTTGGTGCTATATAAATGCCAATAATAATATAATTTTATGGATGAAAATGTGTTTCAAAAAGTGTGCCTTAGCCTAATTCCCTTTTTTTTTTTTTTTGAGCGATTTCACCTTAAATATAAAATTGACTTGTTTTTGTTACAATAATCTGTGTTTTAGTTAGACTAAGAATATTTCAGCCACTTGTATTTTGGTTTGTTTGCCCTTGCTAGGTATTGAAGAAGACCCAGAAGATGAGGACTTGTTTGAGACAGAGTTCAGACAGTACAAGAGGGCGTACTACATGTCTAAAATGGGAGTGGAAGTTGTATCTGAGTAAGTAAATAATCATCTAAAAAAACAAACAATAGTTAATTTGATCATGCATTTCAAGGTGTGTGGTTTTTATTTTTAACACTACTCTCTTTCCTAAACCTCCTTACTTGTGCCCATATTTGTTCTATTTTGCATTTTCTTTGCCTTTATAATTGTTTTATAATGTGCTGTTCAGTTTTATTCATTATAGGAATATCATTTCTTATTTATTTAAGTGAGTTTCTGGCGAATCAGGCTGAATGTTATGTCCAGGCAATACAGTGGATTTTGCACTATTACTATCATGGAGTCCAGTCCTGGAGCTGGTAAGGGGATACTTGTTCAACTGAGCATATTGCCACTGCTTGCAAATGTATTTAATCATTTTTTAGTATTTCAGTCTTCCTTGCCTCGTGGCTACATACAAGACCAACCATTTAAACCAGAGACCAAGGTTGGCTTACCTAAAAACAAAACAAAAACACTTTATTTTTATTTATTTTTTTTTATTCTAACTGCTGGGGAACCTAATCCTGTATTTGACAGTTGCAGCATCTCTCAGCATCTTGTGTCCATGGCCATGAAGGAATTATCTTTTTATGTTTCTAAATGTAGGCTATAGTAGGATTTAGTTGTCCACAGCTGGCATATATTTGGAGCAGTTGCTTGCTTTGAAGTAAAGGGTGATTATTTTCAAAGCACATTAAAATTGAAACACAAACTCATCACGCAAAAAAGTTTACTTTTTTATATAATATATATAATTTTTTTTTTTTTTTATTCACTCTTTTATTAACATATTATTGAGATTAAGTGTGAAAATGAAATTTATTTTACAGCTCTTCATAACCGTGAGATGTATAGATCTAGAGAGATATAGATAGCTGTCTCTACATTGCAGATTGCTAGTTATTTGACAAAATCTAGTGATTGTTAAACACTGCAATGTTATGCTTTTACTCTGTTGGATTTCATATGCACCTATGGTTTTATGCTTTTAGGTACTATCCCTACCATTATGCACCATATCTGTCTGATATCCAAAATATTGGCCACCTCAAGCTTAGATTTGATTTGGAAAAGCCTTTCATGCCCTTTGAACAGCTGCTGGCTGTTCTACCAGCTGCCAGTAAAGACTTGCTGCCTCGGGCATACCAGGTAACGTGTGTTAGTGGTTTTATTCACTTATTTTTATTACATTTTCTCCCCTTTCCCTTCGTTGATATATTCTCTCTCATTGTGTGTACCAGAGTTTAATGACCAATGAAGACTCCCCAATAATCGATTACTACCCACAAGACTTCAAAACTGACCTTAATGGGAAGCAGCAAGAGTGGGAAGCAGTGGTGCTGATCCCTTTCATCGATGAAGTAAGTCCTGTCTTCTACTCTGCACTACAGAACAATCTAAATTGTTGATGAAGATCTATAGAAGGATCCCGTGATGCTAGTATTCATTTATACCAAGCAGGAAAGCTCTATAGACAACATGACTTTTAGCACATTTTCAACGCTTTAGCGTTCTGATTGGACAATATATGATGTGTAAAGCCGAAGTGGCAGACCGTTTCATTGGTAAATCTTCCCAACCTAAATCTGCTGCGATTTATGTTAATCTGATAGCCCCTCCTCCAGTCGTCTTTTATTTCCAGGAATTTAAATATTCGTCTAACCATCCAAGGTTGAGTGAATTTAAAACTAGAAGGCAGAAATGATCATGTTTATTACTGATGTGCCAAGAGAGGCTTGGTTTCTGTCAAATCTAACAAAAAAATGACACCCAAAGACTCCTTGCACCATAACCACTGTAATAAAATGTATTCATCATGATTCTTAGTGCCCATTAGGAGCTCATCCTTTTCAATTATGAAGATGAAGGGTTTTCTATTGTAATTCGATCTGATGGGTGTTGAGGCAGGGTTGTATGCTAAGGCTTCTCTGGCTCCTACAGAAACGATTGCTGGATGCCATGAATTCCTGCAATAGCTTCCTCACAGATGATGAAAGGAAGAGAAATCAACACAGCGAGTGCTTTAAATATTGGTATGACAAAGAGACAGATTTCAAGTACTTCTCACCTTGGCCAGAGAAATTCCAGCACATTGAACGTTGCCATGGAAGGTAAGACCTCCTATAATGCTTGTTTTGCTTGTGCATACCACATAATTCTCATAGTCGATGGCTTCATATGTCATTTGGGAATCACATGTTCGATCCATGTTAAATTTTTGAAATTCTTATTCTAGGTACAAAGCCATTTCCCTGGATGCTTGGCATGTAGATATGGTTAATAACAAAATAACAAAGGTCAACAAAAGTGCACTGTATTTTTGTGGCTTTCCTACTTTGAAGCACATTAAGCACAAGGTAACTTCTTTGTTTATTTGCCTTAAAAATACTTTCATATGAATAAAGCATTGATTCTGGTATGCAAGGTCAGTGAACCTTTAAAAATACATCTTGGCATCGTGGTCAACATACAGGGTTAGTCATGCATTACTCCGAACAAGAAAGACCACTTTTTTGTGTTCGTGTATATCACAGGCTAGGTAATAGGCTATAGATATGCGTCTAGGTCGATAATATAACACATTCCTACACAAGAATAAACTGTCTAGTCTAAGCTAAAATTAAGACAGGAATATGAGAATAGCAAAATGATCAGATAGTGCTTGGTGAGTACGCTAGTAGTGTTCAAGAGCTAGGGTTAATGGTTTTAACCCAAAAAGACTGTATAAAGGCCTGTTTTGTGTGTGTTTTATATTTATATATTTTTATGTTAAAAAAAATATTTATATTTATTTTTATCTTTCCTGTGAATTTTTATGAATGAGACTCCTTTCAGTGGTAGCTTATCTTGGCACCCCAAATGTTTAATAACATGTCCCATGTAGTACAGCCAGTCCATAAGGATTTTATTTATTAACTGCCAAAAAAGAAATAAACAAAAGCAATACCTTGTGTCCTGTGTCAATTGTTTGTGTTCATATTTTGCTCAGTATTCTCTGAAGAAGTCTGGTGTTCAAGTTTTCCAGCAGAGTAGCCGAGGAGAAAACATGATTTTGCATATCCTTTTTAATGAAGATGCTGAAACAGAACAGGTGAGCAGGTCACATGCTCTTTGTGCTTGTCTGATGTGACTGCTACAGTGTGAGTATAAATGGTTTTAATGTATTACAAAAAGAGAGATGGATCTATATATATTCACTGTAGATCCTTGCACTCTGGCTGTAAATGAGTCAAATGGCTGGGTGCAATACCAGAGTTCCAATATTTAACTATAGATTGAAGAGTGCTGCACTCAGCGTCTTGAGTAAAACTCAACTTGTATTCTAACACTGTTAAAAGAAAGATCAACGTTTCAGTCCCATTCAGGGACTTCCCTCAGGATCACAAATCTAAAAACAACATACATGGCTTGTGTGTGTATGAAATTTATTCACTTGCCCCAGGTGCAGTGTAGAGACTGGCGCCCTGCCGGATCCCATGTGCGAGCAAGCTCAACTCCCACTTGTGAAGTGATGATGCTTCCTTCGTTGCTATGGCAGCACGGCTTGTCGGTAATCACTGTGGAAATGTGGAAACACTGCTGTGAATGCTCGATCTCGAGCACATAAGTGTCTTGTGGTAATACTTATGCAGCGCAGTTCTTTCAGAAGTTTTCTTTCATTTTGTATTTAGATAAATAATTGTTTATTTTGGGTTATTTCAGGCTGTGGAGAATGTCGCCGCTGCTGTGCTCGGGAAGTCCGTGTTTGTGAACTGGCCTCACTTGGAAGAAGCCCGGGTTGTCATGGTGTCAGATGGAGAGACAAAGCAAGTGACTTAATTCTTACAGTAATTCCAACTTAATGTATTTGGTATTTGTTTCTGCCTTTTAATATATTTTGTTTTAGTTCTAATTATCTGATGATCACAGTTGGCAATTAAAGGGACACTTATGCACCACATCTTAATGAACTGGCTTTTATGCTTAGACCTTGTCCCTTTTGTGTGGTGTAAAGCTGTTTACATTTTGCCATAACCACTCCTCTTTTGGCTGTCAATTACTGCCAGAAGGAGAACTTCCTAGACAAACGTTCTGCAACATCACTTACAGCAAAATACCACGGAACACTGTAAAGACTTCTCCTGGAGAAGCATTTGATATAGTGCCTAGCTATAAGAAGTATCTGATTGATTAGCTTAGAGTGGTGGCTTCCATGCATTTCCAGTAGGTTCCCAATGCTTTTCTATTGGATTGGACCAGAGATCAACCGGACTTATGATCTCAGAAGCAGAGGAGAAAGCAGACCATTAGACTAACTGGCGCTGACTAAAAGGTCCACGTCTAAAAGTAGTTAACACATAAAATGTTTACTCCAGGTAGAAATTCTTACATTTTATATATTTATTGGTTGCTGCCACTAGATGCATCTGTGCTTTTATCCTTTCAGATTCTATCTAGAAGAACCTCACGGAACACAGACACTTTACACTGGAAGCTTGGTTCCACCAATCAAAGTGACCTACGTTGGTGACAAAGAGCAAAACATTTGGGTGAAGGAAGTCCAGGGAATCTCTGAGCAGTAAGTTGGAATTGCAACAAAAGGATTGTTTATCCTCCGTGGTAAAGGTTCATCATACTCAAACATGTAACTGTAAATCTTTTGCAGGTAGCCTGGTGAAGAGCAACACTTGTACTGACTGAAGTAACCACTCAGTATTTAAATTTGCCTAGTCCTCAAAGTTTATAAAGATAATTTTCTTTCTATGTACTGTAACATTTTTTCTTCTCCCCTGAATCTCAGTTTTATGTATTAATATAGAGCATCAATTTTACATATTTTCTAGTTTACTGTGTGCCCTTGGTAAACTCATGCATTTCTTTATAGCTATCAGAGGAGAAAGGGAGTCATTATCAATGAGACATCAGTAGTTTTGTATGCTCAGCTGCTGACTGGCCGTCGGTACCAGTTATCACAAAATGGAGAAATTACTTTTGAGAAACAGTGGTCCAAGCAGGTGCTCCCTTTTGCATACCAGACCATCGTCAAGGTGAGAATAGAATAAGTGTCATTATTACACTTCTTTTTAAAGTTAGTTGTATGGTTTTCTGAGCCCTGTTTCTGCACATGAAACACTGATCTTGTAAATGATCTAGTGATTTAAAGTGCAGTGCTTCTGTAAGGTCTTGAACAATTGTCATGCAGACTGTTTGTTTGTAAGGGTCCCCGGGTTAGCTTATCTATGGTTAGACAAAGCCTGTCTAACTGAGCAATGAAGGAAAAATCCGAATTGACCCTGATTGCTTCCAATAGTAGGTATAATTGATTTCTGATATCAAGCTGGAACAGAGTTTATTTAGGTTTTCCACATACCAGTCGTGAATGTTCATTGTAGGGAAAGATGCATAGTTGGCTCTAAATTTGTATTAAATTAAAACAAATGTACTGCTCTAACTTACCCTGTTTAAAATAATAATAATTGTGTAATGGGTCATAATACATTGATTTTTGAATAGTGTATATGCTGATCAAGCTTGAAATCTGTTTTGGACTGAACGAAGAATATGTTCTCCTTCTATATAACCTAAAATTTTGTTAAAATGTGCAATTTCACCTTGCAGCTTGGCCATATAGCACCTGTACTAATGCAGGTTTGTGGGAGGGGAGGTGGCGTTTTTTTATTTATTTATTTTTTTAATCTTCTTCATTTTCAGGATATTACTGCCTTTGATCCTGGTTCCACCCGATTCAAAACTCTTGGTGAACTTTTTTGCCCTGGAAGTATTGCATTCATGTTGGGGAATCCTTATTATGGCTGCATGGGAGAGGTACATCTATTTAAACCATAAACAATGGGTGCTTAATTTTAAATAACGCTGTAGCATTGGGAATACAAACCTATTCATAATTCTGTAGATTTCTGCTGGTTTTTTTTATTTTTTTATTTTTTTTTATTTTTTATTCATTTCTTCTGTGGTATGAGGCTGATTGAGAATTGTCATTTGGGCTTTTATTTTCTGTATGATCAAGGACCTATGGGGAAGTTAAAGTGGAGTCTATTGCTTTCAGATAGCGGGATGGTAATGGTTTACAGTTTTCTTCCTATGAAGGCTAATCTTTTTTTGTTTTATTCATCTCTGTTATATTGTTGACACTCTACATTGGAACCTATACATTTACATATTTCACCGTAGCCATTTTCAAAATGCAGTTTAAATTCTCTTCACCTATAAAATTCTTGCTGTGAACTTTTTTTTTTTTTTCTTATTTATTTCCCCTTTTTATAGAAGTATCAACATGTCTGTCTGTGTTTTGCAGGTGCAGGATTCTTCTGATGTGCTTAGTGAGAACAGAGTCCGTGTTCTTTTTAACATTCCCCAGGAGCCACAACTAGATGCCTTAATACTGAATCAGCATGTAAGAAAATCCTGCTATTACTGGTTTTATTCATATGGTGCCTCTCCTGTTGTGTTAAAGTGACACTGTAGGTTCAGCTCTTTGGACTAGCCTCGGTTCAATGTCCCTTAACCCTACAGTGGTGGGAATTGTAGTTTCTCAGAAACTGCAATAATTGCCTGCTAGGGTTAACTCCTCCTCTAGTGGGTGCCTATCAGTTGGCCACTAGAGGGACTTCCGGGTGATTAGATGACTTTTGGATGTTTAAATGACGCTGGCCGTCCTCACACGTGAGGACTTCCAGCGTCACCGGAATCCCCATAGGAAAGCATTGATTAATGCTTTCCTATGGGGAAATCCTAATGCGAGCGTGGCCATTGCTGCGCATGCATGTTGGGTCTCCCCACCGGCTGAAGTTGGCATGGGAGGAGTGGACGGAGCCTGACCCAGCACCTAGGGACATCTGTGCTGCATTCAGGTAAGTGACTGAAGGGGTTTTAACCCCTTCAGCACTGAGGGAGGGGGCACTGTAGGAACCTATCCCTTTTAAGGTCTATACCTGCTCTACTGATGTCTTTGGTTTTAAAATATTCACACACATTGAGTTACAATCTATTGTGGATGTGTTGCAGACATTTTTAATTTTAAAGTGACAACTAATTTTAGAATTAGATTGTATATGCCCCTGGCAAAATTATGCTATTTGTATCAACTGCTCGCTTTTCTCTAATATTGCTTGTTTTTTTTATATTCCTGTAGAAGTTTTCTGTAAAGTATAACCCTGGTTATATCTTGGCGAGCCGCCTTGGGGTGAATGGTTACCTCGTTTCTAGGTTTACTGGGAGTATCTTCATTGGCAGAGGATCCAAACGAAAGTAAGGTTTAAAAAAAAAAAGTAAAATGTCCATGTACTATTTTGGAAGTCTAGTCGTTTGCATTCTCAGCTGAATTTTGCTTAATTCTGGTGTACAGTCTGCTGCTACTTGAGTGAATGATCTGTGTGAGTGGTGAATTTCATAAGCAGCACCACATTGGATGGCAGTTATTTGTTCTTATTACCACTTCAGTAGCCAGAGGGCTAAAAGTAGCCTGAAGTTTTAAAAAAAGAATTAAAATGTATTTCTCTCAAACTTGATATACGGGTTGTCGGCTCAGTCAGGTCTAAATTTTCCTGGAAAAGTTGAATAGCATTATCTTAAATGTCCCTTGACTAGTGCCAGAATGATGCAATGGATGAAATATATATTATAATTTTTATTTTTTTTTTATTTTTTTTTATTTTTTTTTATTATTATTTTTTTTTAATGTCTAATAATGTCATTTAATTTTTTTGATAGCATTGGGTAGTGTTGGGAATGCTTTTGTTTTTGATTAATTTTACTTAAAATGTTTTCACACAATAACTATTTGTGATCACTTTGATAGTTGTAGTAATTTCATGTTGCTTATGAAGAGACTTGACTGCTGAATAATTCTCATGTCATTTTTGTAGTCCTCACGGAGAGCAGAGGGCGAATGTTGGCCTAAATCTGAAGTTCAATAAGAAAAATGAAGAAGTTCCTGGGTACACCAAAAGAGTAGGAACTGAGTGGACATATTCATCTGCTGTAGAACAACTTCTTGGTGACTATATCGAAAGGTAAAAAATCCCTATGGGTTTTAGTGTTTGGTGATTCACATAAATGCTTGATCCATTTGTGACGTGTTGGGCAGAACATGTTCTACAATTGCTACTTCCCATTCCGCTGTGCAATGATGATAATCTGGTGACTGGTGCAGATTTGGGCTGTTTTTAAAGGATTACTCCAATCAAAAACCTATGATTAAAAACGCTAAGATCCCAAAAGGCAGGTCTTTCCCAGATCATATCTTGCATGTGCAGTGAGCTGCCACGGGTATTTACTGACTCATGTCGTAAGGTTATTTTCCCTCACCATTGATGGCTGTTGGCAAAGGGCAACATAGGCAAGTGGAAACTCGCTAGAGACTTTGCAAATATGTGCCACTTTTTGTGTTTAAATTTCAGTTAAACTTGGGCACTGCCTATAGGAGATTTTTTTTTTTTCATAGAGATTCTGTATTTATGAAGAATTCAAATGTAACAGAGCTTACTTGAATGGACATCCAAACTGGAGTTGACAGACTATCTTTTCAATGCATTATGGATCTAAAATATCATTAAACATGCCCAGGCAACTATTGATTAAAGCATTTTTTTTTCTTTACTGTAAACCCTATGGATCTGCTGAGTTGTCTCGTTATCTCAGCAAGTTCGATCCTCCAAGTATGCCATTTCATTTTTTAAATTTTATTTTTTCAAAGGAAGGGAAAATCTCTGCAAACAATTAGCAGCCACTGGGCAACTATTTTTCCATTCAAGTACCCTTAAGTATATGTGCAGTTCCTCTAGTGTAATACTTTCATTGAAAGCTGAATGAGTCCATACAAGTAACTTAGGAGTTCGATGGTGTGTGCACAATGTTCAGAGTCCAAAATAGGGGTTGGGCATATAGCTCCTGTGACCTCTTAATTATGTTTAGAATTGATTAATGAAATTAACAGAGACTGGTCCAAATGAATCTTTGCACAATTTTTTTTTTTTTTTTTTCCTTTCTTTTAAAGGTACCCAGAATTGTTTACATACATCTCTAAACACAGCCAGGATGATGTGTTCTATGAGGATGACATCTGGCCAGGAGTCGAGGAGAATGGGTGAGAAATCGATCCATTTATTACAAAATAGTCTGGTGATACTTCTGTGTGATATGCCCACAACCCTTTGTCTCATTGTTTTGATAGTGCTGAGAAGGTCCAAGAAATTGTGTCCTGGTTAAAGGCTCATCCTGTGAGCTTGCTGTCTCGATCATCTTGTGATTTACAAATCTTGGATTCTGCCATAGTTGAGATGATTGAAGAAGAAATCGAAAAGTGCAAGGTTGGATCAGCAATTAAAAAAAGTTTAAATCAAATTAATTATTCTACAAGAGGGAGTTGTAAAACTCTCCTATTGCTTTGCCAGATTAATTAGTAACCAGTTGTCCACCATCCACCGTACTACAGAAATATATTTAATAATTCTACGGTCATCCGCTTTACGTGATTTCAACAGTATATGAGGGGTATATTTATGTGAGACACCCGTACACTACAATACCTGCTTTCCATAAGTAATTTCCCTTAAATTAAATGTGGGATTGCCAGCGGTAAGAAACAAGTGACACATCATTAGCTTTGAATGTAAAATAATCAGTGATATAACGGTGGTTCCAAACCCAGTCCTGTTGTCACATCAGCAGTAAGATTACTGACAAAACCTGTACCATTAGTGTGCTTTGAGGATTGGATTGGGAAGCACTGGTCTATGGGATGAAATGATGTGCTTTTATGTTGCGGTCTCACAGAGGGGAAGTGTGGTGCCTGGATTGGTATGTTTTGTTGTCTTGGTAATTTCTGTGCTCTGTATTTTGCATTGTGAATTGTGTAACCTTCACTGTCTTTGTTCTGCTTTCTAGCTAAAGAAGAGCAGTAAAAAAGTGCGCGTTACTGTGAAACCTCATTTATTATTCAGGGTAAGTTACTTAAAATTTGTATTTGCAACTTTCTTTTAAACATGCCTGCCAAACCACATGAATGAGGGCAGCCAGCCCTAAAAATGTTATCCAGCTTAATAAAAAGAATCCTTTTGCTCCGTCTCCAATATAAGTGATTTTTTTTTTTTTTTTTTTTTTAAACAAAATTGATATTGCAAGCTGTTTCCATACTGTAAAGTTTAGTCTTCTAACAAATTATTCTTTATAACCCCCTTCCCCGTGTCACTATGTTTGGCACTGTGCACAAAACAGAAGTCTGTGACATGGGGCAAAGCTTACTTTTCATGTTGGGAAGCAATGTGCATGGCTGAATGGTGTGTGGGTTTTTTTTTTTTTTTTTAAATTACCACAGTGTAGAACAAAAAGCAATCATGGTTTTTAATTTAATTTTATTGCATTTTAATATAGTTTTTAGTTTTGTATGATTGTTGAAAATGTAAAATGGCCCACAGATGCAAATATTGTACTGCAAATTTATTTTGATGGAGCATATTTAAAACTTTTCTGCTGTGATCTTAATGATATAGGAATTTTGATTTTGCACAACATACGGTATAACATCGCTTTTTTGGGGTGGGTGTGGGTGGGCTGTAAATGTAGTTGCTGCAAACTGTTCCATGTGCAGTATGTTTCACTTCCAAGTCTCTTTGTGTGACAGCCCCTTCAGCAACAGCATGGTGTGGTTCCGGACCGAGATGCTGAATTCCGCCTGTTTGATCGAGTTGTTAACGTGCGAGAGAGCTTCTCTGTCCCACTGGGTCTCAGAGGGACTGTTATTGGCATCAAAGGAGGTGGCTATGAATCAAGTTTTTTTTTTTTTTTTTTTTTTTTTTTTTTTTTTTTTTTTTTTTTTTTTTTCGTCCTTTTATTTTTCTGGACGTATTACAAATAGACTTTAAAGTGTATGATGAACTTCTCATTGATATTATCAGCACTGCCCCTGAGAGCAGCTGAATTAAACAAAAAAAATAATAAAAAAACACTTGCGCATGTGTTCCTTAGTTTTAGTATAGTTGGGCAAGTCATGTTTGAATAAGCAACTGATAATCATCCCTGCTAAAATGAAATTGTGTTAACATACTGGAATGTTTAGATTCTATGCTTTGTTCACAAATTTGTCAATTAGTTGTATATAGATTGCATAACAATCTCTATCTTTGTAATTGAAGCTGAGCGTGACATGGATGTGCTTCTCGAGGTATTGTTTGATGAAGAATTCCTTGGTGGGCTTACATTAAGGTATAGTTTTAGGTTTAAATCGATGTACAGCAAACTGTCAAACTTTCAAGTAGTTTGTGAAATAAATTTAAAAATGTTATTTTTCAAACTAGATGTTCTCAGACTAGAGGTTATCGTTTGCCAACAAGTGCCTTAATCAATCTTTCTCACGGTTATCGTGTTGAAACTGGAGGTCAGAAACTTACTGCTGTAGTAAAACCACAAGCAACATCCAATCACTTTGACCCTTACTCCCCTGAAGTCTCTGCAAGAGGATCACAAAAAGGCCATCTGGGAGCTCTCAACCACTCTCCACGCTCCCTTTTTATTCCTACGAAGGTGAGCCTCCACATTTATTTGCTATAGCATTATTATGCTGCCATATGTGAAACAAAATGGGGCGTTTACCTTTAATTGACTGCAAACATTGCCACAAGCATATAAATTACATTAAAGAATAATTTGCATATTGTAATAAAAAGGAATGCAGAAAATGCATTGAAACATCCTTGTTTTCCAAAGCTGGAGATTGACATTGTGTACATTTTGTATTCCTTTGAATGTCACCAGGATTTTCACAGCAGACTGTTTGCACTTAAAATGCAGTTCTGATACTTCAAAAATAGGAATTTCAAAAAGCACAAATGTTTTCTGCAAATAGTAATACATGTAAAACAAACATCTACTTGACTGCCCAGTCTGGCGGTTAAACTATGATGATTACACAACACTGTTGATTCCCTTTAATTTCTCAGCCATGTCTGAGCTGCGTATGAAAGTCTCTGTATGGGGACTAAACTGCTTAGTGACAGAATTTACCAGTTCACTGATTTCTCTGTTATCCTTCAGCAAAATGGAAAGCCGCATTATCAGGGAAGTGCTGGCTCACCACAGAAAGGATTTGTTTCTGCTGGAAATCAGAAGCAAAAGGCAAGTTATCTGAAATCTTATTGTCTAAACTTGTGCACCTTTTTGTTCTGTCGTTTCACATGTTTTAGATCTTTCAGAATGCAGACTGAGCTTCAAGCACGGTCCACACATATCTGTTCTTGGCTAATGTTATTACTTTATTTTTTTTTTTTTATCTAGACTCCGCAAAAACAAGACGATGAATATTGCAACGTGTGGCAGTCCCTACAAGGATCTGGAAAATCACAACATGCACATCAAAACATGCACAACAAGGTTTGTTTATTATGGCACAAAAAATGTTTCGAAGTATACAGGCTGGAAATCATTTAGTTTTTTTTTTATTTGTGATAGGGTGCTAGTCTACCTCAGGAAAACAAGCCTGAAGATAGTAACCAATTTCATAAATCAGGCTCTGCTGAGAATCTCCCAAAGTGCCAGCAAAGAAAGCAGGAGTCTGGATGGAAAAGTAAGTTGGAAAATATTGCAACTTAATACTTTGTTTACTTTTCCATACCCCAAAAAAAAAAAATCTGAATAAGATTACATCTATTCTGGGTGAGAAACATTGGCCATGTTTGTGGTCACTGATTGGGCAGAGGATGTTGTAGTTAAAGGAGAATATGTATTTATGAGCTGGGGAAAAAACGAAATGTAAAAGTAGAAATCCACAACTCTTTTTATTTTGTGACTGGGTGTCTGTCTTGCCTCCCTGTCAATCATTGTTGTTGGTTCTATAATATTTATTCATGGTAGACTCCTGGTAGAAAAGAAGCATTAAAAAAGTGTTTTCTCTGGCTGTAATTCATATTGATGTCCTTTGATCAATCCTTTAAGATATAGTTAAAAGAAAAAATGGAATCACATGATAGTGTTAGAGGAACACTCCATACACCTAAAGCACTGTAGCTTTCCAAAATGCTTTGTTTAAAATTTTAGACCGTGCACATTTCAGCAGAAATTCAATTCGACATCTAGTCCTGTTGTATCCTGGTTTATTTACCTCAGTGGAGACAAACGCAAGAGATAGACAATAGCCCAGAGCACCTGCCTTGCAAAGGTTGCAGACGAGATCTGTAGCTTTTCCAAGCATTTATTTATTTATTCAATATCCACTGTGATTTAAAAGTAAAATAAAATACTACATGCTTGAGTTAGGTTTGCAAAATGTACCCGTTTTTTATTAAAGTGCTTCTCTCAGGACAATAACGTGCAGAAAATTTATTTTGTAACTTCATATATTTTAGTGAAAGACGATTTCAAGTTTACAAAGAATGAAAACCAGAAGCAGGAAGAATTAAACAAACAGGTAAACTACCTTGATGCTGGTGTTATCGTACATGTTTCTGGAGACGTTTTGCCATTTCCCAAAGGGAACTGATTTCTTTTCACAAGTTTGCAATTACCTTTTATTATGGATGCAGAAATGCTAAAATGAGAAAATGCTGGCTACCATAAAATACCAAAACTTCCCATATCTCCTATTATACATAAAAATAAAAAAAAAGTTTCAAGTAACTTTTTTTTATTTATTTTTTTAATAAATCCTCAACTACCTCAGTTCAGTGTAATTTTGCTAATCACTCAAGGTGCCGCTATTTTCTACCCTTTTACGTCAAATGCTGCTGAGCAGCGGGCATTGTATATCCTGTCCAGATTTACTATACACAATCCTGATTCTTTCAATATAAGTCACATACAAATGATATATTGGCAATATTCGCTTGGCCTTCTCAGCCCCTATCCATGTATTCAGATCACTCAATTGCCTTTCTCAGAAGTTGTACTTATTTTCTACTGACAATCTGTGGATATAAACATGCAAGTTTTAAACAAAAATAAAGTTAAAATCTTGTCAGCTGGATGGCATAAAAACAGCATGTGTGTTTCTGGATGCATGCTATTTTTAAACACACCCTGACAACTAACCAAATCAACACGCTTACAAACCAATCCGTGTCGCCTGCCACGAAAGCAGTGGTTTGGTAGTGAAGATTTTAGTGACTTCTACTGCAGTGAGAGCTTTTTTTTATATTCTATGACTTATTTTGAATGGAATCACTTAAAACAAGTCACTCACTGTAGGTATAAAACATGAAGGGTGTGAAATATTTTAACTTCATTGCTTTAAAAACACAAGAGTTGAATATGTTTCCAAGCAGACTTACAGTAGTGGGATTGTAAATTTATCTGTACTGTTACAGAATGTTTCCAAACCTGGTAAACAGGTCAAGCTTTTGAAGAGAAATGACCATCAATCTGAAAGTCAGATGGATAAAATTAATCCTAGCAGCATAGATGGAAAGGTAATGAGCCATGTTCTCTGTGCATGTGTCTTCTCTAATTACAAGACATTATATATGGATTGTCTATGATGAATTTTGACAATTTACACAAATGCTCATCTGTTTTGTTTGTTTTTCTCCTAGTTGAACAATGAATTTGAAAACTTTATTGCATCCCTGAATATTTCAAAAGAACAAGGAGGGCAGCCTGCTGCTTCCACAGAGGCCAAAGACACTACCGAGGAACACTTATCTCCACAGTCTTTTGCCATGGTTCGTAATTATCATATAAATATGATCTCTTCTTTTTTTAAATGGTTGTGGTCATTAAGCAACACTGTCACTTTCCTAAACTTGGACTATACGGGGAAAAACCTGCATGGTGGAGAAGGGACACATGTGTTTGTACAGTTTTGGGAAAAGCCACAGCTTTAGTCATCTACTTGCCTCGCATGAGGGATGATTGAGTGAGAAGATCTATACAGAATCTGTCGACTTACAGTATCCTGTTTTATAATAAACTTGAGTTACTTGGATGGTCCATGGCAAAATCACCAAAGGTGATATTCTACTAGCCATGGATAAATTTCACTCGCCATTGGCGAATGGAAATATATTATCTCTGTATCCAGCTCTTCGACCGTGCATCTGTTTCTTTGGAACCATCTTTTTGTTTCCCATTCAACCTCTTCAGGCCTGAAATTTTACCACAATCCTGGAGCTTCACTGCAAGAACTAGCCCTGCTTTTAGGCAATTCATAGAAAATATTTGTCTGGAAATGGGCAATATAGTGTCCGTTACTGTCCAATTACAAGCATCCTTAAAGGGACACTATAGTCACTAAAACAACTTCAGCTTAATGCAGAAGTTTTTGTGTATAGATCATGCCCCTGCAGTCTCATTGCACAATTCTGTAATTTAGGAGTTAAATCACTTTATTTATGCAGCCTAGTCACAACTCACTGCATGTGACTTGCAATGCCTTCCTAAACACTAATGTTTACACTTCCTTTATTGCAAATTCTTTTTCATTTAGAATTTATCTCCTGCCCTGTTAATAGTCTGCTATACCCTCCAGGAAACTCTTGTATGTAATTGAAGATCAATTTACAGAGCAGGAGACAAAACTTTAATCTGATTGAAATTGGAACCTTTTTTTAAAATGAAGTCTGTGTCCGTCACAGCCAGGAGGGAGGGTTGCCTAAACAAAAACAAAAGTGATTGAACTCCTAAATGACAGAGAATTGAGCAGTGGGACTTCAGGGGCACAATCCATACACTAAAACTTCTTCATTAAACTAAAGTAGTTTTGGTGACTACAGGGTCCCTTTAAAGAATATACTTCACATATACTGTACAAGTCACTCATTCCAACAATTCAAGAACTGTGAAAATACCACTGGCACTTGCACTTTGTGAAGTTTAAGATCTAGACAGAAAAAGATGGTTATAGTTAATCAAATAGATTTTCTTTAGCTATAAATCGGTAGGGGGGTGTGTGTGCGCACGTGTGTGTGCGTAAAATAAACCTCTCACCTTGTGAGACATTAAGCAGTAGTGACGTGGTAGGATGTTCTGTGGAAAAAAAAGTATTGTATATTCTGTTATACAATACGTGCTACTCTTATTTTGGAGTTAATTCAGTGCTAGAATTTTAGATGGGTTTTAAACATAACAGGTATTGTAACAAATTGGGTCTTAAACAGTCCCTTCAAAATACAGAGCTTGATGTGTGGGTTGAAATGGCGATTTGTTTATAAATGATTGTTTCCAGGCTGTTTATCCCTACAGGACAAAGTGTGGTAGGTTATGATTGCTTTATATTTTGCTTGATCTTTCAGAAAGGAACACAAATGCTGAAGGAGATCTTGAAGATTGATAGTACAGAACCTGGAGACCAGCAACACAAGGAGACTAAGAAAGATCCACCTTCAGTACCTATGCTGCACAAACAAGCAAAGCAAATTGGTAACGTTCTATTGTTTTATTGATAAGGACATAAACATTTGGATTTTATTACATATCAAAACACTGGGTCTTCATCCACCTCACTAGTGCTTGAAGTAATTGATCAAAGTTAATCTAAAAACAGTCAGATCTTTAAAGCTTCAGCTTTATGTATGATGTGTGGGCCCTTTTGTTTTAACTAGAAATTAGCATTTTTTTAATATATTTTTTTAAATATTATAAAGAACTGTGGTGTATCCCTCTGGTCCTGCTACTTCCTGGTTTGGTTAGTTTAGTGGAGCCAAACTCAAGAGGCAGTAATTACCCAGAGCACCTGCCTTGCAAAAAACCTCACTTTGGGAAGTTTCTGATTGGACAGCCACATATAGTCTGGGCTTCAAAAAAGCGATCTTCATGTACTTGGGTAATTTCAGGAAAAATCTTATTTTGTATACTTTAATAATTTTTTTTTTTTTAAATAGCTAGCTGTTTTAATTCTCAAAAGCGTATTTGTAATTTAAAGTTTTCTAATCGCATTTTAGGGTAAAACTTTTTTATAATGTAGAACAACAAAAAAATAGAGCGCAGTATATTTGAATGGTTTAGGTACGCAGTGTTTTAACACAAGATAAGTTAAGACCAACTTGAGAACTGAACAGGGACTCGCTGAAGGGAAAGTTTGGTTTCAACAACCCAAAAATATTATTTAAAAAAAAAAAAAGACTTTTTTTATATATATCTCTATCTTGTGCTAATGAATACTTTGAAGTTTCTCTTCAGTTTGCAGTGTAATTACGTAATTGGCCTTAAGTTGATGTTCTATAGCTCTGACTATTGATATGTGAATTGTAATGATTTGAATGAATTGCTTGTTACAGCTGTACGTTTGACCAGACCCTTAGGGCCAGGACAGTGTTTCAATTCTCCCAACCAAGAACTGTTACGTCCACCACTGCTTCCTCAGCCGCCACCGTTGGGAACACCAGTGTCTGAACTTACACGTATCTGCACCACAGTGGGAATGCACTCACCAGAGTTTTCATATTTACGAACTCCACAGGTAATGTGTGTGTGTGTGTGTGTATTTGTATTGATTTTATTCATGCATACTATGTACAGGGTAACTCAAATGTCAAGAACTACCCACATTCCTGTAAGGTATTGGAATAATATCACAATCTAATTATCCAATTGGAGTGCTTGTTACTTTTTGTTACCCTGCTTTAAGATGCTTAACAGATTTAATCTCAGCATTACCATTAAGATATGACATACTAGTTTTTGAGTGTGTCCTCTATTTTATTTGTAGATTAGATATGTATACATGGTTATTTACTAAAGTGAGAATTCTACGTGAGTTTCAAGTTTAAGGTCAAAATAGCAGAACTGGAAAAATTCTCGCTTGGCTATTTCATCTTGGCTACTCTGGTCTTAAATTTGAAATTCACTTTTCATTATTACTTCAGTAACCCTGATAGTTCTATATATTTGTATTATACACTTTGCATCCTTGGTGACTTTAGTAACAGTTTTGTATATTGAGCCATTTTGCACATCTTTGTTGTACCTGGCATTCACCACATGTTGCAGACCAGACCTGTTTTAAGTCTCTCCCTCCTTATTTTTTTTTTTTTTTTTTTCTTCCTCTGTGGTTGTGGTGTGTATTTGTTGCAGGGTTTGACCGTTTGTCAAGTGAAGCTGTCAAATGGTTTCATCTCGCATGGTCCTCAGTGTCATGCAGAAAACGAAGCAAAGGAGAAAGCCGCTTTGTTTGCTTTGCAAAGACTGGTAAATGGCGAAAACTTCTGTTTGCATGTCAAACTACCTTTTTGTTTTGTTCGAGTTGGCCATCTACAAAATGTCATAGTGTTCGATTCCAAAAGCACTTTATATTTAAATACTGTACTAATAGTTAATGGTGTTGGTTACATGTTTATGTAATTTTGCCCAGAGATTCACGCACCCTTCTCTATTGAAATCATGTTTAGAGCATCTTAAACACACTTGATTCTACTGGTAGATGGTGGTGGAACTACCAGATTCGCTGTAATTCTGTCTAAGAGTAGCCCAGGCTAGGCATGGGCCACCCCTTGCAAAACGATTATTTAGTACATTACCAATTTTGCAGTATATATTAAATAACTGATAAATTACTGTAGGGAGAACTTTAGAGAGAATGAGTGCTTCAGTGGTTTATCTAACCCTCACACTACAGAGGGATATATTGGCAATTTGCCTGCTGGCTGTTAGTGGGCCACAGAGTGGAACAGTCTGCTGAAATTCAGCGATCAGTGAGAATTTTCACTGATTTTCGTCTCGAACAAACAAACGTGACTGAAAGTCTGTCAAATCAGAAAAAAAAATCTGTTTGACAATATTGTCCATTGTAGCAATCGATGATTGCTGTAGTGTAGGGGTTAAGTGAACCTAATTTGAAACAAAAAGTAATTTAATTTTAAATCTGTTTCCAGTATTTTCTAAGCATGCTACATTGAACATTTATGTTTATGGAGTGGATCATAATGTAATAGTAATATATGTGCACTATTAGATCGTATTTTAGTGTGACAATAAGTGAATTCAATATTTAAATCCCGAAAAGACAAGACAAACCTGTTTACCATTATGTGTATGATATATGTAGCTCTTGTCACACGATCTTCAAGTGCATTAATATGAAAACTATTCTGAAATGATTGCGTATGCTGTTAAAGCGTATAATGCTACAAACTATACAATGGGTGTATGAATAAACTAGTGTTATCAATGAACACTCTGTCATAAGAAATGTGCTGTTTTGTTCAGAACACAAATACTTTACATGTTGTCTACATGTTTAAATTTCCCATTACACTTTTCCACAATGATGCTTTGTTGTTTCTTTGTGTTCTTCTGTATGTGCCAATTCTTCAAAATATCGGTTTCCATGTATACATAATTTGTATTCCTGGAGTTGTAATGGAATTCAATGCAAATTTGTATTTTTTTTAAAGTTAAAATCTGCAATTTATTGGCCACTCCATAACATGGGTACCATGTAAAGTCTTGGCATGGATGATTTGTGAAACAAACAATCCTTGAGAAATGAAAAATCCATCTCTCGTGTATTTTTTTATTTTATGCATTGGCATTATTTAAATGTGCACTCACTTCCCCTTTTCCACAAAAAATAGACTATATAGTTAATGTTCTGCCTAACGGGCATTCCTTTTTATTTAGTTAACTTTTTTTATTCTTTGTGCAGAGTACTGTTGGACTAAATTTCCCATATGCAGCACCACCACCTATGTTTCCTAATTTTCAGCCTTTGGGAGGGACTCTATCTACGGGACCAATCCCTTCAGTTTTTCCTCCGCAAACGGGTATGTTTGACTTCTAGATTTTCTGCTTTTAAAGTCACTGGTGATCAGGTTGTTTCTGCACATGAGTAGACCGTATGTTCCCAGAGTTAAAGATCCACTAAAGTCATGTTCTATGAACAGCCACTGAAGGCCCTTCCACTGTAATGACAAAGTAAAACTGTCACCTGGCATTGCAGCATTGATTCACTGCTTTCTTTTGGGGAAGCTTTGATGTGGACGACACTCAATGTGCATGCACAACTGTTCCCCAATGCAGAGCACTGGATTGGGAAAAAAGTGTAATAAATTGTAGGCAATAGGCTAGAGAAAAAGAAAATAAAAACAGGTATGTGTCTTGGTTAGCAAGAGTAGTTATCCAACAGCAATAGCACAGTGGGATTTAATGTAGATAAATTGCGATACAAAAAACAATTGCTTATTTGTGTTGTAATTTTTACTTAACAAAATTTAAATTTTGTAGCAAATTTGATCCCGTCTGCACCACATGTCTTTGGAGCAACCTCATGGCGAAACTCAATGCCGCTTCATGGCAAACCTTTTTATCCAGGTCCAGGTTCTTATCCTAGTAACACACCCATGGTGGGGCATATGGCAGCTGGTACTCACAACCAATTTATACCACTACAGGTAAGCAATTACAAAATGCTTTGGGTATTGCCATCTTGCATTGAATTTAAAAATAGAAATGTGTGCCAGGCATATTGACCAAGAATTGAATATTTCTAATAATTGGAATTGCTAGGAAGCAAAGCAGAGATATTTATAAACGGCACGTGTTTTTTTTTTTTTTTTGCAATCTTTATGGAGTGTGGGTCTAATGCTGCTTTGTTCGAAGCATTGGACTGACAGGTCACTGAGATAGCTGAGCATTGCTTCATTTTATTAAACAAAAGTAGTTGAGATTGATGACTTACTACCATAAAGAGAATCGGGCTGCAGTGTTTAGGCATTGTAATAAAGGTATGTTTTTAATGGCAATTTTATTTATATACTTTTTCTCTTTTTTTTTTTTTTTTTTTTAAATTCTCCCCCTTCCCCCCAAGAGACCAGTTGGTCTGCTTTGTTACAATGATTTTATTTAGATAAAAAAAAAAAAAAAAATACTTTTAGAATGTTCTTTTACTGCATTACATATTTTAGTTTTTAATAATAACTTTTGGGAGTCAAAGTCTTATATCATTTGTTTTCTAGCAAATCAATTTGCCTTTAAAAAAAAAAAAAAAAAAAACGAATTTGAGTTTTTGTTTCTTATGAAAAATAAATACAAAATTACGTATACCTTAGTTTTATATTAATTTTCCTGTTTTTTTGTTTTTTGTTTTTTTTTACCCCAGGTAACAAAGCAAAGGGTAGCGGTGAACAAAACAGACTTCAGGGAGCCGTCAAATACTTCCCAGGGTCTCGTAAATAATCCTCAGCTGATCCCTGATGTTGGAAGCCCAGTAACAACAGATATTTCTTCCACCACACTGTCTCCTAAAACCACTCCCAACACTACGCCTGATAAAGGTGCTTCATCTGGTCCAAAGACTTCTCACAACAGGACAACCCCAGGCTCGGGTAGCAGACGGAAACCACGAAAATTAGCTGTTAACTTCAATGCTCCAAAGACCACAGATTAGACAAGCTTCTAGAAAGTCCATTTCCACCAACTGTATAACCTTGCCTTAAAATGCTGTGTATAAAAAGGAGTGAGCTGCTGTCTTGCATTTTTTTTTTTCCCTGTTTTTTGTTAAAAATGTTGCCAACCAATTTTTTTTTTGTTTACAGGCTAATGACACTTAAAACCATTTTTTCTTTCTTAGAACACCACTTAACATTGCATTTTATCAATCCCCTTCCTCCTCTCCTCCCCCTCTCCCCATTCAGCACGGAAGTCACTTTAGAACATTTAAAAGGAAAAGTACTTTTTTGTTGATGAGTGGCATTAATCTCTATATACCTTCATTATGGTGTCTGAAGTCTGTAGATGCCTACAGCAACTCCCCTCCCCCCCCTATTTTTAAAAACGAATCTGTGTGCTAATCTGCCAATTGTGACCACAATGTAAGCACTGAAAGAATGAGATGTTTTCTCAGTCACCTCAATGTATTTTAAAATGGGCACTGGGTTTGTCTACATTTGCCTTGCCTTCCTGATTCTTCAAATCTGTGTTTTTAATTAGGAACATATTTTGTGATTTATACGTTTAATGGTGCATAACAGTAAGTTAACAAATTGATTCTGTTCAGGCCAAAAAGTTACGTTGGTGGATTTCCCCCTCCACTCAATACTTTTCTATTTCACTGTAACATTTTCAGCTTTGCAACTTACTGTTAAAGGAATAAGCCCAATGTCTAATTATTCTACTGTGTTTAAGTCTTAATTACTCCATTATTTCTAGAAAGCGAGCATCCATTACCTGCAGAGCAATCTGTTTGTAGCACCCTGGTTCCTGACCTTTTAAATATTAACCAGTGTTTTTTTTTCATTGAAAACAAGGTATACAGACTTTTTGCTTATTTAGTATTTGAGTCTTCACATATTCATAAGCTTTGCCGCTATTTAAGTTTGGAAAATGCTTTTTATGAATTTTTCTTTACCCACATGGGATTTTATTTTTTAAGTACTGGAATTTTTTCATTGGATCTTATAAAGAAGAATATTTTATTAAAAAAAATAAATAAATAAATTAAATAAAAGGGAAGACTTTTACATGCTCATTTTGTCTATAATGTCTACATATTGTTTTTATTTAAAAAAAAAAAAAATAATTAAACAAATAATGGTCTGTGCTTTAGTAAACTATGTCTGTAAAGTTGCATGAGCTTGTGATTATTTGGTTTTATTTTTATTTTTTTAATTATGGAGTGCAGTTCGGAAACCATGGCATGGAGCTGCACCTTTACATCATTCAAGTAACCTGTTTTGACATTTCATTATAAAATGTTGATTGCAGACATTGTACATCTGTTTCATTAAAAGTATATGCAATGTTGTGGAGCTGTATTTTCTTTATTGAACTTGAATGTGAGGAGTTTGTCATGATTTATAACAATCTATTTATTTATTTCCCTTGAATCTTGAATTGTACTTGGTTATGCCAGTCTTTAAAGCACATGTACCACCACACTGCAGATTGGTGCAACGACCTTGGGTGTGCTCACAATGGAGGCAATGGGAAAGTATAGGAAATAAAACACATGGGATGTCATTTAAAAAAATAAATAAAAATCAACATTTGGCAGGAAGGCAGTCCAGAAAGCAGTTGACATTAATGTCATGTAAGTTATTATTACTGGCATTTATAAAGCGCCAACAAATTCCGCAGCAGTGTACAATTGGAGAAAAAGACAAACACCATAATAACAGACCGATACAACAGGTAGAGGACCCTGCCCGTGAGCTTACAATCTAAAGCTTAAACTGGGGAGATGACGCGAGGTAGCAAAGGGATTTGTATGTGATAGCAGAGAGAGTTAATAGTATAACTGCAGCATCTGATAGCATGTGAAGGGAATGAGGAGGTGATTGGCTAAGAGCATTCTATATAGATAGAAGGAACCAGGGTGGGTGGGTAGAGCCGAGAGGGGGAAAAAAAACCCACACACATTATGCAGATATGACAATGTCCTGTATTGAAATAGAGAAAAGCTTAGATGAACCCTTCAACTCTGGATGGATTAAACAATGAACTGCAATCCTGTAATATTCTGCCTCCAGGTGATGTCTGGCTCTATTCCTTTGTAGTTTGGAATAGATATCTGGATAATTTTTTTTTTTTTTTTTTTTCTCCTCATTAATCTTATAAAACTACAAAGTTGGAGCCAATTGAATTCCAAACATCAACATTTAGTCACAAAATAGCTCTGAAACAATTCTTCCATTCTTCTATATTCACATTAGGGCTATTTCAGTGTAGATTTTGCAATGCAGTTTTGATGAAAAAATTCCATATAGTAGAGGTGTAAATCATTACCTGGTTCCAGAAGTCTTCAAAAAGCTACCAGAAGTGTGAAGGAGCTTTTGTGTGGACATTGTCCTAAGTAGTGTATAAATCTAGAGAAGTGGGATAAGTTGGTGGGGAAAAAAAGGCTGTCGGAAGGGTAGTTTGTTGCACTAAAGATGCAGGATTGTCAAGGTGGAGTACTTGAGTATTTCCACAATAGCTGTATCCTGGAGTAGTGAAATGTATGCATTTTTGGAAAGAGGGAGCAAATTGGCCAATATTTTATTGTGTGCCTGTTGAGAGTAAGCAGTACATTATCCCCCTTTTTTTTTTTTTTAATTAAATATATTATGCACTCTCTATCTGCAAGCGGTTAAACGCTCAATATGATTTGTAGAAAATCTGGGAAATATTTACACGTTTGTTTGAGGTTGTCCGAGGCAGATTTTCAAGGTTACCATTTCATAAAGCTTGGTTAAATTGGTGGTTCATTTTTTCTTTCATTTTTTTTTTTTTAGCTATCCCACATCACTTTGCATCTCATTGAATTGGTTATAGTGCCTCTGTGCTGGCTCTTCTTTTCAGTCTTAAACCTGTGAGTACCTGGCTGCCCTCAGCCCAGCCCCACTGGAGGCATGGCTAAGGTAAAATTTTACCACATGACAGGAGGCTTCGTATTTTGCACATCTCTCTTTACTAACTCCATACAGCAGTAAAGAAACACATAGAAAAAAGAACCAATCACAGGAGAGTAGGATGTACACAAGGCAATGTGACCTTATCATTTCCTCTTTCTTTACTGCTCCATCAAGCAGACAGGTCAGAGTATTACTCTCCTCCATTACTTTATGTTTACAGTGCCTCTTTGAGGTTGTTTCTGTATTATATTTTTGTATACTTTACTGTATGTTCTTGCTGTGCTTCTGTACTATGTGCAGCTGTTTTTTTCTGTTATTTCATAGATATGTATATTTAATGTTATCCTTATTTTATAACCTTTACTTGTGATTAATATCACTTGTAATTAATCAGTTTTATAGGCATTTCATCCTTTGTTTTGATAAGTATTATTTGTACTTTATATGTATTTAATAGATGTCATATGTATTTTATAACATGGATTTAATAGGTGTTAGGTGTAAATTTTATTATTGACTTAATAGGTTTTATGTATAGTTATGGTAGAGGTACTTTATACCATATGTATTATGACTTTTCTGGCGATTTTCCTGGTCTTCTATACCTGGGGCGTCTGGGGACCCTCTTTCCCCGCTTTCTTCCTTCCCCCCATGATCTCATGGGGATTCTGGGTCTGGCTGGGGCTTAACCCCTTCCCTCCCGCGGTTCCCGTTGGCTCCCACCGGCTCCGGGGCATTAACCCCTTCTTCCGGCCTATCCGTTCGGCCCCTTCCTCCTACAATCAGGGGGACGGCCGGACTCACTGCCCTCGCTCTCTCAGGCTGCTCCATACCGTACACCTGGTAATGTGCTGGATGCTTTCCAACATCCACTACCTTGGTGCAGGGCAGTCTGTGGGGCGACCACGAGGTAGCCTGAGCATGACGCGGCCGGCCATCTTTGATCCTGCGTCTACCGAGACTCCAGGGACCATGTTCCACCTCCTTTACCCTCGGCGGCCATCTTTAATCTCGCGAGATTATGGACGGCCGTTTTGCTACTCTTGCCCACCACAATTACGGCGCTCGAGAGTAACATATACCTGGGCTGTCAGTTAGCCTAGCTGCTCTTGGGCTCACGATTCTCTGACACGGACGTTGGACCCCAGGGTCCCAAGTTCGAATCCAGGCAAAGGTAAGTATTCTAACTCTTCTTACCTTTTTGTGTCATTTTACCCCACTCCCTCTAGCATGTAAGATCCTTGAGCAGGGCCCTCAACCCCTCTGTTCCTGTGTGTCCAACTTGTCTGGTTACAAATACATGTCTGTTCGTCCACCCATTGTAAAGCGCTGCGGAATTTGACAGAGCTCTATAAATATCATCATAATAATAATAACTGGCCTTTTATTTACAGATTTGAGTCGTACTTGTGTATAGTGGTTTGAGGTACTGGAACCTTAAAGGGATATCATCCCCCAAAAGCCCTTAAAGGGATAGCACCCTCAAATTCCTTAAATATACCATTCTTGGACCCTTATAGGGAACTCCTTAAAAGGATACCACTCTGGAACTACTTAAAATGGATACCAAATCCTTAAAGGGATACCACCCTTGAATTCCTCAAAGGGATAGCACCCTTGGACACAGATTATCAAGATGGTACTGTATAAGTACATATCAGTGATGGGAGATTTGAAGGGAGATTTGAAGGGATATCACCTGAATCAGGGTTCAGGAATCTACAGCAAGACTCTATGTCTGGTAATGGATGCTCAAAGGGATGACCCCTATCACTTAAGACAGAACACGACTGACGACGGAGCTTAGAGCTAGTGCTCTATTATCCTATTATCCCTCAGAGGTCAGTCACTTTTTGTCTCATTACTGCCATATTCGGCACTAAAGGGCTTATTACCCTGTGCCTGCTTGGGGTGCTACCCCTATTACCGTGCTGCTTTTTAGAGGTAGCCCTGTGGCCACCTCTGTGATCCTGGGTGAGGCCCAGTTATACAAATCCCAATATTGTGGTTTGCCCTGCTGGGACAATGTGACAACACTAAGTGACAGATACAGAATACCCTGCTGGGGTTATTACACATTACTGTCATTTATACACACCCTGCTGGGGTTGTTTTGGTACTTTGAGACAATAAATTGCACACAATAAGTGCACACTACTACACCCTGCTGGTGTCTGCATGGTGCATTGCACACAATGAAATGGATTGTGCTCTCATCCAGTCTGTTTTATTTGGCCGCGACCCACGCTTAACGAGTACATACCCTGCGCACCTGAGGTGATCTCTGACTAGTTCTACGCCAATCTATTCGGCAAAAAAGGGGACAGAGTCACAAGCTTCAGTGCAGTATATCCCTCATGGCAGTGCATTCATTATTGATAGAGCTGTAGGACACTCTCTATCAGACTGATGGTCAGCACTGATGGGTTCATACCCTGTGCAACTGGGGTGAGCCCCCTACAGCACTGCTGCTTCTACTCCTACCCCTCTCAACAGCGAGCTTGAGGATTGAAAATCCGAACTTCCAAGCTGGGACCAGCACTTACAGGTTCAGACCTTGGGGTGAGACCCCTACGATAGGCGAGTCACACTACCCAACCGAAGGAAGTCTTACAGCAACAGCCTCTACCTACAGCTGAAGGAATACCTCCATTGATAATGAATCATGATACGGTACGGGTTTATGCCCTGTACCTATTCTGCGGCCTGCAGTTAAAGGCCCACGCCCTATGCACCGGGCCCTGCTAGGCGTGCACTGCACTAAAATGGCATGCGGTTACAACCGCTGAACAGGAGTTCCGAGCCACCTACTTAACGATATATATTCCCCTTGTGGTGAATTTAATAATGGAAGAGGTGACGACACTCTCTATCAGGGCGATGACCAGCATTTAAGGGTTCATACCCTGTGCACCCGGGGTGAGCCCCCACTATACGTGCGCTGCACGGTGCTGCTGAACGGAGGCAATGCTATGGCAACCTCTATGTACTGGGTGAGCCCACAAGGGTTTCCGTGAACACTGCCTACTGTCATAGTAGACTGATCTGTTTGCCCTGCATCCTGTGCCTGACTACTGGTTTGTGCCTTACACAGGGGTATCCCTTACTACGATAAACCTACTTGACAACATTAAGCACTTTTGACCAACGGAGGAGGTCTCTCAGGATTCACGACCTTACCATGGGCGATGCTGGACGCCGCCAAACATCGTCCGGGAATGGGCATACAACTTGGGTATATGGACTCAAAAACTGTTTCTGCTCCTCGCAGGAAACCCCAGTGTTGGCTTCTCCCATAGGATGCCCATAGCAGCACTCCTCCGCACTGACGGATGGTTGGCGGTACTGGGCGCCAAAATAGTCGGAACCCCAGGCACAAGGCACAAAGTTCCCAACGGAACTTATTAGACATGCAAGGGTCCCACGGTTTTCATAAGGGCTCAAACCCCTAGGAAGGAGGTGGTATGCGATTACCTTTACAAGGGATTCTTTGGAACCAGTTGGCAACAGAGCCGGTCGTCGACCACTTCGGGACATTAGAACCGAGATCCGCTACCGCTGGCTCTATTACCCATATAAAGTGAGAGTCAACCAATGGTGCTCCAGATAAGCGGACAGAGAACACGGTATGCACAAATACCATCAATATACCTCCTACTACATCCACAGGGGATTTCACCACATCAAAGTGAAAGGCACTCAATCCTGGGGAAGGCCACTATCACGTAGTCAACCGACTTGCGTTCAGGACCTAAAGACATGTCAAGACGGTTTCTTGCTTCCCGCTCGACCACCTTACCCAGTTGTCAGGGGACATCCTCTCCTTCCCGATCCTGTAGCTCAAAGCCTGGTGGGCCCTGATAACCTACAGAAAGAAGTAATGAATACAGGCGGGGAAGACGAGACACTCTCTTCCGGGAGAACCTCATTCAGATCACTCCAGTGAACTGAAAACTCGTCAACATCCACGTTCATCCGAGAACCGGTTGAAACCTTTTGTAGAAGACTATTCGCTCAGTGGATTCGTAGACTATTCCACAACTTGGGAATATTCATACGCCTCTCCGCGGCACCACCGCGATCCTGTACGTTGTTTACCTAGACTTCTTGGTCCTATACTTCACAATACATGGATTGATAAAGAAGTACTAGATCGGCTGCACCCTACTGCAGGTAACCACAGATTAGGTGGTCAGGTTTCACATCCACCGCGATGGACCAACTCACGTTTATCAGACAACATGTAGGCTCCTTCGATCCCCGTCTTCTTCACAGAAGATCAACCAGTCTCCCGGGGAAGACACATCTCATAGGGGCTGACTGATTTGGATATTACCACTCGTCACAGTATAAGTCGAGGCACGATGGTGATCGCGCTCCGTCCGACCTGACCTCCCTGGAGGACTTATGCTTCTCAAGGTCTACAGTAATTCTCGAGCAGGCGAGAATCTTCTCCTGCTACATTCATGACAAACAATTCCTCACGGAGCCACTTTGGAGGTTTCTTGGCAGGTCAGCGGACAATCGCAGGCTGCAGAGGACCTCTTGAGAATCTGGGAACCCAGACCCTTCCCCTACATCTGGACATTCCCAGCCTGTCTGGTTCGATCCTGCATCTTGATGCCTTATATGAGGATGGAGACGGAACTGCAGCCGGTATCACTACCTGAGGACGCCCAAGGGACTAGGATCCTCTAGGATACCAACTACCCAATGTCATACCTCTCCAGCTTATGAGTTGTGGAGGTCGTTCTCCTTTCACTCTACGGGACTAAACATCCTGCTGACAATCGGTCAGACTTGGTCTTGTATAATTTCCCATTAGATGGTTTATATGTGGGTGCTCAACGGGGAAGACCTCCCCACAACGCCGAATACTGGGTCTCTTGGCACACCGTAGGACTCTTATTTAGTTCTATACTCTTTTCTCAGCATTAAAAATGCAAAATACGAAGCCTCCTGTGATGTGGTAAAATTGAAGATTATGCTAGCTTTAGTGTACTAATAATCTTAATTTTAATAATGACAGGAGGAGAGTATTTTCCCCCCCTACTTCGCTGCCCACCCTTTCTATTCGTTTGCTTTGCAGATATCAGGTGCTAAGGTAGGTTTGCCTATCACATTGGTGCTTATATGATATGTTCATACTTCCATTAATATGGAATCCTCATTAGAGTTCTCATTACAATTACTCAGTTATCAGATTATAGTTACTATATTCTCCAATGGGATGTTAGGTGGTACTTTAATTGGAGTTACATGTTCGTGACTATGTCTAAATCTGTCACACATTCTCTTTTCAGTATGATTCATCTCTGAAGATAATTGGCAGTTCACGTGAAACTATTGGAGATTTTATGCTTCGGATTTGTCTCAACCCTGAACTCTTTTTTCGTTGTTCGTATAGAATTCTTTGGAAGTTTGCTCCTTCGCACATGGGAACTTGGAGTTATTATTAGTTTTATTATTTGCTATATATTGACTTCTGCTTGTTGTCGCTTTCTGAAAGAGGAAATGATAAGGTCACATTGCCTTGTGTACATCCTGCTCTCCTGTGATTGGTTCTTTTTTCTATGTGTTTCTTTACTGCTGTATGGAGTTAGTAAAGAGAGATGTGCAAAATACTCGCCTCCTGTCATTATTAAAATTAAGATCATTAGTACACTAAAGCTAGCATAATATTCAATTCACACTCTTTGCCATACCAATTCATATCGGCAATGGGTAGATGTTATTATTATTATTGCGATTTATATATCGCCAACAGATTCCGTAGCGCTTTACAATATTATTAGAGGGGGGATTTGACTATACATAGGACAATTACAAAAAAACTCAAAGAAAAGAAGGGTTGAAGAGGGCCCTGCTCAAACAGGTTTACGGTCAATAGGAGGTGGGGTATAAAACACATTAGGACAGGGAATAGAAGTCAGCATAGGTGGGAGTGAAGCAGAGCTGGAGGAGAGAGTGCTGCCTTTTAGGAGAGAGAAAGAGACAGGTATGTGAGTAGAGGTTAGTCTGGGAGGCCATAGGCTTTCCTAAAGAAATTAGTTTTAAGGCACTTCTTAAATAATTGAAGACTAGGTGAGAGTCTGATG